TTTCATAAGAATGTAAGAAAAACCATGCTGGATCAGACCAAAGGTCCATCTCTACCAGCACTCCATATATACTGTTTATATTGAATGGCATTTGCCATTTTGATGCCCATTCTCCCAGCTTGGAGAGGACGCTTTGGAGCTCCTTAAAATCCCTTTTGGTTTTAACCACTCTAAAAAGTTAAGTGTCATCTGCAAACTTGGCCATTTCACTACATCCTCCTTATTTCCTGTTATTTACACATGGCTCCCAGATTAATTTCACATCTTTAGTGTCCTTGGTAATCAAACTTGGTTCCCTTTCCCATTTAGCAATGTGTGTTTTTCATTTTGGAAGCAGGTCTTTCTTAGCCAATGTCTGGATATGGAAACAATGGCATGATATGCAGGTGCATGTCTTCATCTTTGGTACCGGGACCACATCTCCTTTTTTCTTTCTGTTTCTTCTCTTGAACACTGTGTTGAGGTTTTTAGGCAGACTTTTGAGTGATCTACTTGTTCTACATAAATCATCCAAATTGGTAAGCTGATGGTAATGCTTGGTCGTGCAATCCTCTTCATGCATACCCAGAAATAAATACTGCTTTCAGTCAACATACTTCTAGATAAGTGGATGTATGATTGCAGCCTTGATGCAGAATTGGTCTATTTATCTCAAATTAGAGGTCTTTTACTAAATAAGAATGAGGTAAAAAATCAGCCATATTTGAATTCTTACACAAAATTTGCTTACAACCATGCATTTTCTAGCACATGGTCCTGGACACAGGTTGGATTTTATTTATTTTCCTGTTTGGATATGTATATATCTAACCTTTTTTTCCTTTCAAGGAACTCAAGGTGGCTTACCTAATTCTCCTCACAATGACAACCCTGGGAGGATGGTTGGACCAAGTCTGACTGGCCCAAAGTCACCCAGGGGGCTCCATGGCTGAGCAGGGTCTAGAACCAGGATCTCCAGTATCCCAGTCTTGCATTCTAAACACTACATCACACTGGCTCTTGGAGGAGCTACAGTCGGGGGGAAATCTCCCCGTGCCCCCACCAGTTTCAGAGCAGGGGCAATATATCTGCCTCCACCAAGCTTCCTCAATCATTTCAGCCCGAAATCGGACTGCTGAGGCTGCAATCACACATACTGTAGAAAGTAAACCCAATGGAATATATAGTGTGACTTAATCTGAATCAACACGCATAAAGGTTCCACTGCGAGGGCAGTAACTACAGACTCCTATTCCAAATATCTCCACTGCTTCTCATCAGTGTTCTCCCAAGTCTTGAATTACTGATCGAACGTATAGTACATGAAGTACGAATTTTGGATATTATTATTACTACTGCTACCCTTTATTTATATACTGCCTCTTTTCCGCATGTGAAGAACTCTGGGTAGCTTACATAGCTCGATTTTATCCTCACAAGAACAACCCTGTGAAGTAGGATGGGCTGAGAGTTTGTGACTGGGCCAAAGTCACCTAGTGAGCTTCACAGCCAAATGAACTAGAACCTAGATCTCCTGGGTCCTCAGCCCAACACTCTAGCCACCTCACCAGATTGGCCCTCTGAAAACGCTGAAATAAATGAGTTCTTAACTATAAGGAACAGAGAAAAAAAATCCAAACCCAACCTTCACAAAATGGTATGTGCACAGAAGCTTACGACTTTCCCTTTCTCAATCTAGTTCACAGTGAATGAAAAGGGCCTTTCATTACAGGCCCTGTTTCCTGTGTCAGTTGCCAAGGGTGCTCCTAGCAACAGGAATTGCTAGGCAGCTTCTACCTGTCACTGAAGACCCTGTCCTGGCCTCCCTCTTGAAGCCAGTACTACTTAAATTACCTCCAGTGCACTAGAGTGCCTTTGCACAGAGAAATATGCACCCCATTACAGGATATGTAAGCAGTCGATCATCAGGATCCTGCATCCCATAATGGGAAGCTCAGTGGAGAGAACACACCAGAAGCTACTGTGTTGTGGGTCCCACCAAACCTGCAGCCAGCCATCTCCACTCCCTGTTTTATTTTGGTAGTAAATAGTTTGTTCCAGTCTCTTCTGCTAATACTATTTCCTTAAGTTTACTGCATTGCTGTTTTAAAAAGCTGGGGCGGGATGTAAGTCCAGTAATCAGAATCTAGGAACCCAGTCAAATTATGTCATGTGACCAACCCCTCCCCTTTCTGCCACCTCCTCCTCCTCTCTCTGCTTTTATCCCTCCCCCCACCGCCATGCAAGCGAATAGAACAATTTCTCTATTAATTTGCATGGGGAAAGAACCCCTCCTCTCAAAGATCATTGAGGGGGCAAAAGTCACTGTCCCTCCATGGACCTTGTTGCCCTAGGATCCTTTTTTTTTTTTTAAGAAATTTTATTAGGATTTTGAACTACTACTACAAACATCAATCGTCACACACATTGGATTTACTGGGTCAGCCCCCTACGACATATCTTTTAACATTCTATGATCATACTAAAACCCATTTACAATAACTTGAAAACATCTTTAGATCAGAACTAAGTCCCATTTCTCCAGTCAATAAAAAAAGTAATTCCAAATTTGATAGAAGTCACTATCTTCCTCTTCTTCATCTGTGAAATCAGTCTCATCATTTCTTGCAGAATCCTGTTTCTCTTAACCAATGTCAAAGGGAAATCTCCAAGTTAAATAAGATTGCAGTATCTTCTTTCTTCTTTAGTGATAAGTTTGATCTAAACATTTCTGGACAATTCAAGATCTTTTCAATTTTCTAAAGATAAATAACTTCCTCACTATCACAATTACAAGTAACATCAAAAATATCCATTTAACATCTCTAAAGGTATCTTAACTACTGTACTTGGTGGTAACCAATATGTATAATATCTTTTAAACCAGTTTTCATCACCAACAACAATAGCTTAACCTTCTCATATCACATATAGATTTGCCAACCCATTTAAATCATTGCTTTTTAAGATAGTAAGTTTCCTTATTCTCAATTACAGATAAAGTCAGAGATATTCATTTAACAATAATACCTTTTAGACAGGATTTCATTAAGCTAAGTTACTAATGTTTCACCAGCAATAATAGCTTAACCTTTCTACGTCATGTGTGGACATACCAACCTATATGAATCACCCCTTTCTGGAATAAAAAGAAAGAAAGTTCCCTTATCCTCCCTTTGTACCTCTGCCATATTTATTTTTTCCTTACACCTCTACCAGACCTTTCTGTTTTTTTTCCATTGAAACATTATATTATCTGTGATGGAGTCTTCAATTGTAGCCACATAAACAAAACCTCTCTTAAGTGGTTAGCTATCCACTCCTTTGCTTTTTGAGTTGTAGCCAAGCTATCTTCTCTTTCTCCAGCATAACAAGCAGATCCCATGAAGGCTTACTTAATGAGTTCACTGGTTGTGTTAACTTTCCCATTACGCTTGTTGTCTTTCCAGTTTCAGATTTTCCTTCTGCTTGCTGGATATTTTGCATATTCTGCTCAGGTACAAATCGCTTGCCCAAAGCCTGATTAATGGAAGTGTCTAATTTATCAAAGCGACTTTTTTGTTCAATTAACAATCAAGTTTCTCAATTAAAACCGTCTTCTGTTGTATTATTATCGCCTGCTGGGATAGTTGTACCGCTGTTAAAGAAGTCTGTATTGCCGAGAGTGTCTTCTGTATTTCTTGTATTGCTTCCATAGTAGCAGTAATTACCAAGGCTTGGCAGGTGTCCAGGGGTCCCAGGAACAAAGAAAAAGATGGCCGTTAGTTCTTGGCAGTAGTTCAACATAGACGAACACAAGAAAGATCTTTCTATCAGTCAAATCCACAGTAAATATTATTTTTCGCCCTTGGAGAGATTAAGGAAGATAAATCTTTTCCTTACTTACGAAGTGCTCTATCTCTTCTTATGTAATTCGCCGCTTTTCAACTCCGGGGAGGGGGGGGAGATTCCTTTCCTCCTCCATCTGAAGGGCTTTTTCTTTTTCCTTTGTATCAATTTGCAAGGAATGCAGCTTATTCCACGGGTATTATTGCAAAAAACAAGAAACAAAAATAATTCCCAATAAGTCCGATGCGCCTATAATAGCTAAAACTCGTCTAAAAAAAGAACTGCATGTCGAGAACCAGCAGAGGGCTTTTCTCTCCCTCCTGTGCTACCCGGCTGAGAAAGCTTGATTTCTCCCATTGAATGTGGAATTGCCATTCCACATCATCTGGGAGATTCGCCAAGCAATCTATCTTAGCCCCGACAGGGCTTAGATTGAGCCTCCACGGCCCACCACCGGGCAGTTACCAGCTCGTTAATCACGTCTGTATTGTTCCGACGCCATAACGGAAGTTGCCCTAGAATCCTTGATGGGGATGGACTTCATTCCCTCCCTCACATTTTCTTAAACCCAGTGGACCAACCAACTCCTGTAGCTTCCTTTCTTCTAAAACAAAATAAGGTATTTTAGTTAGGGATCTCCTAAAGCAGCCTTCCCCAACCAGGAGCTCTCCAACTGTTTTCAGCTTCCCCCTCCAGAAGTTTTACACGAGCGGTACAGCGTGGTGCAGTGGTTGGGATGCTGGACCAGGTGATCTGCGTTCTAGGCTCCACCTGGCCATGACGGTTCCTGGGCGACTTTGGGCCCCTCACAGACTCTCTGCCCGACCTACTTCACAGGTAAATATTGTGAAAATAAGATGGAGAAGAGGAGGACCATGTAAGCTAGCTTGGGTACAAATAATAAGAATGCTCATGAGCCCGAGCTAGCCAGCATAACCAAACGCCGGGAGATGAGAGCCCAAAACTTTGAACGTCGCTCGACATGTTGGTACGCTCCCTCGAGGTGTTGCAACGCGCCGCCCGGCTCCGATCATATCCCGGATTCAGCGCAGTCCGCACATTCCGGACGAGGGTGCGAAATTTCTGCCAGCTGATGCGCCCGGGGCCAGCCTGCATCACGTATGGAAATTGACGTCAGGCGGGGCGGGGCCAGACGGCCCTGGCGAGAAGGCGCGCCGCGCGCCGCTCACTCGGTGCCCCGCGGCCGTGGGAGCAGAGCCAGGCGCGCGCAGCGGAGGCGAGGCCGCCTCTCGCCGTCCCCCGAGAGAGACCCGCTCCGGCGCCGGGGACAGCGAGGCGAGGCGAGGCTCCCGGTGCGACGGCGAGGCACGCAGCCGAAGGAGACGAGCGCGCCTGGCTCGCCTGACTTGCCCTGGGTTGCCCCTCTCGGCGGGCAGCGGCCGCTGTTGATGGCCAAAGGGGAAGAGAGCGCGAACCCCACTTGTGCGACGCAGCCGGAAAAAGACATGGCGCGCCAGCCGCCGCCTCCCTCGCCGGGCAATCCCGCGCAGCCGTCTCCCTACATCCACAGCATGCCCGCCTGGGTGCTGGAGGACTTCTGTCAGAAGATGGACTGTCTCAGCGATTACGACTGGATGCGCTTTGGTGAGGAGGAGCCCCGCATCGAGGGCGGGTGGGGAGGGACACGAGCTGGCAGGAGCTGGGATGGCGAGGAGGCAGGTTGGCTTGAAGGGCTGGATTGGAGGCGTCCATCGTGGCTTGTGCGTGCAGTTATGCCCAGCTGTTGTGATGGCTCTGTGGACCTTCCTTGTTCAGGGGCGGTGTACCTCTGAACGCCAGTCCCTGGGGAGCAGCAGGAGGAGAAAGTTGCCGGCACCTTGGAGTCCTGCTTTTTGCTTACCTGATTATTTGTTTATGCACAAATTCATATGCTGCTTATAACTGCCAAAAGGGCTTTCAATAACAAGCACCTGGTATTCTCAGGCGGTCTCCCATCCAAGTACTAACCAGACCTGACCCTGTTTATCTTCCAAGATCAGACGAGAGTGGGTGCTTTCAGGGTAGCATGGTTAGCCACCATGGGAAGTCTGATTAGATGAACCCTTGATCTCTTCCAATATTGTGAATGAGCATTAAAATACTACTGGTTTCTGGCCAAGCTACACATGCCTTGGAAGATCCATGACAGAATCTCTGAATACTTTTGTATTAATGCAGCTGTAAGAGTCTCTAGATCATAGCAGTAGTATTTGGGGATAAGAGTGTTTAACACACTTCCCTAATCTGTCTTCCTTTTCCCAAAGCTATTGTTCATCCATGGGAAGAAAACTACAGGTAGCTGTAAAAGCAAAACCGAAACTGCAACCATTTTATTTATTGTTTATTGCATTTGTATGTTGCCCCATGGCTTGAGGGCTCTTAGGGTGGCTCACAGAAACAACACGGAAAGATTGTTCTCATATCATGACCTCATCCTAGGTATTACGTCATTTGCTAAAGCAGAATACTGGTTGAATCTTTCAGATTCCCAGAAGAGTACTAAAAAACTCAGCTCCCATGGGAGAAGCACTTCTCCCAAGTCCTTTCTTCTGAAGCTCTGGGAACAGACAATTACTGCAAGACTACAGCATTTGTATGCAGCTTAGCCTTCCTCAGCATGATAACCTAAGACATACTTCCTGATCATGGAGGATGCTGGCTGCAACTGATGGGAGTGACAGTCCAAACCAGGCAGCAGGCAGCAGGTTGGGGATGGCTGACATGGTGTCTGGGTGTGTATCAGAAGCACCTGTGTTCAAACAGTAACAGTGTAGGATGTTTCATGCTTCCATTTCCATCACTATACTTGGTGATTTTAATTAAAAAATATTAATAGAGTCATGATCAAAATTAACTGTGAACTGACCTGGGATAAGCTGCTTGTTCAAGAGCAGACTGAGAATCTGGCAGCTGTAGACATTTCATCAGGGTTGTCACTTTTCTCCTGGAAGATGCCTTGTACGCAGGGAAGCAGGTCTTATTTGAAACTTTTTTTCATTCACCATATACTGTGAGTCATGGGTGGTAAGTTCCTAGACTACATTCCTGAAGATTGTGGGATTAAATGACTTGCTGTGCTGAAAAAGTTAAATGAGTCAAATATCCCAGGAAAGGACAGTGCAGCTGCTCTGTGCAACGTCATGGTGAAATGGAGTGGCAAGGGCTGGATTTCTCTAATTAATATTGCTGAACTGGCTTCCTATGTCGTCTGAACCTGCATGGCAAAGCTTGCTTAGGAGGGAGGCAGTAACCTTCAAATATCCAACAAATAACCACAGCCCTTTGAACAAACTGTGCTGCCTGGGTTTGGACTACATGACAAGCATAATTAGGGAACTCTTTCCAGCATGCAGCCAGCATGTGCAGGGGCAGATTTGACAGGGACATGTGTAAGTTCAACACATGTATTTCCCTTTCAAAACTACTAGGTTTAGTCCTGCCTAAATCCCTGTATTAAAATGAGGTCTTCCTTTTGACAGCTGTAGGAAGAAGTTTTTAGAGAAAGGGTGGGATGGATTTTTCTCATTCCTGAACACTGAGGACTGTCCAGAGAGTTTTGACTATCAGATGGTATCAACATGAAATAAATAATGATTATGGGGGAGACATTAAAACCTTGAGGGTCTCACTGCAAAGGAAGGGGAAGTTTCCAGCTCTTTTTCATTGCACAGGGAGGAAAAGTCTCTACCCCATTCTCATGAGCTAAGGAATCAGAGCTCTACATTAGCTTGACAGTTTTTTGATAGCTTGCTTTTCAACAGCACAAAGTAAAAAAAAAAAAAAACCTATACCTTCTGCAAGACTAACCAAAAATGTGAGTGTGTTATTTGCACAAATTTCTTGCACTTAAAAATAGTTTTTAAAAAGTGATGGCAAACCAGGGACAGAAGCACCTCTTGATCACTCTGGAGTGGCTGTTGCTGTCACTTTAGAGACTGCAAAAAACAATCTCAAAAATAAAGTGGGCAAGAAGGAAGAAGATGTCAAGTTGAGCACAGAAGACTGCAGTGGCAGAAGGAATCAAGGCAGCTTAAGCGGACAAATCAGGAATCCCAGCTGGAGAACCGAGGGGGAAGGACTGGGGGACAATCCTTACTCGGCCTGGTTGCTTTTCAGGCTTGTTCCACAAACTAACCATATGGTATAGCTTATTCACAGGGTGGCTTGCCATGTCACACAAATTCACTCTCGGTGTGCTGTTCTTCCTGGCTTCTCTCTCTGACTCTTTTTTTCTCTTTCTCCTAATTCACTGCTGGACCAGATTTAAAGTTCTGGTACTAGTGTACAAATCCTGAACAACTTGGACCAGGAATCCTCAGAGAGCTCTTGCTTCCTTACCGACTGTCTGGTCAATGAGGTCACCAGAGGCCATGCTCCGAGCCCATGGCCCACCTCATCAGGAGATGAGCTTTCAGGAGCAGCTCCATTTCTGTGCAACTCCCTGCCTCAAGCGGACAGGCAGGCACACCGCTCGGCTGCTTTCAGCGCCTGCTGAAGACGGTCATATTGTGGGAAGCCTCCTTGAACTAGCCTTTCTCAGACGCATTGAGATAGTTTTATTGCTCTTGTTCTTAAAACACTGCTTCATTCTTGATTTTGTTTTATCTTTTATTGCTCACCACTCTGAAATCTCCATCCTGGAATAAGGAGTGGTAAATGAATTTTGTAAATAAATGAAATGAATAAGCTTATACTAGTCCAAATGCCAGTGCAACAGCCACTTAGGATGCAAATGCCAGTGTTCTGTAGCAGTTCATGGGGGATTGTAACTGCGGTAGAAGGACTCTCATGGATCATGAGTTTGTCCGGGCCCTGCTTCTTTGATGCTTCCCATCAGGTTTCGGTACTCTGCTGAGCACTGCTGTTACTATAGTTATTATAATCATTATCATAATGGTAATGATGACTATAATAACAACAATTATACATATGCCACACCTTTCTTTCCTTTGCAAGAATCCCAAGGTGACTAACAACATTCCCCATCTCTCTATCTCATTCACACAACAGCCCTGTGGGGTAGGATGGGCTGAGAGTCTGTGACTTGCCCAAAGGCACCCAGTGAACTTCATAGTAAAGTGGGGACCAGAATCTGGATCTCACAAGTCCAACTGCAATGCTCTGGCCACTGTGCCACACTGGCTCCCAGTCGAGGCACAAGAGGTGGACCAGCATGCTTGTTCCTACAGTCCTGTTCTCTGTACTGCATGCCTTCCAGTTGCAAGCACCTGGTGTTGCTGTCTGTGTCGTGTTATCCTCGCCCCAATCCTGAAAGCACTGTAGATACACAGGTATCATTAGATACCTCAGTTATCACACTGGAACTTTCCCCTCTCAAATCCAAAGGGATCCACTGACTAATTTGTTGGGGGTGTCAAAAGTGATCATAATTCTTGGGTAACATAAAGGGAAATGGAATCTCTTCAGTCTGCTGGAAACTACTGTAGATGGAGTCTAATTTTATGGCAAATGTTTGGCTTTTAAAGTGATACATATTTTTCTAGTTAGGAAAAAAAGTTGGATGCCAAATTAAAGAGAATGTGGGTTTCTGTTACTTTTGCTCCATTGTTGCCTTGGATCTTTTTTCTAAGCAAAATCTTTCTGTTTTTCATTTCAGCTTCCTATGTGATCACAGACCAGACTGAACTGAGGAAAATCAAATGCATGGAAAAGGCAGGAATCAGTATCACTAGAGAGCTGATGTGGTGGTGGGGAGTGAGGCTTGCAACTGTCCAACAGCTGCTGGACCTTTTGCAGGAATTGCAACTCTATCGGGCAGCCCAAGTGATTGCAGATTGTGAGTAGTTTCTCTTTTTCTGTGGAACTACCTGGCATTTGTTCATAAATATGCAGTCACAGGCATGTTCTTTACCACCTTACTCTTTCCAAAGCTGAGCTCATTCCCTGAGTGCTGGCAGCCTTGTAGGCAACATGGGGCCCCCAAGCAACACAGTGGAGGTCCTGGCATGGTCTGTGGCATCCTACAGTTTGCAGACCTGAAAAAACAACAGAAAACAAATGCCTCTGTGGACAACAAGAAACAGGAAGGTGGCATTATGCCAGAATGAACCAGGGTCTAGGAAGGAAAAAAATAATAGAAAATCAAGAAGGAAAGGCAAGTGAGAAAAAGGAGTTCTAATAGTATCTTCAGAGTAAGACAAAGAGAAAACCAGCCATAAAGGTTATGCAGAGGAGGGTGTGGCAGCAGAGAGATTAAACCTGTGTAAGGCAGTGGTGCAGAAATAAGATTATTGTTTGAATGGAGGAACTGAGGAGGAGAATGGGAGGGAAAGCAACTGGGAGAGGTAAGAAGGAACAGGATCAGCTGCAAGTTACTTTAAAGCACTCTAGGGATTTTTATTAAAGGCTGGCATGAAAGTATTTTTAATAAATAACCAAATAACTGGGCAAATGTCACAGAAATCATGGGAAGACTCATAAAATCCCTTCTAAGGTCAGAGACAGTGCTCTGACCTCAGAAGGGAGAGTCCAAGATCTGATCCCTGACTGAGTACAGTATTGTTCTGGCTGCCTTGCCACAGTTGGGAAATCAGGCTTGGTGCAAGAGAAAGGGAGCATTCCAGTGGAAGGGGAGGATATGGAGAGGCCATGATAGAATTTTCCCTTGGCCTCCTTCCCTCCCTCTCCAAATCCCTCAGAACATGAGGTAAGAGCCCCATCCAGCTAAAATACAGAGATGGGAGGCACCGATTGCCTTTGCTGCTCCTCCCCACTGCTGGCTTCTGTCCTGCACGGTATAGCACCCTAGGATGCCTCCGAGTTCAGGGGCTCTTGAGCAGTTTGTGTGCTGCTCATGGGATTGCACCCTAAACCATTCTGAGAAATGCCTACTGGGACGAAGCACCCCATCGGTCTTTTCTTTCAGTCCTAAACGTGTGCATGCAGGTCTCAAAAGCCAGAACCTCCTCGTGCCTGAAGTTTCCAATTTCAGTAACAAAGGATGCTTCTGTTCCACCTAAAGAATGCTCCACACTAGCTAGTGAGGCCACTTGGTCTTTCAAGCAAAGCTCTTCAGCCATCAAGGCCTGAGAACAAATTTGTGACAGATCTGAGAGTGTGCATTGAGACTGCCTGAAAACAGAAGCGGTGTTGTTTTTTCCCTCTCTTGGGACAAGACTGACCCATGCCCCTGTCTGCAAATTTATTTCATTCCCAACCAGGACATTGCCCTGGCATAGTTGCTGTTTTTCCCCAAAATAAACAAAGAGCTGGCATAAGCGTGGGGATGCTGCAGTCTGGGGCAGCGGGCTTTAGCCCTCCTTCTCACCCACCATCACATGCGACATACAGGTATGTGAGGGGTGTCACATGGAGGTGGGTCGTGACCTTTTTTCCCCTGTGGAGGAGGGCAGGATGCGTTCCAATGGAGCAAAGCTCAGGGAACCAAGATTCAAGGTGGGTGCCAGGAAGTACTTCCTGACTGTTAGGACCCCGAGGGTACGGAACGGGCTTCCACGGGAGGTGGTTGAGGCCCCATCTGTGATGGTGTTCAAGGATAGGCTGGACGTGCACATGGTAGGCATGTCATGAGCTGAGCCGACTGGAGCCACGGGTCAGACTAGATGGCCCAGGTGGACCCTTCTGACTTGCTCTGTTTCTGTGTTTTGCCTTTTGCCCTACTCACCTATAGAATTAAGTCTCTGGGGGCTTGTCCAGAATAGAATTTGGCCCCAAGACAGAAAGAGGTTCTGCACCCTTGCTGTATACCCACTGGCTCTATTCAGGCATACCATGGTTTCTTTTTCCACTCTGTACACAAAATGCAAGCAGCCTTGAGCTTGCTTCCCCCCCCCCCCCACCCCATTTTACCTTCCTTTCTCCTTTTGCACACCAAAGGAGATTAAAATGTTTCACTTTCAATTTTAAAGTGACCACTTTATCTCATGTTGCTGAAATGGAAGAACTCCAATTTTCCACTAGGATGAGCTGCAGCACTCTGCTTCCTTCTCCAGCAGGCCAGAAGAACCTAACACTCACTGGACTAAGAACTGTTGCAAAATGTCATTAGACAGTCATGGCAATATGAGATGCCTGCCTGTAAAGCAAACTCACAGAATGAGTCATCGCTGTTTCCCTTTCTTGCAAATTCTAGAATCCCCCCCGTTTGGTTTACTGCCACCATGTCAACTATGCACTGCTTCATGGGTTGGAAGAAGGGAAACTTGGATAGTTAGCCTTCAGCCGCTCCAAGCAGAATTCTCCAGTGGCTCACTCTGCAGGACGCAGGGTTGGAAGGTAGCAGGTCGCAGTTCAAGTCCTGTGAGAGGAAAGGGGGAAATGCTCCTCCTGCCTTCTCTTCGCCACAGTCCTGTGAAGTGCAAAAAGGAGGGAAGTCCTGGGACTCCAGCCACACTGCAACTTCCACAGAGCGGCATCCTAACTGCTCAGCCACACACAAGAAATGAAACTTTTTCCTCCCCAGTCATAGATGGCAGGCTCATATGTGACTGGGGGGGGGGGGGGCAGGGGGGCGGGAGCATCCCTGCTTCAAATGCAAATCTTTATTGGCACTTCACAGTTAACAAGACAATGCAGCTCCAAAAGTCCTCCAGCAAATTGAAGCATGAGGCTCTGCTTATGAGCAGAGAGTGAGTGAGTGCTGAGACCACACTGGAAACTTCTCCCCATTCTTCCCTCTCAGTAATTCTGCAGGATCCACCCTCAGTGTAGCTCCGGCTGGAGAGACCTGCACAAGCCCTACAGCTGGGCAGCTCGTCTCTCTGGTTGCCTCAACTTGGGGTCAGGGGCCAGGTAAGACAACAGCTCTCCCTCCTCTCCTGGGTCCCCTCCCCTCTCTTCCGAAACACGTCTGCTCTCACAGTTGGCCTGGGAAGCTGCGGGCAACAACCTCGAGGGAGCTTCAGAGTCTCCAGCCCCCCTTGAGTCCTCTAGCCCTCTCATCACCTCTTGCTCGGTGCGCTACCCTTCACAATCCAACAGCACAGCCCTTGGAAAGCCGGCAAAACGTGCGATTCTGGCCCACTCACTACACTGGCCATGACTAACAGGGTAGTCACCAAAAGGGGTGAGGGGAGCAAATGACTGGGTTTGCACAGCATGGCAACCCCTTATGTGTTGTCATGTCACGCAGACCCAGACCTATTTACCCAACGTGGTTTGTGCATGGGTTGTTGTACTCTCAATGGGTTGCTGTATCATCCAAATCCAAACTACTGGCCCTACTGGTATGGGGAACCAGCAAGCAAGCCTCATAGTAAGAGTAGCAAAAAGCCTTGCTGATTTGGTATAGGATTACTGGGCAAACACCAGTGCCAGCCACCGCCAAAGAGACCAGTCAGCAACTGGGGACATCTGGCACTGGTTTCCTCCTGTCCTTGTTACTGCTGTGAACCAGTTTGGGCTTATCATGCCTTTTTTCCCCTTTGAACTATTCCTTTCGCGGAGAACACAAAAGCTAGCTATAAGCAGTTGCTTCAAGGTACCCCTGCAGTGCGTTAAAGGTGTTTCCTGCGATTTTTTCTCAGCTTTCTTAAAATATGCAAAAATGTTTTTTAATATATCCAGAGTTGTGCAACTGTGCACTTTCAACAATTGGGCTACTGCAAACATTTAAAACCTCAGCTGGGGCATAGTGCAGGGAGATGCTTGCTGCCAAAGTTATATGCCCCAGTCCAAACCTGTAGCCAGCTGGGAATGCCAGCTGGTATGTCTTTTTCTTTCTAAACATGCATAGGATTGATCCTTAGCTTAGTTTTAGCACTTATTACTGAGTATATTGTTGTGGGCAAGTCTCTTCCCCCATCCCCTTTCCCTCTAGCAGACCTAAATGAAACCTTACAAGCATAGTCCTTTATTTGAGCTCTACACATTACAAAACAGCATAATTTGAAGTAACAATCCTCTTAACATGTGGGAATAGCATCTGCCCATGTGAAGAGTTGCCCATACTGAAATACCCCCTCCTTCCCTCCCTTTCAGTAAAGCTTCTGACTCCACCCCCATGGGCCTCCTACTGCTTGAGGGATAGGTGGTGGGAATGTCAGACACCTCTTAATTTGACTGCTCTCTTCACCTGTTGTTTCCAGACTGTGTCAAGGAAATCCCCCTGCATCTCCTTCCATCTGTTTTCTGAAATGTCCCCCTCCTTTTCTGGTTTGAACACTATGGCAGAGTTGTCACTTTTTAATCTTCAAACTAGAGTCATCTGTCCACCTCCTCTAAACCGTAAGAATCCACCTGGCAAAACTGACTCTTGAAAGAACTGGGTCCCCTCTCTACAGATATTGACAAACATAAATAAAAAGAGAAAAAGAACAATTGCTGCTTGCTTTAGCCATTGACTTTTCATGATGTAATACTGGAATTTCTGAAGTTTGCTCAGAAGTGCAGGTGACCTACTTTCCTACAGCTTGGTTTGTTATTTCAAGCATAAATGAGTCTTACCCTCCAATGGGTAATTCCAAACAGTATTATTTATATTTCCATGTTTAACTCACTTATCCCTCTGCTTTTCCAATGCATTTGCAGTGTGCTTTGCAATTCCATCCTCCCAATATCACATTGATAAACAACAATATAAAATTTACCTTGACAATTTGAACATGTACAGCATCATTAAATACCAGGAAAGAACAATAAGAACTATTAGCTCAGTTGTAAAATGTCTTCCAGAATGGTTTGTTGTTCAATAACATGCTACAGCAATTTGTGGCAGGGAATTCAGATGTCGTTCCCAAGACTACACTTCTTGCACTCAAAGACAACATCCTTTGATCAGCACCTAAATCACGGCATTTAACCATTTCCTGTACCCAGCTAGTTCATTTCTTGCAATTGAAATGTGACTGTACAAGTCGCAGTCATGTGTTGGATCATGTTGATCATGTCTTTTCTCTTCAGCAGTACTTTTAATCCCATGGATTGCAGTAGGAATGTTTAAACATGCTTAACTTCTTTTCACTGATGTTTTAAAATGCTTAAGAATACAATCCTATGCATGTTTAGGCAGCATGATTGGCTAGGGAATGCTGGGATTTGTAGGACTTTTTTATGCCTAATCATGCATAGGATTGTCCCCCTAAGATGGAATGGATCATATCTGATTCCTTCTTTCAACTAATAATTCAATTAAACTAATTAGTTTTCAGGAGGGAACAGGTTTTTGGCATAGCACCCTCCTTAGCTTTTGTAAGCTTCCCCATGGAGAGCTTTGGAAGGGGAAAATCAAGTGTGTGACCCCGAAGTTCTCTCAAGCAAGCTACCTCACAGGTTTGTTGTGATCCCAAATGCTGCCATGAGCTCTTTGTAACAGAGTGGGCTGCAAATCTAATGGATAGATGGTGACCATGAACTTCCTCTGGATCTGAAAGACTTTCCCATGCAGCTACTCACAGAAGTGTCCTCTCCTTTGTGGGATGTCACTAGTCGTAAATAGGGCAACCCTTTGACTGAGTATGGCCTCCCAGCAGAACTCTTCGCTTCTTTCTATAGTTGTCAACAAGGAATGAGAAGGTCCTTTACTTGGATTGCACTTCTTAGAGTAGCAGAAGCATGTATTCCCTGCACTAGGAATGGGGCACTGAAAGGGTTCTGCTGATCATCAGATGGATGAAGGAAACCCTTCTGAAGCATCAGAGGCATCTGTTTCATCCAAGAACCCCACCTAGACTGCACTTCTGGGCCTCTTTGCACATGTGTAAAATGTATCCCTTCATATCCCTGTATGCTATATTGTTGTTTCTACAGGGTCATCACTCCCGCTCACTCATGATTCCATCAGGGCTCCTTTAGAGGCCCATCAACAGGAAAAACCATCAGTGCATCCAACTGGGAACAAAAATAAAGGCACAGGAAATGAACCAGAAAAACCAGCATTGCCAAATGCAGGTAAGACACAGGCAGCATCTAGGATTTAAAAACCCAAACTAAGGCTTTCTACTTTGGTTCCCTTTAAAGGGGAAGTGATTCTTGGCCAATATTAGCCACATACGTTCTAGGTCTTATTTCTCAAATGTGTCATTGCATCAGATTTCCTTTCAGCACATTTGCGCAGTTAACTTTTTCTCCTCTTGATTCAACTGGAACAAAATTAGATGTACAGAAGAGCCACTGTGAGTTGGTGTATAGGGTGACCAGATGTAATATGGAGCCATAACCTTTACCAGTTGGGTAAAAGAGAGAAGTTTCAGCAAATGCTGTTTTTCATGTGTTAGTGCTGCAGAACTGAGACAAGATATGCCTGGTGAAGTTCTGTGAGACTGTTATAGTAAACCTGCCCTCAGTAGTATCCACTCCCCTTATTAAAGCTGATTTATTCTATCATACAAAATACCTGAGTTTAAAGTGGCAAATTGTGAACAATATGTGTACATGTAAATGTTCTGACTTTCTTGAAATAAATATGTGCAACTTGCATTGTAAGGAGTTATCAGGAAGGGATTGTGCCCTCACTTATGGCAGAGAAAGGCAGCTGTTTAAACACTCTTACATTTCATAATCGATGACATCATTTGCTAACTCACTCGTCATATTCAAACTTTGAAAGTATAGTACAAATCAGCTCTTAGTGGTAAAGCCCTGCATGTTCCACTGGTGTTATATCTTGGCAGCTTTGAAGTAAATTGGAAGACTAAAATTATTGTCTGCTAATGGGTCCCCCACCCACCCAACCAATATGCTTGAAAAGTTAGAAAAATTTTGGGATGTGGGTGGCACAATGGGTTAAACCACTGAGCCACTGGGCTGTTGATTGGAAGGTCAGCAGTTCAAATCCACGTGATGGGTTGAGCGCCTGCTGCTTTGTCCCAGCTCTTGCCTACCTGGCAATTCAAATGAATCCAAAAGTGAGAAGATAAATAGGTACCACTTTGGTGGGAAAGGTGGTAGTGTTCCATGTGCCTTGGTGTTCAGTCATGCTGGCCGCATGATCACGGAAGCATCTTCGGACAATGCTGGCTTACAAACCAAGATGAGCGCCTGCCCCAGTCAGACATGACTAGCACACAGGAGGGGGAACCTTTACCTTAATGGGTTCCTCCCCCAACCCATATGCTTGAAGAGTTAAAAATATTATCCAATGTCTGGCAGTGATTTTGCTTTTGGAAAATAAGGTGTGGTGGCTACACTTCTATGCACTGTTATTTTGGAGAATACTCTGTTTAACTCATTGAAAGTCACTTCTAACAGCCTTGTTAAGTTTGCCTTGCTTGGGTTTACTTGAAGCCTAGCAGATAGAGCAGGTCTTTTTATTAGAACATTGAGTTTAAGTTGATAGAGGATTTCTAACACTCTTGTTTTTTATTCAAACAAAATAAATCTTTCTGTGGGGACCTCATACCCATAGCTCGCCCTTAACGTAACTCATGTTTTCACTTTCAGATCCTGTGTTCAAAGCAGCTGCACAAATGCTTCCTTTATCTCTACCACCAACATCCATGGACCTTCCACATTCTTTACATTCAAATCAGTCTTTACTAGGTGCCAAGGTAAAAAAATGCTATAGCAGGGGAACATACCATTCATAACATCTTTATTCTGCTATGTAAAAGGGCTCTCTGAGCAAATTTACACATTAACATGTTTAAGTGTACTTAAGTGTTGGGAAATACCTCTCTCATACACACATGCTCACTAGGGAGCCAGGATTCTCTATGGCATGTGTACTTTTAAGGGTGCTCCAAGGTTTGCTGCTGAATAATGATGCCTTCTCCTCTAAATGTTTTAGCCTATAGTTTCTAGCTTCTCCCAGCCAACCATGGCGGGCGCCTGATTGGGTTCAGTGGCCCTAAATCTGTGCACTTGCATGGAAATGTGTATTTATTAAATACAGTGTTGCTGTGTCTGCCCTTTAGCACATAACAGCAGCTTATTATGCAACTAATCACACAAATTAACAACTAAGTGTAGGGTAACAAGAACTGATTTCCAGGACAGCCAATAAAACAAAATAGTGGGGAAAAAATTCTAACTGAATCAGGGGATCACATGAAGAAGAACCTGACCTGTGGGACCTGAGGAGCATTTCCTGTCAGATTCTCAGTACTTTTTAGCAGCTGTGTTTGTGCTTAAAACCACAAAAACCAGATTGACAGGTTTGCTAGCAGAGAAGGGCAGAGGCCAGTTTCCCCACAGTACACTAATCTAAGTTGCCTGCAGAAAGCAGCTCTTTTGGACAGTTGGGGGAAATATTATACAGATATCATCCATGCTGCATGATATGGCTTTCTTCCTACCCTACCACAGCCTCAGATCAACACATTTTTATAAATCAACAAGAATAAATAAGGATCAAGCCACATGATACAAGAATCTCACTTTTCAAAAAGTGTGCTGGTTTATGAAAAAGTAGCTGTGTGGAGTTCCAATGTGGAAAGTGTTCTTGATCTGGATCAGGGCACAACAGCAGTTACTCACTAAAATTGGTCCTCTACTGGCTACCATTTGCCCCTGAAGATCCTCTTTGCTGCATGCACTAGTAAATAGCAGTGTCTTGACCAGAAGCATGTGTCAGCTAGCCAGCTTTAGCATCTTTTGAAAAGGACTGAATAAAATAACAAGTCGTTTGACACTGAAAATAAGCTAAGTGAAGTCCCAGCATCAGGACCACTATTACTGCAACTAACCTAAAACCAGTTTGGCCCACTGGATAATGTCCATAATGATTGTATACAGCTCCATACCTTGTTGTGTGAACTTACCAGTGAAGTGGTACACAGACCATTGATCTGTAGAGTGAAACCACTGGCCTATCCAGCACAGTTTTGTGTATCATAACTGGCAGGAATTCTAAGAGTAGCAGGAAGGTTTGTTTCTTAGCATAGGGAAGCATATTGAGACAGAAAAGGTCCTAAAACATGGCTGTGGAATGCTGGTTGTTGTAGTACTTTTTATGACTCAATATGGATAGGATTGCACCCTGCATCAGTTTTTGTCTTCTCCTCAGGCTTGAACCTGGTATTAGTTGCATGCAAAGCATGTGCTCTGCTGCTAAGCAGTGGCTTCCTAGCATGACCCTGCACACTGCTTCTGGTGGAAATGTGCATTTGGTTTGGCCCTTCTTTGTAATCATACCTGAACAGATAGCCACAAGTCAGAAACGGATGGACAGCACATAACAGCAACAAATACCAATAGCAATGGTGATGGGTTCAAATGTTTCAAAAACAAAGTAAGGCATTTCCCTTTTCAGTGGTCTGGCTTCATTTACAATTGGCACCAGAAGGCTGTCTCTTCCTTACTTCACATAATAACTAAGAGTATTATTAGTTTCAGTATTATTCCTTGTGAAAGTAATTTGCTCAGAGCCCTGTGAATCTTCTGTGGTAAAGATAATAACACTCTGACTGTTGGTATGAATATACTTTGTGAAAGTATATTCATTTTCCAAAAAGACTTTGGTCATCTTTTCCAGTTTGCCCCCACCTCAGTGGAACTCACAACATCTGCTCAAGCAAAGCTTAGATCAATAATATGAGTGAAGTGCAATCTAAAAGAAAACAATACTAAAATATATTATTGTTCAGTTATTTTGATGTGTATCTCTACGGCTAACCAGTTCTTTTAGGTAGTGTGTTGTAATTGTGACCTGTGCTCTGGTGTTTGAAGATAAAATGTCTGTTTACTATAATAACCCAGGAATTTTTCTTTTTTGAAATCCCCAGCCTGGCAGTTCTTCCATTCCTCAACAGGAAACTCCCCCTAATCTCCAGAGTGCCAGCCTTTTATGGACCCCACAAGAAGTGGAAAATGCCACTAGTGGCTTCAGTGCAGAAAACCGTATTAGTGAAGGCATTTTTGCCACTACCTACAAAGGTTGGAAAGACAACACAATGTATGTTGTAAAAAAGCTAAAAGAGGCAAGTAACTCTGTTTATGCAAATATTTAAGAAAACTGCTCCATTAGAAGAGTTTAAGGAAGGCTGGTTTGAATTAGGGGTGCCATCCAATTCACACAGCAGTTTCCTGAGAGCTTCATTCATCTGTGTATTTGATAGAAGGCTCCTGGGCATAGGCATCAAAACTCAAATGTTGCGGAGTGAATTCACAGTGTGTTGCCCCATCTCTGTGCAGTAGGCCTCACCAGGTTAAGAACCACAGTCTCGTGGGTGCTGCTGCCATTATCAGTTACTGGGCAGTACAGAAATGGAATAAATACCAATAATCAGTTATGTCTTGGGACTCAGCAATGAAAACCTGGTCCAGAAATACAGATCCCCCAGTTATTTCTGCATGTCTTGAAAAATAATCAGGTGGGCCCAGATTATGTCTCTTTATTTATGCCCTAACTTTCTACACTCAAAAAAGTGCTCAAGGTAGCAAAGAACTTACTTAAAGCAATCATAAAAACAAGTACATTAAAGAAAAAATATGATATTAGAATCAGTCATCAACCTAGACTTGTATGCTGGGGTTCACCCAAATCTACAGGCCAATAGTTTCAGATACTGAACCTTTCTGTGGTGATGGCAGGGAGTTACAAACAGCATTATGACAACTTCATTTTCTATCCAGCTTTTCTGCTATGGCATTAACAGTAGCTCACTGTAAGTTACAATGCCTCTATTCCTGATTCAGTGTTTTGAGTACTAGGCAAAAATGAGTGCTAGAGAACATTAATTGCTTGCTTAATAAAATGGCCAAGTAATGTATAGCATGTTAGAACATATGCATGTATCTGTCATGCTCTTGGGACAAGTAATTAATGTATTCTCTTTTTCTACCAGGCTGACACACAAAGGTTTTTTCGTACAGAAGTGCAGATCTGCTTTCGGTAAGTAGCTGTGTAAGCACTGGTGGTGGAGAAGGAATTGGTACGAGCACCTTTAGCAATATTGTGTTTTTGAGCTGTGCTGATATGCATTTTTAGCAGAAAGCCCAGGTTCTCGCACTTCCTGTTTTCTGTGCACATAGGAAATGTACCGTTAGTTGATATTACAGGAAAATAGGTGAGGGCTGTTCTCAAGTTGTTGTCTGTAACTCACATGCAAAATGACACTGGCTTTAGTTTTCTGTATCCTCATTAATGAAATTTGTAAGTGCAATGTTCCAGACTCTAAGGTAGTTCATTATATTGCTTGCAGATGTGTGTGTGTGTTGATGCAGTATTGCTGCTATTGTAAAACCATTACAATCTCATGTGGGGCAAGCTTTAAGTCATTGATCAGAACCTAGAAGGCAACAGGCATTGTATTTTTCCAGTGTTAGCAATGGTAAGACAGAATTGTAAGCAGACAGTCGATTTCTCCTTCCATAGCAGGCAATAGAAAAGTGCTAGCTTGCATGCACCCAGTCTAATGGATCACAGCTTTTTTGAAAATCAGGATGGGTAACTTTGGGAGGTCTTGGTGGGGGGGCACTTTTGCCAATTAACACCCCTCCTGTGAAAATGATGCGAGACAGAGCACCATGAAGGTCAAATTTAGTTTTTCTGCAGGTTAATTGGATCCTTTAGGACCCTCTGTGGTGTAGTAGTTAAGAAGATGGGCCTGGGGCCTTGGAGACCTGGGTTCTAGGCCCCACTCGGCCATGAGCACACTGAGCAACTTTGGGCTGTTCACAGACTCTCAGCCTGACTTGCGTTACAGGGTTGTTGTGAGAATATAATAGAGGGAAGAACCTTGAAAGCTGCTTTGGGTTCTTTGTACGGGGAAGAAAGACAAGTGTAACAATAATAATATTGCTTGCAAACAAATGAAATGTGACTGCTTTGATTTGTTCCTGACACCATTTTCCCTCATAAAACAGGTTGAGGGTGAACGTGGCTTGTGGGCAACATAACAACTGTACATTTTTCAAATGCTCTAACTTAAATTAGAACTTCTAGTTTAACATCAAGGTCTGTTCTGTTTTCCCCCCATAATATCTGTTCATATACCCTTCAGGTGTTGCCACCCTAACATACTACGGCTGTTAGGCTTTTCTGTAGATACAGGATTTCACTGCCTGATATATCCTTACATGCCCAATGGGTCACTGATGGATCAACTACAGTGTCAGGTAAGCCACACACTATTACATTACAGTTCTGCAGAAGCAAACAAAAGTGGGCTTGGGCAAGAATCACCCATCAGGAAAATGCAGGCATTTCTGATGTTGCCATACTCGGTTTCCATCAGCCTCAGCTAGCATGCTTGGTAGTTGTGAATGATGCGAGCTGAGTCCAATAATGTCATGTGTTCCATAGGCTCCCACCCCTGTGTAATACTGAAGTTGCCCTGGTAGGAGAGGAGGGCAAAATGTATTCTGGCTACAGTCACTGGGAGAAGGCAAAGTTCTGCACTGAGGGAGCCCCTTCCCAATAACAGGGGCATCAGCATGACCCTTACCTTTGGCCAAACAGCTGCCAGGAGCCACTCCTTTGTTCCTTCCAGAAAGAACTCTGCTACAATGGTTGATCAGTTGCCCTGTGGCTGTAGGGGTTAAAGGAAAGAAACTCTGGACCCACTTGCTAGCTATAGGAAGGAGGGCTACTGGGACATGGCACTCTTGCCTGAAGACAAGTTAGAGAAATATTTTTTCTTACTTTTTTTACACCCACTTTTGCCCATTAGTGGTGGCTGCTGTGGGGTTGGGCTGGGAACAAGCTCAAACATGAATGCATGCCAGTTACTGAAAAGGCTGCAGATCCTCTACAGAAAGTGCATTCTGCTACAAAAAATGAATCAATCGGAGCATGGATTTTCTACTGAAGTTTCAGCTTCAGTTTGTGCTTTTAGGAATATGGCTTTGAATTTGAAGAACTGCATGACTGAACGCATGATGTGAGCCAGTGTGGTGTAGTGGTTAAGCATGCTGGACTGGGACTCAGGAGATCTGGGTTCCACTGCCCACTTGGCCATGGAGCTAACTGGGTGACTTCGGGCCAGTCACAGACTCTCAGCCCAAACTACCTCACACAGGGTTGTTGTGAGGATAAGATTTACAGGAGTAAGAGAATGATGTAAGCTGCCTTGAGTTCCTTGAAAGGAAAAAAAGTGAGATATAAATATAATAAATAAATAAATAAATCTGGGCATCTTTAAATGTGTTGTATGAAGAGACTTTTCAAAGGCAGTTCATGATATAACACTGGAATCTGCTGATTAAGGGGGGGAAACTAAAAGAAAACAAATGCCACTGGAGCTTATCAAGTCCCTGGGCAAACCTAACATAGATTTTTGGATTCCAGCTGTGAAACTTATAGAAGTACTACAGTGTCTATTGTACATTGAACTCCATTCTGTGGATGCAACATCAGTCCAAAGGACCCATAGTTTAATCATCTTTATTAGGACTGATGCCTGCTTTGAGGTATTGCAGTTCTCTTCTTTAAGATTTTTACCTAACAAAATGACATGGTTGCCTCCCATTTTTCAGAGGTGTCCATTTTGGATCAGGATGCACAGTCTGCATATGTATACATGTATGTCTATTTTAATGGAGACAAACTGTTCCCTTTGATGCACTAAATTTCTTGATTCCTTATATGGACTAGCTGCAGAGATTCAACTGCACACTTTTCAGACTACATCAGCCAATGGACAGCTTGTTTGGTTCCTGCTCCAGAGAAAGGCTTGTGCAACTTGTACACTTTCAAAAAGGCACTTCTCTTTTTGTTTCAGGGTGATTTTAAGTCACTGCAGTGGGATCAATGCATCAGAATCTCTTTGGGACTTATTCAAGCCCTTCAGTATTTACATCACTTTGGAATTATTCATGGCAATGTGAAAAGGTTGGGAACTGACTTTAAAATATCACACTCTTCTTTATACCAGTATAACTCTTTTTTATAAATTAGTGAAACTTTTCAACTGTCTAAAAAAAATTCTGTAGTCTGACAATATGACCCTCATTTAAGTCTTGATCTGCCTTTTCAGCATTACAGTTTTGGTACTCATTTTTCTATTAAGAAGGTGCTTAAAACTAAGCATGATTCTAAGCTATTTTATGGCTTTCAGGTGAAAATTGGTTGCTATTTTTGGAGCTGAACTTTGATATGTGGTTCTTTTCTCCTACACACACAGTTCTAATGTTTTGCTGGATGCAAACTTCACACCACAACTTGGACATTCAGGCCTTAGATTGCACCCTGTGAAGAAAAAATCTGAGTATGCTGTGATGAAAACCAAAGTCTTGCAAGCATCCCTTGCTTACTTTCCAGAAGATTTTGTCAGGCATGGGCAACTCACAGAAAAAGTGGACATATTTGGTTGTGGAATAGTAAGTCATCCACCTTTTATGACTAGTGCTACATGTGAATCATGCCAAGAATGCAGCAAGTATTCATTTAGGTGAATGTCAATTGTTGCTTCCACCATAATATAGATAATATATTTTTAAATATAATTCTGTGGGTCCAGAGATTTAAGGGTGGGCCTATAGTTCAGTGCTGGAGCATGTTCTGCATAGAGCCATTCCTGGGTTTTATGCTAGACATCTTTAGTGAAAAGAATTTTGGGAGGCAAAGCTAGGAAAGTCCTCTGCTTGAGACTTAAGAGAGGGGTTGCCAGTCAGAGTTGGTAACACTGGGCTAGTTTGACTCAGTTTTGGATTGCCTCATATGTTTACAGAATATAGCAGCCCCTATGACTATGTGCAGAGAGTGCCAAGTAGAAATAGCCTGCATGCCAGAACCATGGCAAGCAAGTGGCCATCTACTGAAAGGTAACAGCAGAGAGTTGTGCAGGGTACCCAGTTCAATGCATTTCCCGTCAAGGAATGGAGCAGGTGGGGGATAAGCTTTAGCATGCCTTTAATAATCCTCTCCTATTTGTACTGCCATGTGAGCGTGTAGAGTTCCATGTCAATAGTGAGGGATGCATCAAAGCTTTGGTTAATTTTTACAGTTTCTAAAATTAATGATCTGACAGTGGAAGTAACACTTGGTGAAATTTCAGAAGTCAGGAGTGGGGTTAACAAGATGTGTGGAGGCGAAGAGGGAGAGCCTCTTTCTGGCTTGGTCTCTGGCAGTCAGGGCAAGAGTACATTTGGCAAGAGAAACAACTATCTGTGTTGACATATTTTATTCAGATCACCCAATTAAATTTTCCCAAGCACCAAACTTATTTCTTTACCTTGGCCCAGACTATTTCCCTCCCAAGCACAAAATGTACACAGCCCTGAATATAATAACTGCACTGGAATCATTTTTTGCCTGACAAGTATATTTCTTGAGCCCAGAGGACAAGAGGATGGAAAATAGCTTGGCAACTAAAGTTTAACCTAACCCCCAAGATCTGCTAAAGAAGGGAGAGTAAGAATGGTGCAGAAATGCTCCTCTGGCAGTGGGGAGAAATCTCTCTCTCATGCAGACCCGCACCTCACCTATACAAAGCTATAAGGGTCCAAAAGGCAGAGCTGAGGTGGCCTCATCCACAGCATCATTTCACTGCCTCATTTGCCACAGACACCCCATGACAGGGCTCCCCTTTCATGCCAGCCCTGAGCTGCCATTATTTAAAAATAAAGACCATGGAGAAGGAAGAGGTAAGTTTGCCCCCATATCTGCCATTTTGCTCTGCCTTTCCATTATTTAGGATGATTCTGTAATATCCAGACTTAAAAAGACTTACTTATAATTCCCCCCTAGATTTTAGCAGAAATATTGACTGGCATGAAGGCAATGGACGAAGAAAGGCACCCTGTTTTTCTGGTAAGTGAAAAATATATTATTAGTAGGATGGTATTTGAAACAGGGCTGCTACAAATGGGAGCTCTTCATCCTGCTTTGGGGAAGGAAATACTTGTACCAAAATTGACTTTTCATGCAGTTCATTTGCACCTATGTTCCAAATCCCACCTGCTACTAGGAATGGAGCAGCAAAACAAAACCAAAGAAATCTCATGCTGCAACCTCATGCTCTCATGCTCATACAAAATTCAGTGGTGCAAGTTTTCAAGAAAATGCTCAGTCGAATATGTTTGAATCAAAACATTTCCAGAAAATTGTGTGATACCACGAACTAGTTGGTTTCTAATTCATGATCATTATGTTCAATGAATTAATATTTATTTTAATATTATATTAAATTTAAATTAAATATTAATTTTATATGCTGTATATGCCCCAATAGCAGGTGGCTAACGGCAGAGACCAGAAAGGACTTTTTTAAAAAAGAAATTAGTTTAAAATTAGCATTATAGAGGTATAATGCTAAACACTTGTGGTGATATGATAGTGATTTAAAGAAAAATTATTACAGGAAGTCCCCTACATACGAATAATTTCTGTTCCAAGAGCGTGTTAGTAAGTCCAATTTGTTCATAAGACCAACAAAGTTAGCCTAGGTATCCAACTAACACAATTGCCTATATAGCACTGTACTTCAATAGGTTTATCACAACACTGGAGGGCTTCTGTTGACAACACTGGAGGACTCCCGGAAATTATACTTCTGCGTACACAGCAGGGCAGAAGTGTACCCATTTTGTTCGTCTGATGGGTTCCTCCTCATATGGCATTACTGTTAGGTTGGTGCAACCTGTGCTACGCTATACTGGACTCACCTCTTTCAATTAGTACAGTAAAGTACATAAAAGCATGTTTGCATCTTTGAAAGTTGACAACTTGAAGGTTCGTATGTAGGGGACTTCCTGTATTGGGTTATAGCATTATAATTAAAATCAATTTTAAAATTTTCTGATTATTGCTTTCTAAAATAGCAGTGATTGGTTTTGTTGTTCTCATTCCCCCCATATCTCTCTGCCTACATCTATATCTATTTGTCCGTCTGCCTGTCTGTATTGTATTATAGGTGTCTAACCCTATAACTTTCTTTCATTTTAATGGTACTTAACTTTTAAATATTCATCTAAAATAGTTTGAAAAGTGTTTTAGTGCTGCTTAAATGATCCATTTAAAATAAATGGGTGGTAAAAATGGTGCTCATTCGAAGAGTTCAGTGAATGTGAACTGAGTTAGGATATGTACTACTGCCTGCTAAGTCATTACCCATGACAAAACCACACTTTTAATGAAGATGTAATAGTAGTGCATAGTAGAGCTAAGGGAAGAACACAGTGGGATGCATGCACTGAAAATGCACGATTATCTCCTGAAAGTCTGGAAAGCTGGTTCCAATTCTGCTTCTGCTTGAGTTTAACGTGGAAGAGCAGTGATCTAATAGCATTAGGAGCCACCTGTCTGGGAGCACCCAATAGAAATGTTCTGCACTGTATCACTGACGTAACTTCAGACACACAACCATCAGCACATGCTTGTGCAATTAGGCACTGTGAATATGCATGCATCATCAAGCTCAGTTACAATGAGCTTCCAGAGGAGAAAATCACATTACTTAATTCACAGCATTTTGGGAAGCAGAAGTTCTGATGTCATCTTCTATTTATAACCCCCCATGCATTTTCCCTCAGTTTCTTCCATCTTTTTTCCCTTTTCCATAGAAAATCTGTTAAGGAGGAGATGATGAAAAATACTTGGGAGTTGTCCAAAATTTGATGTTTCATTCATGTAAGGGATGCTCACTTCCCCACCCACATAATAGTATTTAGCAAGTAATCCATATAATTAGATATGGCAGAAAATTGTTAGGGATATCCCCATATCTACTCTAGGCTGTACAGGCCAATATACATTAACCAGAACTGTCTAACTTTGTTAAATCGCTCTGGGGCAGGCTTTTGATGAGTACAACACAGCCCTGTGGGGAGAAATCCCATTAAGAAATCCTAGTAGATCAGACAGCTCAGCCCATAGATCCTCATTTCTTGTCTTGTCCCTTGTTGGTGTGCAATCTATCTTAATTAGGTGCAGATAAAATCTGAACATTACTGTCCACTTCATACTGTGATTTTGATAAGTCTGCCAGTTTAATATTTTTCAGCTAGAAAAGTGATGGAGCATCTTCCATCTCTCTCAATCTTTTTTATCAGAAAGATGCCCTCCTTGAAGAAATTCAAATGGCCAAAGAAGTATCCTGTTCTAAGGAAAGAACCTTTGAAAAACTCGCAGCTGCAGAAATATGTCATAAATATCAAGACAAGCAAGCAGTTCAATTTCCACCAATGAGTGCTGTTCGTTTGGCAACGGCTGTCTGTGTTTGTCTGCGGAAAAAGAATGCTGACTTGGCTGAGGTAAATGTGACACCCCCCTTCCTAATTCACCTCATTCTCCGACAGTGATGCTTCTCTAGCCACCTCAGTCTGGGATGCTAGAGAAGGAGGGAAAGTATGGTAGAGATGAATTGCTCCAACAAGGAGTGCTTTCCTACTTCAGTTGCATTTTATCCTTGCCAATGGAGGGGAGTGGGAAGAGCCCACAGTGGGCATGAAAGCCTCAACTTGCTGGCTGAGGAACTTCTGCAGACTGGAGGTTCCCCAGGCCTGTCCCCAGGTGCCCACATATCAATCTTTCCTGCAGCAGACACAAATGTTTTTGTTTATGCAGTTATTTTGTGAGAAAAATACAAATTTATTTAACATTGCTGTTAAAAATAGGCATATGAAATTATGGAAGTAGCAGATCATCCAATACAGTATCAGAAAATGCCTGAGGGAAGCAGATATTTTGGATTCTCTGACAATACCCCAGAAGAAACCAATGATGAGCCAGCGAGCCCATTCATCGTTGGTTTGTCTGATGACCACAACGATAGCGTCAGTCCCAGATCGTTGAACTGTGCTGATTTGTTGCCACCTTTGATAAGAGTTGTGCCTCCTGAAACATATTCTGGGCAGATGTTACAAGTCCCTTGTGAATCAGATGAATCAAGTAACTTTTCATGGGACCCTATGGAGGATGTAGCCTACCAGCCACCAAGGAACAGCCATCCAGATCTAGGAAATGCCGCTTCTGCTAAGCCTCTGTCAAAGGATCCAGAAGATTCCAGTGACTTCAGAGCAGAAAATATGGACTGTGACAGAACTATAAAGCCACAGGAAATGACTGTCCCTTCAAGTGGAATGCTTCAGTCAAATACAAAAGAAGGTGATGCTGCCTGTTCCTCACAAGGTAACAAGGTAACTTTTAAGTATTCTTTGGAGTGGGGACATTAAAGACACATATAGTTTTTCATGTATTTATTAATATGTCCCTACCCCAAGGTACTTAGTCTAGAATTTACTACTGGCAAAATAAGAGAGGGAAATGGAAATGGGGTGAACTGGGAAGCAATATGCACCCTGTGTGTCCACCCAGTCACTGTCCACCCTCAGAAACATAAGACGTTTTAGCTTTCTTATTAGCATTCCTTATTTCTTATTAGCATTTCTTATTAGCATTCCTCCTTATTTCTAGTCGTGCCATTTTATTTTTTCCAGATTTTCTCTGAAATTATAACTGATATTGTTTAATCTTAAAAAGCACTTGCCAATTGTTAACCTCTGAACCCCTGGGAAAATGGTTGTGTGCTTCTGCCTCCTCCTCCTCCTCCTCCTCCTCCTCCTCCTCCTCCTCCTCTTTTGATTTGCAGATTAGGCACCTGCAGATGCTTTAGCAAGGACAATGGATGTTGTGCTGTGATCCATTTGTCTTCATACAAGTTTAAATCCACTTGGAGTTTAGGAAGGGACTTGGAGTATTCTTCCTTGACTTTTTTCATTTTCTCTGATACTATTTTATATCCTCTTGCTGAATCCAGACCTTAATATTTTCAAGCCCTTGACCTGACTTGCCCAGTAGTGCCATTTATTTATTTGTTTGTGATATTTCTATGCCATCCTATTGCAAAAGCCTCAAAATGGCTTACATAATAAAATACAAATATCAATATAAATAATAACAAAGTATCAACAACATAAACAAATCGACCCACTCTGGCTGCAGTTTAAAATATAGTATTAAAAATACCATATTAAAACTTATTAAAATATTGATGAAATAAAAGGTCTTAACCTGGCACTGAAAAACATATAATGACAGCGCCAGGCGGACCTCTCTGGGGAGCGCATTCCGTAGATGGGGCGCCACCTCAGAGAAGGCCCTCTTCCGGGTGCTCTGCCTCCTAGTATCTTTCACAGAGGGTTCCTGGAGGAGGGCTTCTGCTACTGATCTCGGGGCAGGAGGGCAAATAGGGAAGAAGGCATTCCTTTAGAAGTTTCTCCACCCCATCACCATTAGAGAGATCCATTCTTCTGCTGATATGACTGTTAAGTCCTAAAGAGAGCGGCTGGATCTCAGTCTGGTCCCTCCACTTTAACCATTCAGTCTTGGGAACCCCTGCTGGAGAGCAGCTTAGTGAGACAGTCTGGCCTCCTGGCAACATTGCTCACAGCTTCTCTAACACTCTCAAACCGCCTCACTACATTAAGCTGTGCATCCAAGAGAGGATGGCTGAATCTAAACTTTAATACTTTCAAGCCCTTGATGTATTGGAGGATAAAGTTTTCAGTGATTACTAGGCATGTTGACTATATATTACCTTCAGTAGGAGATGCAATGTAGCTCTGAGTTCCAGTTGCTGAAAAACATGAGTGGGAGGGTGCTCTTGCAGTCATGTGCTACTTGTGGATTTTCACAGGCAGCTGGTTGGTCACTGTGGGAACAGAATAATTTGTTATTGCCTCAGTAGTCTGCAACCACATTCATTAAGTGCAATGTCAATGATGTTAAATTACTTGTTTGCTTTTTTATTTCAGCATCAGCTAAAGAAATAAAGATCAATGACAAAAAGAAGAAGATGATGGAACGATTTTTATTATATGAAGAAAACAAGATAAACAGTCATGAACTCTTTGAATCTTCGATATAACTAAATCATTACCAGTGGCATTATCAGGAAATGGAACTCTTTCTTATCAGTAGAAGCTAAAGCAAAAAAGCATTATTTAAAAGTTATGCTGGATCTCCGTGCAAGAAAGGTATGAAAGGAAGCATCATTTTGGGGTGACTAGAGGCAAGAGGATTCTCTTCACTACTTTGAGACTGTGATAGAAATATCTTTTAGTGCCCCCTTAAAATAAAGGCAAAACCAAAATGAAATGTAGAAAAACAGGGTACAAGGAAAAAAACTTGCTCATTTTGCAATGGAGTTATCAGAATAATATGGCATATTTGCACTACTTAGCTGAACTGTGTTTAAGAACAGAATGCATTTTATTGTCCTACATACTGTGTCAGACTGAATTATTCATCCATTTTCTATGCAATGGTGATTGTAGCTCTGACAATATTTCTAATATAGTCATGCGTGAGACCTGGAGAAGACTGAAGAGAGATATGGTAGCATTTTACAAATACTTGAAAGTTTATCACATAGAGAAGAGGCAGAATCCTTCTTGTCATGCAATGGTGCCATAAAGGGCTTAAGCAGTAGGAAGCCAGATTCTGGCTGGACATCAGGAAAAAACTTTCTGACTAAAGCAGTACTGTATTATCCAGGGAGGTCATCTGCTTGGCACAATGGAGGCATTCCAGAAGCAGTTGGACAGCAATCTGTCAGGGGTGCTTTAACTAGAACTTTAACAAATCCTGCATTGAGCAGGGACTTGATGGGTTTACAGACTCCTTCCAACTCCTCTGTTCTGTGGAATATGAAGCTACATTTTACAGTCCACATTCCCCATGGAGTCAACAGTTGATACATTCTCACAGGACTGATCACTTTGCTTGGGAAGTGGAAACAGAATTCACATTCCTTCTGTTTCACTGTCTCATCAGGTGATAACCACTGTGGGGCATCTGATCATAGTTTTCACAGAGATGGTGCACATTTTAACAGCTGGTACTTGGGACAAGGAAGGGCTTTTACCTCTTTTTAATGCCAATGGCTATTGTTGAAAAGGACTGCCAGCCTTTGGCCTGATCTACCAGGACTTTTATTATGTTTATACTAATACAATGATACACTCACCAGTATGTGCATTAGGATTAATTAGTTGTGGAGGGAATGCGAGTAATAAGGAAACACGGCAATTTTTATTTTCTTTATCCATTTCTGATCTTTTACATTGTCCTCTAATTTCATACAGTATTGTTCTAGCATGGTAAAGCAATTCCTTTTTAAAATATGAAGGACACCATGGGTTCACATTGCTGCTGTAAGAAAGTTTTTTAGCCAGAATTTGCATATTTGTGCAAAATTTATATTAAAAACAGTGAATACCAACCTGATATTTTGTGGCAGGCAGGATTGTTAAAAAACACAATTGCTCTAAATGTAAATTGAACTTTAAATGTATTTTGTTGGATTGCCTTGTTTTGATGTTTCTTAAACATATAATTCAGATTAAAAGATACTGGATTAGCAGTGCAATAGTATATACTCAGAAGTTCCATTGACTTCAGTTTGACCCCTCCCCAAATAAGTGAATACAAAATTGCAGCCCATCAAAAAATCTCATATTCTCATCTTTAGTTACCGCTACATTCATAGAAATCACTGCCTAACGATTGCAGCCATAAAAGTAAAACTGAGATGGGAAGTGAAAGCAAAGTGTGGTGTAGTGATGTGAGAGCCAGTGTGGTGTAGAGGTTAGTTAAGAGCATGGGACTGGGACTCAGACGATCTGGGTTCTAGTCCCCGCTCAGCCATGGAGCCAGCTGGGTGACTTTGGGCCAGTCACAGGCCCTCAGCCCAACCTACCTCACAGGGTTGTTGTTGTGGGGATAAGATGGAGGAGGAGAATGATGTAAGCTGCCTTGAGACCTTTGTAGGAAAAAGGCAGGATATAAATTGAAAAATAAATAAATAAAGAAGATGGAGGCTCCTCCTTTTTCTTCTCCAGATAAGCAACGTTAATCAATTCCTGATAGGTGCGAGTGTCTCAATTGGATGGGGCCATATTCAGTATAAATGCTGTACTGTCTTGTTTTGTTTTGCTAATAATAAACTAATCTATTGGTTAACAGTTAAACTATTTATTTACTAATTGCATTTATAGGTTAAAAGGGAAAGTATTTATAGTGAGAATATTTTATGGTTTTATAAATAGCTTTATTTTTGCTAAAATAAGGAATCTGAAGCATGTTCTATTAATCATATTTGTACCTGTTCTTCCTGCTATTAAGAACTTTGCTGAGTGGTTGTTGTTTATTTTAAAAAGAAAACCACAATCCTATGCAAAGCTATGCAGCAATAAGACTCTTTGGCATCAATGAGATTCGCACTTATAGTGTATATAGAATTGCAACCTAAAATATCAAAGCAGATTATACAAATGCAGTATTAAGCACAACATTTGTAATAGTACGTACAAATTTCTTCACTCTCTAACTCCTTATTTTAAAATCTACAGCAAGTTCTTTATTCCAAATGCATACAATTGAAATAAATGATTGAAAAAAAAACTATGCTGTGAATATGACTCTTTTTAATTTTATGTCTCATAGTAGTTCTTCTAATCACCCAAATATGTATAGGATTCCAGCCTTGGTGCACAATCCTATGCATGTTTAGACAGAAAAAAGACCTATAACTCCCAGCATGCCCAGCCAAGAATCTTAGCTTGAAGCTACATCCCCATCTGCAAAAATGGTGTTTTAAGTTATTTTTATTACATTTATATTATGCCTTTTCGCCTTATGCAAGGAACCCAAGGTAGCTTGCATTATTTTGTCCTATTCAATACCAACAATAGCCCTGTTAGGTTAGGATGAGAGTCAGTGATTGGCCCAAAGTCACCTAGTGAGTGTCATAGCAAATGGAGAATAGAATCCTGATCTTCCCAGTCCCAGTTCAACATTAAACCACTATACCACATGGACTCTCTTATAACAGGGTTTTTCAAATTTTCTAGCCTCAGTTAATACCTTACATGTTGGAGAAATCATAAAAGTCTAATTCTCATTTCAAGGAGGTGTGAGATTTTGAAAGTAATTCTCTGGTTCATTGACTTGGAGGTGGGTAAAAGCAATTAACTGTTTGTGGTATGCAGTAAGTTTTATTATCGTTCTGAACATGTAATCAGCTAAAAAAGTACATTCCTTGAACAGACTTCAACAAAAAAATTATACTTTTATTAACTTCATATAGCATGAATGCATTTAGCCAATCACAAACATATACATTTGATCCTAATATATGCAAAGATGTAACTACATATTACACTCTAAAGGAAACTTCTCATATAGCCTTCTTCCCTACTTATCTCAGGAAGTGATACCTGGTATGGGGAATCTTCTAAAACTCTTCTGTAGGCATGCACACTTCTCCAAAATCTTTTTAAGCCATCTGATTAACACCTGTAGTTCTCTCTCTCACTTTACTTCTTCCTGCCCACACGAACTGACTCCCATACCCCCGCATTTTGAAGCACTCCATATTACAGAAGACTTTGGGTCACATTCCCAGGATGCTGAATTGTTGCTAGCTGAGGCATTGTCTCACAAATCGACAGCATGCCCCAAATGCTACATATATGTTGCATACTAATAGAAATGTGTTATCTGAGCGTGGATGGTACCCAAAAGTGGCTTAAGAGAACATTAAAAGGAATGGGACAGCCATCTCAGGAAACGAATGTTGGCAGCCACAAGTGAAGCTGTGGATGTGCTGTACCAGAAGATTCAGCTTCCAGTCCAGTCGACTCTGGCATGTGAGGTACCGATGCCTCAGACAGCAAAATGCTTCCAGGCTGGCCCTGATCTTTAAAGTGCTAAAAAGAATTGCTGGTTCGGTTCTGTAATGTTTCTTATTGATTACATATTTTCATGCTACCTAACCGATTTCTGAAGGAAACACAAGATAGACGTGTCTTCAACAGTGCTGGATGGATATTCTTGAAGGGAAACAGACTGGCAAAGCTTACATTTCAACAAATCCGTCCCCCTTTAAAGACCCCACAAGTCTCCTCTTTGTGAGCTTTCTTTTTGTACTGTAAGAGGGCCATCCTCTAGGACTTAACCGCCGGAGGCCGCCCAGCGACATGGGAACTGAACTTCACTCGGCTCACGCGCGTGACTACTAGGCTGTCCGTCTGAACGCGACCACCCTGGCAGGGCCGCACTCGACTTCCCCTTCTTGCGCTTCAGTCACGTGGGCGCCTGCCTGTCTGTTCACACGGCGCGAGCTTCCTCCACCATCCAATCAGGCGAAGAGGCTCGCGGCAGCTTTTCTCCCTCTCCCCCCTCCCGCGCCGTCCGTCCACTTTTCCTGGGCTGTGGGCGTCACCTTCAGCCCTCGTGGAGGTGCAGCGGCTGCCCGAGAGCGCGGGCGCGCGGCAGTGAGTAGCACCGGGGCCCAGGAGGCGGGATTCGAGGAACGGACTGCCAACTGCCACAGAGACATGCCCGGAGGGAGGGGCGCGGAACTGCTCCTACGGGGGGGGCGGGAAGGGCGGGCTCATCTCCGAGGAGGCGACGGACAGCCAATGGCCGCCAGAGCTGAGCAAATCTCCGCCCCTTCCTTAGCCTCTCGCCTCTCTTCCCCTTCCAGCGAGGAGACGGGCTTCGGCTGCTGCGGACTTCCTTCCTCTTTCCCGCCCAGAGCAGGCTGGGATCTCTGGCCTCCTCCGCTCCGCGGGGTGGGATTGCCGTAGGAGGGGGCGGTGCGAGGGCGGGAAGGAAGGAGGAAGCGCGCTGAGGTGTGCCCAGGCAGTGGTTGGTGACATGGGCTGATTAGGTGCGTGTTCCCTTGTGGTTTTGCAGTCCGTATTGGCGTCTGGCTCTCTTTATGCTAGTTCGCGTGTAAAATTATGTGGAAAGGGGAGGCTGGGCTACACGTTCTTTAATTTGCCTTGCGTTGTGTGCGTGGGTACATGCATGCAATGAGTGCAGGCAAGATCTTTTTTAGAAAAATATGCAATGCTTTATAAAAATTACAGGGATCATATTCACTGTAGGCATATCTTAAAATCTTGGCTCGCTCTCTTTTAATGCCCAGATAACCCCGCCTCAATGCAGCCGAACAGGAGACGCAAAATAGAGTGGGACAGCTTGTCTGTTAGCTCACCTACCAAGTACTACAAACTCACCAGAGAAGGGCCGCCACATCCTTCCACCACCAGCAGCTTTGGTGGTCAGACAGCTGCATTCGGAAAGACTCAGAGTTTGCATTCCCGAGAATCTTCCTATAAAGAATTCTTGAGAACTTCATTTGCTGCAGAGGATTCTTCTTCTGATGAATTCGAAATAGATGATGGAATCAGTAGTATGGTTAGGAAGAGTCCAGACCATTCTCTTTCCAGCAAAACCCTGCATGTAAAACAGTCAGTCTGTGACATGTCTAAGCGAAATGCTACATCTTCATCTCAAGAATCTTTGAAACAAAAGGTATATACATGACAACCAAAACTGCAGTTTAAAAACTGTGGCTGACTGAAACGGTTATAATATGCTTGTGCTTTTGCTTGTATATGTTTTATTAAGTGCCTGCTACTCGTTGCCTTCACTGAAGGGTGGCTTAGAAACTGTATAATTATTGAAAACTACATTAAGCTTTGTATATTTTGGTAGCTTCCCTTCTTTCTATGGATAGTTGTGTTTTTCCAAAACATGCTAATTTGTTCTCATTCTAAATATTGGAAAAAAGATGAAACAGTTTCTCATTAAAAAGATTCTGTTTTGGAGGAGAAAGTTTATTTGACTTGAAAGTACAAGTGGTTTTATTTATTTATTTTAAACATTTGTCTCCTGTCTAATATCAAGGGTCTCAGGAAAGCAATACAATAGATAGGACACATAAATAGAATATAAATATATAATAAAACCAGCATTAAAACAACATTTGTTCTTACAATACAGGGAAAATAAAAAGGTTTTGGCCCAGTGCTGAAATAAAGTGTTGGCGCCAGGTGCACCTCTTTGGGGAGTAGGTACCAGAGCCAGAGAATTACCACAGAAAAGGCCCCTTCTCCAGGTAGCCACTCTTCTGATCTCCTTCAAAGAAGGTTCCCGGAGAAGGACCTCAGAGAAAGATCTTAGGGGTCAGGCAGATACATACAGAAGGAGACACTCCTTCAGATACCCAGGCCCTAAACCATTTAGGGCTTTATATATCATTGATAGCATCTTGAATTAGGCCTAGACTTCAATTGGTAACTAGTTTTCTTCTGTAAGTTATAGAAGGAAGAAGAAACTGTAAATCAAAATACCAGCAGTGTAATCAATGTACCTGGGACCAAAAAGGCTGCATGTACATAACTATTACATGCTAGATAACAGAAAAAAGTGTAAAATGTATTTTCATCCAAAATTGATCAAGCCTTGACTGGTTTTTCAGTCTAGCTTATCGTTCATGAACTGCATGCTAATGTGCAACCCTTTTACTCCAACTTTACCTGTTCTGTCAGTGGTGTGGCTAAACCAGGTAGAATCCAAAAACTTAACATGGCATCTGAACCAGGGCTGCAACAGACCAGGAATCATGAGCTCTGATTTTGGGTTGCACATGGTAGAACAACAGTGTTTGAACAACATGGTCAGTTTTCAGATTTAGGCTGGCTTAGCTGGATATACTGTGATGTGGAACCAAGTAAGAATGCAAAGACCTTGTGCACTAGCACAAAACTTGCCAACTGTAAACCAGGATTCTCTAGAGTTTTGGCTTACTGTGTCTAAAATATGGTGATACTGTTTTATGAATTGTGTGCTGTATGAAGCTTATACTTTTCTTTGCTGTTTAGATTGAACAGGATAGTTGCAGTGATACAGATCCAAGCATCACACCAAGTGCAGCAAAAAAAGGTGTATCAAAGGAAACTGAGACTGAATTTGGCCGGAGGAGAGTGAAGGACCAGAATCAAGATCAGGGATCTCGAATAATTTACCGCAAAGCTCTGCTGGGTATACTCGGGGGAGCACTGCTAGCCAAAAGAGAGGCAGTGTCTTCAAATGGAATTCTCGCGGAAAGTCGTCATAATAGAAAAGAAGAGCCTGGATCAGTTGATGGCTTGAAACATCTCTCAGTAGCATCAAAACTCCAAGAGCAGCAAGCTGGAAAAGATTCAAACTGTTTAAAACCTAAAGTAAAAGAGCAAATTAATATTTCTATCAGACAAGATAGAAAAGAGTCTTGTAGGTCAGATGGCAGATCAAGAAATGTGTCTGTAATTTCAAGATCCATTGGAGAAAATGAATGCCAACAGGATCCTGGTTTTCAAAAACATGCTGCAAAAGAAGAAAATAACATCTCTAAGCACAGGGGAAAAGAGGCATCCAGCCCAGGGGCCAGGTATAGATGCATCTCTGTATTAACAAGGTTTGAAGATAAGTCTGAACTTCAGCAGAAATCCAGCTTTCAGAAAGCTGCTGCAAAAGAAAGTACCTCTAAACACAGTGAAAAAGAAGTTCTTAGAACAGGAGCCAGTCCAAGATGTTTTCCAATAGTACCAAGGTTTGAAGATAAAGTGGAACTTTATCAGGGGTCCAGCTTCCAGAAAGCTGCTGCTAAAAAGGAAAGCAGTAACTCTAGGCACAGTAGAAATGAGACTTCCAGAACAAGGGCCAGCTCAGGACGAATTTCTGAATTATCAAGATTTGAAGAAGAACCCAATCTTCAACAGAAGTCCAACTTACATAAAGCTGCTGCAAAGGAAGAAGGCAGTGCCACTACACACAGTGAAAAAAAGGTTCCTAAAACGGGAGCTGCCTCAAGATGTTTTCCAATAATACCAAGTTTTGAAGATGAAGCAGAACTTTGTCAGGGGTCCAATTTTCAGAAAGCTGATGCTAAAGAAGAAAGCAGGCACAGTGGAAAAGAGACTTCCAGAGCCAGAGCAAGGGCCAACTCAGGACAAATTCCTGAATTACCTGGATTGGAAGATAAACAAGAACAGAAACCAAATGGCCCAATAATTACACCAGAAGTTGACACTGGTACTTCTCTTGAATGGAGTAAAAAAAGACCTTGGAGAGAGGCTTGCAGATCAGACAACAAATTTAAAAGCCTGTGTAACCTTTCACAAGTTGAAGAACACAAATCAAAGCATGAGTCTACCAAACAGCAAAGTAGAACCAATGAAGAACATGTTTGTGCCAGTCTAAATAAAAAGGAATCACAGGGACTAGAAAACCACTTGAGATGTTCTGAATTTTCAAAATATGACTGTGAAACATTTAAGCAGGGTTGCAGCAGTCAAAAAGCTACCACAAAAGAAACTAATACTTGCACAAAACAAAAAAACACGTCAAAAGAAAAACACACTTCTCCCAGTTCATTTGATACACAGGGTGGTGCTAAGAAGTTTGTGAATTTCCAAAGGACAGTTATTGTAGAACCTTCTCCTAAGCTTGTGTTTGCAGATGAACATGATTCAGAAGTAGATCAGAAGGTGAGCCATGTGGAGAAATGTTTATAAAACTATCAATAAATGTGCCAGGGATATTATTGATTTCATCCAAATTAACAGACAACTCCAAATAGGTAAGAATTTTTAATGACTTTAAATGTCTTTCCAGAAATAGTCCTGGTTTGGATATCACAACAACCCATAAGTCAAACAAACAATGGGTGCTTATGAATGTGAGTATGGTGGCTTCTAGCTGCACACCTCCATACGGTTTCCAAACGTGGATTATTCCTCCAACAACCCATAATTACCGGTTTATACATCACACTAAACAACCTAGGGATGGCACATCTCTTGGTTATTCAGCACAGTGAGAGCTGGCCAGCAATTGAGAGCCAACAGGCTTAATTTCTCCTGAATAATGCACAGTTTGTTTTACTGTACACCCATAAAAGAACCTACGTTTTGTACTGCCTGTCTCTCCTTCCCTTGTACTTTGGCCATCTCCCATTGCATATATAATGTGAACAGAAATTAATACATCCTGCAAAAATGGTGCAATTAAGCTAATCAGATTTTGGGTAATATAATTTAATTTATTCTCACTCTGACATTTTGATTATTTTTCAATACACAGTTTGTGGAACAAGAAAAAGAGCTTTCAGTTGTACCTGACTGGTCTGATACAGAGGATGCAGAACCACTAGCTACTTTCTCACAGGAGGATTCCATCCAAACCCACAATACTTCAGAAACAGTGGAGACGTCAGTGTTGGCAACAGACTTTGTAATGTATCCTCCTCATTTGTACAGTTGTGGGATGAGTGATTATGCAAAGTATTGGAGAAGCAGTCTCAAGCCAACAGATTGCACTTCTTTTCCAAGCCCCTTTGAAGACGCTTCATACACGAGTCGTCTTTGTGATAATACTTTAGATACCTCTTCTGGAACTCTGTCAAATACCTCAAGGGATAAAGAACTTGCAGTGGAAAGTGTGCATAGTATACCACAAGCACACAGTTCTCCATTAATGTGCACTAAGAAAAACAGGCGGAGGAGTACAGAAGAAGCATCATGCATTCCTATCTTTTCCACATCACGCAAGACAGACTCTTATATTAGTAATCATTTAAACCAGGAGTTGCCTGGTGACCTGCCTAAATATTTAGAAGAAGGGTTTATTGATACCCACTGTCATCTGGACATGTTATATTCAAAAATGGCTTTCAGGGGAACCTTTTCTAAATTTCGAAAGACGTATAATGGCACCTTTCCTGAAGAATTTCAAGGCTGTATAGCTGATTTTTGTGACCCTCGTAACTTGAACAATTTCTTATGGGAAGAATTATTAAAGGAAGATATGGTTTGGGGAGCATTTGGCTGTCATCCACACTTTGCCCGTTACTATACAGATCTTCATGAAAGAAATCTTCTACAGGCAATGAGGCACCCCAAAGCTGTTGCCTTTGGAGAAATAGGGCTGGATTACTCTTACAAGTGTAGCACTGAAGTCCCAAAGCAGCAGAAGGTAAAAGGCTCTACTTGTTTATGAGGCCACTGTATCTTGCCTTTGGGATATACTTGAAACCTGCCATTTTCTGTGTAGCAGATGTTGTAGATCTGTAAAGTTGTGAAGCAATAAGCCCCCACTTAGGATGACTGATAGTGCTTTAGGAAAACATCTTATCAGACAATGTATTCTGTGACCCACAGGACAATTAGGTGGGTTGCTGAATACTGCTTGGAGCTGGTGTGCAGTGATGTACTGGGTATAAATGGCTTATTAGTGGTCGTGTTTGATAAGTAGCTCAGCTAGGTGGCCAGAACAAGAGGATAGTATCTGTTGACTTGGGCATTTTATACAGGCAGTTCCTGGGTTATGAACGAGTTCCATTCGTGATAAAACGGAAATTCATTGTTAAGTCAAGTTTTTATTTAAGTTGGATCATGTATAGTCAGCCTTCTACATTTGTGAGACTTAGGGATGCAGGACCCCCATGAAAGTGGAAAAACCACAAAATGACTCTAGCTGCCCCCCACCCAAACTCACCAGTGCCACCTCTTGGCAGCAAGGGAATGCTGGAGTGATTTCCCTCCAGATGGGCAGGACAGGAAGGCATGCTTTGGAGGCCTCCCTCTGTATCCTTTCATTTCCTCTCTCTCTGTGGTGAGAACCATTTTCTGTAGTCTTTTAAAAAAAATAATAGGCTTTATGGCAGTTCATGTATGAGTACGGGTTGTTTGTAACTTGGACATTTGTAACTCAGGGAGTACCTGTATCCATCATCAGCAGGTGAAAAAGAACAGCTGTTCTAACTTCTCAAAAACCTGTTTGTATAGGCAAAGGTCTCTAGACTTAATTAGATCTTTTTATCCAATGTTAGATGTTATCTCAAAAAATTAATTATAGCATGTGATATTTACCAAATGCGTGGGCAGATTGTATACGGTATGGAGAAGGAAGCTGAGTCTACTTTGATACAATTTCTGTTTGAAACAAATAGGACCTGTGCTATAGGGGGAGATTTCTTTAGTTGTGTGTTTTTTGAAATAGACCGTGTTGATAAAAGTAGGAACATAACATAATAATGGCTGGACTTGATGCTAGAGTATTTCCCCTATATCTTGCCTTTTGTTTGCAGGACAGTTCTAATGGCATTTGAAGATGTGCTGCTTTCTTATTTGCTTCAGGTATTTGAAAGGCAACTGAATCTTGCTGTTTCCTTAAGGAAGCCTTTGGTAATTCACTGCAGAGATGCTGATGATGATCTGTTACAAATCATGAAAAAATGTGTACCAAAGGACTACAAAATACACAGGTATGTATGTATGTATGTATGTATGTATGTATTTATTTATTTAAGCATTTTTATGCCGCCCCATTCGCCGAAGCCTCGGGGCGGCTTACAACAATAAGTAATTTTGTTGGTAATTAAATACTTGTAAAATTCTAGCATTCCATTAAAAACTGTTGAAGGTCATTGGTTCTAAAATTCTGCATTATGATGATGGGGTATAGAATATCTAATTGTAGAAGCTTTAGGTAACCCCCCCTTTCCCCAAATCTTAGCTTCATTCTGTATTTTTGTTTCTTTTTTAAAATATGTTTTTATGTTGGAAAAATGTCTGTGACATATTTTACTAAAAACTTTGCGTGTCAGGGCATCAGTAGACAGGTTAGAAATGTTTTGCTCACCATAGCTATCCCTCCTGTGAATCTTGGGCCATGTTGTCTTGCCTTAATTAACTTTTTTATTCACTTGTTTATATTTTATTATTATTCCCTGTCTCCCTCTATGTTTAATCTGGAACAGTTGCCAAACTTTGTGGCCAGAACAATTTTTTATCTGTTTGTTTAAAAGTTTTTCTGCAAATACCATAACAAGAAATTGAATTTTGGGCCACCTGCTTGGTGAGTTACTTTACATTTCAGCAACAACAATACAGGAAATATTGTGGCTTAAACGTTTAGAATATATTAAGATAGCTAACTACCTGTTGATACCACCACTGCTGGGTGTTTCTAGGAACAACATATCTGTTTAGCTATCTGGCAGGGCTGTGACATAATATAGTTCTGTAATGCCTGATAGAAGTACTTCCGGATTTAAATTATCTGAATAATATTTCTAGGCAGGTCACTTTCTACAGTGTCTGGCAGCTACTGTAATTTGTTATAAATAACTATTGTTAGAATATTTATCTTGCTAAATGCAATGATACCACTCCTTCAAAGTTGCTTCTTCTTTCAATACATCATCTACCTGCTGCTCTTAAAGGGTAAAATTGTTAATTTTTCTCTTTTGGAATAAGTAGCAGCAGTTTACTCAGAGGCACATAGTACTTCAAATACTTAAATACATCTCTGCAGCAACCATACTCTCTTTCCATTCCATCAAAAATAAGTTGTCTAAAACAGTTCACAAAATTTGAGATTCTACAAATACTTGCTTGGATGACTAGTCAGATTCTGTTTGCCACTGTTTCCAACTCCTTTCACCACTTTAGCTTTTGGGCGCACAGAGAAGGCTTGGTGGAGATGCAACCATTTATCTTCATACATTCAAACCACTATCTTGGAAGGGGTGGGGATTTCCTTCATATGCATTGAGGGTTTGGGAAATGCACATGCAATCATTTCTCCAGCTGTGTTTTATCTCCTCCAGTCTGCAGCGCAAGTGCTGAGAACCTTCCCATCAGAAGGAAAGGGCACTTGCCTTTGTTGAGCAGACTTGTAGACATCTTGACAATGTCCTTTTCTGTTAAGAACATTTATATTTAATTTTTCTGGCCAGCATTCTAAAATCCTAGATGAAATTTAGGGCACAGATTAAGAGCTCGATTTCTTTGAAGCCAAATGCCATAATTGCTTTTTCAGAACATACTGTGCATTTTCCCCTCTCAACTAATTTTAACCTAGGTGCTTCAATCAAAGAAAAGGAAACAGCATTTTGGCAGTCAATCAGGTTATATGTTCTACTTGCTGTCTGGTCTGTAGTATGATGGTTGATCATCACATGAAGCAGAATGACCATTCCCTTCTTTCTTAGGCATTGCTTTACTGGCAGATATGGTGTCATTGAACCATTGCTGGAGTACTTTCCAAATCTCACAGTGGGATTCACAGCATTATTGACATATCCATCAGCCAATGAGGCCAGAGAGTCAGTTCGAAAAATCCCTTTAAACAGGATAGTTGTAGAAACGGATGCACCTTATTTTCTTCCGAGACAGGTAAGGTGTTTGGAGTTCTTAAAGTTCCATTACTTTTCAGTTTTTGCCTGTCTGTTTAATACTGCATTAATGGAATGTTTGCCCTTGTTTTTGGATTTGTTAATGTTACACTGTATGAAATCTAACATATTGCTATATCTCTGTGAGGTTTAGGATGAAGCAGGCCATCCATGTGATAGCTTGTAAGGTAGAAAATGGAATAGTGCTACTGGAGATTAAAAGCCAGGGTGGTCCAACCCATGGGCCACATGCAGCCCCTGAGGCCTTGTTCTGCGGCCCTCTTGCCATTCAGCGCTTCCCCCAGTCCAGATCCCAATGATGGCACAGGCATGATTGCCTCACAAGAGCTTACCCCATCATGCCCTGTGCCGCTCTAGCTGGCAAGTGCAAAGGCAGCTTTGCACTCATCAGCAGGAGCAGGCGGGGCACGCTGGGGGCGTTCATCCGGTACAAGAGGCTTAGCACACCAATTCCAAGAAGGAAGGATGGACTGGGTCACATGGGGTGAGAAAAACAGGGAAGAAAGGGATGGGCTACCCCAGAGGAGCAGTCATTGTGCTCAGGCTATGGTGGGAGAAGGAGTTGCCTGTGCTCTCAGCAGAGATCACAGGCCCACAAAGCATTCTTTTTCATTCAGTTAGTCCTAAAGTTATCTTAAGATTAATTCTGTTATTTAATGGTTAATTAAATATATTAATTGTGCATATTAAATATATTGTGAACACTTTAATTCACAATATAGAAATGCAATTCATTGTGTAACCCTCAAGCTCCATATTGAAGTCCTTATGGCCCTCAAGGTGCAAAAAGTTGGACTGCCCTGAATTAGACTGTGATGGACTAGGAGATTAGCTGCGGTCCTGTAAACTTCCGCATTCAGTAAAAAGATTCAACATAGTTTTTATAGAAATATGGAATGAATAGTAAGTGACAGATAAAAGAAATAAGCTCTTCTCAAGTGTATTTCTGTGAGCCTGTATTGCTATGGCATGTTCTAAGCACTGCTGATGTCATGGTAAACCCCCAGAATCAAAATGCTTGGAAAAGTCTTCAGACTAATAACAGCACCTACTGTTATGTATAGGTCAGTAAGTGTTGTGGCTGTAGAGATTTGCTTCAAATTGCATTAATACTTAAATCCGTTTGTTTGTTTGTTTGTTTGTTTATTTATTTATTTTTCATGATTAAAACTGTAGCTCAGCCCCAGCCATTGAGTCCTGTTCTGCCATCAAGCCTGTAAAGTTGATAGTCAATTTGCATCGTGAGGCAAGAGAACGTGTTTCTTCTTGCCAAAACAAGAATATTCCAGTTGGAATGAGGAGGGGTTATACACTGGAAATAATGATGGCTTTGTAAACAGTCCAGAGAGTCTTATGGGGCAGGATATAAATGCAGTCAATCAGTCAATAGGCGGGAAAGCAGCATGGCTGTTTTTCTGGGCTTGGAGAGGATTATTGTGCTGGGCATATATAAACTGAGGGACAGTGAGTGGTCAAAACAGCTCAGGAACATTTTGGTTATCCGAAAAATACATACAGAGATGGGGATAACCAAACCCCTAATTGAAGCTGCCTGAAGTAACCTATACCCAAAGGAGCATAAATATATATCAATCTTTTGATAATGAAAACCTTTTGAGAAAGTAAAGGAACATAGTTTATATTCTTCCCTGCCCCATCATCGTGACAGACAAATATGTGGTGGAAGTCAAGGGAACAGATCACCCGCTCAGCCCCACAATTCCTTTCCAAACACTCTAGATCCCTTATCTTGATGCTCACGAGTTTCACCCATAAACAACTGTACAAGGTTTGCTTGTTACTTCAGCCTATGATGCTCCAACAGCCCATACTCATCCCTTGTTCGTGATTGTTAGATATGAACACTGCCACTTTCCCAAAGCAGCAAAGTGAGATACTATGCTTGGTAGATTGCTGATCAGAGTAGATTGCCGCTGTATGAAAATTTGTAGCCTCAAAATTGCTCACAAGATACTCTTGTTCTTAACTTTTAAAATCTGAATTCTAGCTCTAATCTGCAAAATACTGTTCCACTACTGATGCTTCTGCTGTTTCTGGTTTTGTTCCAGGTGCCCAAAAGTATATGCCAGTATTCACACCCAGGAGTAGCTCTGCACACAGTGAAAGAGATTGCCCGCCTTAAAGAGGTGCCATTGTCAGTTATGTTAGCTATTCTAAGACAAAATACCAACAAAATGTATGACTTGTAGGAAGGTACAAAAGAATGTAAAAGAATGGGTGAGAAAAAGCTTCTAGGTTTTATATGATGTTTTCTTACGTTTTTGTATTTTATGGGTTTAAATTGCATTTTGTCAACTGCCCAGAGGGAGCTTTGGATACTGGGCAGGATAGAAATGTGATAAATAAAAATAAAAGACAGTATGTATTTCTTTCCCTTTAAGTGATTACTTTTAATGGAAATACAGATTTGTGGCTTGTACATTAATGGTGATTAATTCAAATATTTTGATTCTGGAAGAAAGAAAATAGTAGTAAGTGACAGTAATAGCACTGTCCTTTAAAACTTCACTCTTTTTCTTACTTCCTACCCTCAGTTATTTTTTGCTTGCCATTTAAGGTGCCTTAATATTGATTTCATTCCCATGATTAGCTTTCCTTTTAAATTAGTAATCTGTGGAGACAATGAAGAAAACGGACTTGCCTGCATTTTAATATTTCAATTTGTATTTTATTAACATATTCTAAAAAGGTCATAACTGAACATATTAGGAAGGTCTACTTCATCAGAAAATAGAAATCCAACTGTTGTTGATTTAATATGTAGAGGTTTAAAAAAACTAAAGTGCTCTTAAATTAGTAAGGCTATATCTGAGTATTTCTCCTGGAACAGCAAACCAAGTAATTTCTGCAGGTTTCTGTTTTGTTGTCTACCACAATTAAAACAACCCCACCATTTGATCTAGTATGTGCATAAAACTATCCTCAAAGAAATAATGAAATGCATTTCCTGTGTGTGATAGTTACAATTCTTTCAATATGTGCTGGTACAGTGAGTCTTATGAAAGGATGGCTGTAAACATTAATACGGCAAGAATTTGTTTTTAAAGAGAAATGAACTGTGTGTAATAACTCAAAGATTTTGTTAAACAGGCTGATTGGGAAAGATAATATGAGATGTTGATTTGATACACCATATTGACCTGAAGAAACCCATGTCAACACAAGATAGTAGAACAAAGGAAAGAAACTAAAATAGGGTTTCAAGATAATTTCATGAAAATCCATTATTAATTTTTATTTTAAATTAGACCAGCTTTAATCTCTTCAATGGGCTCCTTTTTAATAAAAAAAGACTCCATGTTTCTATAACGTTATGTATAATTTGGACATTAAAGAGATTATTTGTAAATAAATGTATTTTTATATAAAAGTTTATGTTGATTATATAATTGACTTTGTCAGTGAGGCAAGAAAGTAAAATCTTACAATCAGTAACACTGAAAGCAAACATTCAAAGCAGCATGTTGTATGCATGTAAAGTTTCTTTTTGTAGATACTTCTGTTCATGTTGTCAAAGGTGTTCTCCAATATTTGTGAAAATGGTCTCTGAAATAATTTCCCCTTCTAGAATGTCTGAGCTGTATGCCTACATGCAGGAACAACAATAAAATCATGCACCCAGCCTCCAGGTCAGACAGATGTCACTTTTTGTGCTTTTAAAATCCATTTAGAACAAAAGCGTAAATGGGTGACCCTGTGAAATTCTATTTTTTCTTAAAGCAAAAGTGAAGAACCTAATGCCTCTAGGGATGAAGCTAATTTTTCTGTAGTTTCTCAAGAAGCCATGGATGTGCCTTAAAAATGGCCATGCTATGTTTGTATTAGTATATATTATGGCCATACATGCTGCAGCCATGATGGGTTGTTAGATCATGCAAACCAGCCGTGTGTGACAAAATAGCACAAAAGCAACCTGGTGTTTTCTCTGCTCCCTAGAGCAAAAGCATAGAGCCATAAGTTTGTTATCCAAATTACCTCCCCCGCCCCCCCACAAAAATTTTTTGCATATGATTTGTATGCAGATTTGCAGATTTTTCATCACAAGCTTTCTAATAAGTTTCCAAACACTCCTTTTTGCATTCTGGAATCAAATCATTTATTGGGTAATAAACAACATGAAGCAAGATGAGCAATTTAATTCGATAGATTAAGCTGTTATGCTGACTTTGTCATCTTGAGTTTCATCTTTCAGTGTATTTGCTTTTCTGCAAGGTGAACATGGAAGTTAAGTCTATAAGTCCATAGAAATCAATTTTCTGTTACATAAACATTTTTCAACATTTTACCTGCTATATATACAAGCAATATACAAGTAAAAGTGACAAGAAGCTATATTTTGGTTTCTGTTACCATAGAGGAGTAATGGAGCAAGAAATAGTTCAGTAGATAATTTAATTCCTAGTCAGTTTTATTACACTTAAGTCCTGCTAGTTCAGACCAAGGGCCCATCTGGTGCAATATCCTTATTTCCTCCATGGTCAACCACATGCCTCTAGGAAGCTCACAAGAACATTGGAAAAACAATACCCCTTTGAACATCCCAGTTCCAGGCAGCCATTGTGGCAAATTACCACTGAAAAATCTACCTCTTGTGTCAGCAAATTCTATACATTAATTATTGGTTAGATCAATATTTAGTTGGTCAGCAAAATTAGTGGCATAACTTACTAATGATTTTAGTATTTTTAGTGTTTTTCACCTACATGGAGGGGTTAATATGATCAGTAAACGAGAGGACATTCAAAATGTATTAAACTGAGCCTAAATAATTGAACACTCAGAATCCATTATTGGTTGAACTGGATATGTTCTTAAAGGCCCGCTTATCTTGAATAAGGGATTTTTACCTTTATTATCCTCAGCAAGCATGTCTTCCATCAGCTTCTCCAATATTTGTCCATAGTCTCTGTACTGTTCTTCTGAAATTTTCATGCCAACTTCAAAGGGAACTGTAAACTAAGGAAAGCAGCAGAACATGAAAATTATATTCCCTTTCCTCTTCATTTGTAGTCTTGTGTTCATGTATTTTAAGGGTTTGATGCTATTGCAAAATTAAAGCAGAGAGTTACCAAAGTATCAGATTAAATTGAAGAGTTGTCATCAGGGGTGAAGAGATAGCTCTATCTGATAAAATAGGTTTAAAATATGTGAATAAATGACTTATCCACTGAAGTTTCAGAATAGTGTCCACTGTTAATCCTACATTGGGTAGAACCATTGAAATTAATGGGACTTTAGTTAGGACTAACCTACATCCCATTCATTTCAGTGGAACTGCTCTATGTGGGACTAACATTGGACCTTCGCTCAGGTAACTAAAGGGAAAATGTAATTATTATATATATTATATATGATAGTTGTGTGTTTTTACTTGTTCTTTAGTATGCTCACATATTTAGATATATATGTTTTTATATTATAAGTTTCCAATTGCAAGGCTATTACGCATGTGAAACTGTAAAAGCAGGATGAAGCGCTAGTAAGTGGAGTTCATCAAACATAAATATGGCTGTTATCACTTCTGTAATTTATTACCATACTTTACTACGTAACTATATAGTTAAGTTTACTATTATGTAGTAAAAGTTTATTACATTTTTCAACAAGGCTGCGTATTGTCACCACTGCAATTTGCAATAGCTATCAAAACACTAGCGGATTTTATATAGAAGATTTCAAATATAAGAAGTGACAAAAAGTCTAACATTTTAAGTGTTCTCATACATTAATCTTGTGTAATCCATGGGAAGTGATCTCAGTATTGAAGCATTTGATTGTTGGTTTTGAGGAGAATATCAGCCAAGAAGTCAATTACACTAAATCAGAACTTATATGTCACGATACTTCCATAAAGGGGAAAAAAAAACCCTGTTTATATGTTGCCTAATTTCATTGTTGAAAACAAGTTCCAAGGACCTGCATGTAAGGGTTCAAAACAACTTATCCAACTCTGCAAAAGGATCCGCCAATCTCTGCCAAAGGAACCCTAATCAAAGGAATTTCAGTAACTTAGGAAAGAGACTAATGTATGAATTACACTGCAGTCAGTCTTTAGAATCACTCCTGGTTATGTAGAATGGCCATTTTAAAGGAGATGATTCTCCCAATTATGATTTTTTTTTCCTCAGATACTATCAGTGAATCAAATTAATTTCAGAAATGACAGTTAAATTTCTTGAGGAAATGACAAGTTATCAGAAAAAAGACACATCTAAGTATTTTAACAAGGGGTGCAACCATAATTAATTCTTGCATGTTATTGCAAATTTTGATAAAATACAACTAATAAATAATTACAGTTTTTATGACATAAGGTTTGAATATGTCAATTACACTAGATATATATGCCCAATCTGTTTTGTAGATGGCAAGATATATTACTATTTTTAGACAAGATTGTGCATAGATTTCAAGAGAAGCAGACGCAGTGTCCACATTTTTGTTCATTTGTAAATTGTGCCTATAGACTTCCTGTTCAAAAATGGTAAGCATAGTTAGTTCCTCAGCCCATTCTATTGAAGGTGGCTACTTAGCCTTGCAATATCAGTCATTTGCCTGTCAAAAGGGTATGGGAAATCCATTTACATTGACCTTGCATCAGGTTTCAAGAAGCCAGTAGGTAATTGAGAAGAATGTGCACATCCATTAATTTTAAACACTTCACAAGGTTTATCCACATTATTACTTTCCCAAAATGAGCTGGCCATGGGGCATTGCCGAAATGCATGAGTGAGAGAAGCATTAGCTGAATTACACCTCCAGCAGTTGTCTGATTTAGATAAACCCTTATTTTAAAAGATGTGGCATTCAGTATACTCCCAAAACATTATCTTTCACTGAATTAGATATAACCTAAGGTCTTTCTGAAATAGATGCCAATGGAAAAAATCAGTGTTTGGGCAAGATAGGACAATCCAATTGATTATTTTAGTGTAAGGTCCTGTATATCATATATATCTGTTGATAAATAATGATAATGCTGGATTGTGTCATGGGTTGATATACCTGCTCAGTCTTAATACTTCCAGTAACAGAAGAAGCTCTAAGCCTGTAAAAATGAAAGGGCCAGACCTAGATCCAATCAAATGTTTCAATTGCACATAAATGCCATTCAGCTGTAGCTGACAGGTCCTATTAGACACACAAGTGGATGGCGCACTCAGAAGATAACAGACAGTTATAACTGATACCCACTAACTCATGTAAATTCACTTTGTCTGCCAAATGACTCTCTTAAGAAATCCTTTCTTCATTTATGCATAAATGGAATGGTTTCTAAGTACTGTCCTCAATTGTTTCATTCTTCCTTTAGGAAAGGCTCTTCTCCCACTTGACACATATGTTAACAGATTTCTAGTTGGAATATTCTTTTAGGCTATGACTTTGTGGATGGAAGCACTCTTTAGATTAAATTGTTTATTTTAAGATATGTTGTTTGTACTTGAACATCAGTAAGGGCATAGGAAGGAAGGCATTAAACTCTTAAATTGTATAGTATTAAGTGGTTGGAAATGAATTACCTTTATTTCTATTTCATTGTCGCTTCTGTCAGTATTACTTTGATGGTCATCGAAAAGTGCTTCCACTTCTCGGCGATAGAACTTAGTTGTAGGTTTCTGAGGGACTTTCCGTTGCTAGAAGCAAATCAGTTGTAAATTCTATAGGCAAATGATTCAGTGATAAGCACTCTTTAATAAAGTTCCAGCGCAAGACAGTAGTACTGTGTTTAGTATTTACCTGCGTCTTTGGTTGTACAGGACTTAAAAAACTGGAACCAGCTAGAGCATTCTCAGTCCAGAGTGAACAGACCAGGAGCATTCCTACGATCACAACTCTGACATACATGGCCATGTATTAAAGATGCCCCAGACAGTGACTGTATCAACCTGCATTTTAAGAACATTTATACATACTTTACATATAAAAAAACTTATTTCGAGTATTTTTATGCCCCTTTTTGAAGAAAGGCTTGCAGAGTGGTTTACGATAACATCAACCCACAAGGCAGCCCTTGTCTTCCAGCTTACAAACTAGAAAAGCAGATGGGAAGGAAGTCAGGGTCACATTAATTCTTTCAGCTGGCCTGGTAGCATCTCGTCCATCTCAGTACAACTTGCTGCAACGACCGCTGGTAGTGATGGCTGAGGAAGGAGAAGGCTTCCTGAGGAAGGTCTTCCATGGGGCTGCTGGAATGGCCTTGCTTTCCCCTCTCTTCTCCTTCCGCCCATCCTGCTGGACTGACCGCTGGTTGTGATAGTTGAAGGCAATAACTTGTTCTAAAATTCTTAAGAAATACTGGAAGATGCAACCAGGCAATCACAAAGCTGAAATAAATTCATTTTATATTTATTTATTTAATCGCATTTGTCTGCTGCCCCATAGCTGCAGGCTCTCTGGGAAGCTTACAGTACAATAGATATAAAATACAAATAACAATAGCAAACAACCACAACACACAATAAAATTAAAATACAATATAGATACAGCCATATAAATAGGAAACAGGAGGAAAATAAACACAATATAACCAATTACAAAATAAAATAATAAACCAGCAGCAGACCAATGAATCAATCTAAAAACAGATACAAAATAAAAGATTCTTAATTTATAGACTCTACATATGGCCAGAATCCCAAGCATTCAGTATAAAATGTTGGTTGTTCTGAGTGAAAAAACTAAGCTAAGGAATACCGGGGGGGGGGGGGGGCTGAGGAAATAGAAATAACAGCTGGAAAGTTTACTTACCTAATAGCTCTCATATGCACCTCTGTAGGGTGGTGAGAGCCTTTATATAGCAATCGATATTTGCTTTTTGCCTGTAACACCTGTCTGTTTCAGTGGGGTTAGGCATCCCTTGGAAACAAGTCAGTGATGTAAAAATAAACAACATAAAAGATGCTTGTTACATCAGCTTCAAGAGTCTAAGTGTTCTTGTTTGTTCTTTTAAAAAAATGGTTGAGTAGCTTGCATTTTTCTAATGTTTGTATAGCGTGAGTTGAATATACTTTCATGGATGGAAAGTTACACATGGAAACCTAACGCACATTAATTCCTTGTTTTTGTGCTTCTGATATCGTTTCCCAACTTGCAGTACTGGCTGATGATCTCTGAAAAAGCAGATAAACTTTTGTAATTTAGCTAGAAGCCTTTCAGGATGGAGGAGAGGGCTTTTAGTGGCTACAGGTCCTGATGCAGTATGCCTGCATACACCAGTTGCTGGGGAACATGGACAGGAGGGTGCTGTTCTTCTCATGCCCCACTTACAGGTTTCTCAGGGGCAACTGGTTTGCCAGTGTGTGAGCAGAATGCTGGGTTAGATGGGCCCTTAGTCTGCCCCAGCATGGTTCTAAAGTTCTTAAGTACTTGTAGGGCCAGAGGATCTTAGCCTGCATCTTTCTCCTTTCCCCTATTCTTCATTCCATTTAATGCTATAGTATAAAGTGGAAAGACAGGGGGACTACCATACATTAGGGTAATCTATTACTATTCATTTCCTTGAAATAGGAGCAATGAAAGAGCAAGACTGCCGCATTTGTTTTGCTAGACTCATATGGGTATGGTGGCAATCAGGACCATCGACATTACATATCACTGGCATCTATTATATCAGTTCAACATGCTTTCTTACCTATACAATCCCAATGGTATGAAATACCACCTACTTCCATTCAACCTTGGGTGCCTGTTTTGACCTGCCACTGTTTTGTCAACCCTAACCAGAATAGTCAAAGGTGAGGGATCATGGGAACTGAAGTGCAAAATATCTGGAGGGCCACACATTCCTCCCTCCAACCATAGAGGTACCGCTGGTTGTGATATACAATAGGGCCTTTTCTACTGTGGCAATCCACTCCCTCTCTAGTGAAGTTTGATCGGCTCCCTCCATTTAAAATCTTGGGCGTATTGCAAGACCTCTTCTCTTCTCTTCTCTTCTCTTCTCTTCTCTTCTCTTCTCTTCTCTGACCTAGCTCTAACTTGGATTAAATTTTCCAGTATTCCTCTGATGATTATACTGTTGTGCTTTATTCTGTTCTTCTTTCAAACTGTATTTTAATTGGCACTTAAAACTGATTATGTAAGCCATTGAGGGAATGAGGTGGACATTTTAAGGCTAAAAAGTAGCATTTAAATATATATTTGAAATAAATCTAGAACACATTAGCTACAAAACATATAAAGAAATAATATACACAACCTTTATGTTTAGCTTGAGTGTACCTCTCTTGCCTTTATGACAACCAAAGAAACTTAGTGTCTGCCTAAATATTCTCCTTTCAGATTTTCTATGTATGTGTCCTTGGTGTGATATTGTAGATATGGTCAAAAGATCCAGGTATTAAGAGCTTTTTGGTTTTTTAATGGTTTTGTTCCTTGCTGCTTACGATAGTTTGGCTGTAATCTTAAACTTATTTGTTGGAAGTTTTGTTGAATTCACTAAGTCAAACGTGTTTGGAATTGGACTGCAAGTCTATTTATCATTAGAAGATCATATATATATATATATGTGTGTGTGTGTGTGTGTGTGTGTGTGTGTGTGTATGGAGGCTGCATATATATATATATATATGGAGGCTCCATATATATATATATGGAGGCTGAATACATACGAGGAATGCTATGGAAATATGTCAGGGTATTATCAGTTCTCTGATATTTTCCATGCAGTTTATAAAGGGGAACAATCACAACAGTGGCAAAAATGCCTCTTTCCAGCAATATAGGAATGTTTGAACCTTTTCTCAAAAGGGAGATTCCTCTTAACTTTTCTGCTTCTCAGAAAACAGAGACATATGGCTAGGTAGCTGAGGATGGAAACTGTGGTGAAAAAATGTAACACATAAACTTGATCCTTTGCCATGGTTGTGCTGTGAAACATAAAACTCCCTTTGGGCTGGGCTGCAGGGGGTAATTCTTATCAGCTGAAAGCATCCTCCTTTGCCATGGTGCTTAATGGCTTGATCTAGGAAACACAACAAAGCAAAGCCCATTATTGGGTTAATTTGTGGCAACCTTGTATAGCTACATAATCTCTGCATTTCAAAATAGGCAATAACCCTCTGGAGCTTGGGTCAAATTCTCTGCAAACTTTTCTGCAGCTTCTTGGCTAGGATATGTTGGAAAGGAAGACCCTTGCAAATGAATGCCATACTCTGTGGATGTAAGGTCTGCTTCCTATCAAAGCCAAAGTGTAGTGTTAGTTCAAGACAGGGTGATATGCTATTTTGGCCAACAAGGCAGGTCTTGCAGTCTCACTCTATACATACATTTCATAGTCCAACCAAAAATTAGATCAAAGGCAGCACACTACACTTGCAAGCATGTGAAATTAAAAGGTAGGCATTCTTCTCATGCCTCTTGTATGTGATTTGATATACATGTCAGAGTAGCAAGAATGTTGTTGTTAGTTGCGATATCGTGTCCGACCCATCGCGACCCCATGGACAACATTCCTCCAGGCCTTCCTGTCCTCCACCATCCCCTGGAGTCCACTTCAGCTCACACCGGCTGCTTCAGTGACTCCATCTAGCCACCTCATCCTCTACTGTCCCCTTCTTCTTTTGCCATCTATTGTTCCCAGCATTAGACTCTTCTCCAGGGAGTCCTTCCTTCTCATTAGGTGGCCAAAGTATTTGAGCTTCAGCTTCAGTGTCTGGCCTTCTAAAGAGCAGTCTGGGTTGATCTTCTCTAGGACTGACCAGCTTTATCACCTTGCGGACCAAGGGAGTCGCAGGAGTCTCCTCCAGCACCGCAATTCAAAGGCCTCAATTCTTCGGCGCTCAGCCTTCCTTATGGTCCAGCTTTCACAGGCATACATTGCAACTGGGAAAACCATAGCCTTGACTATACGCACTTTTGTTGGCAGGGTGATGTCTCTGCTTTTCAGTATGCTGTCTAGATTTGCCATAGCTTTCCTCCCCAGGAGCAAGCGTCTTTTAATTTCTTGGCTGCAGTCCCCATCTGTGGTGATCTTGGAGCCCAGGAAAATAAAATCTGTCACTACCTCCATTTCTTATCCATCTATTTGCCAGGAAGTGAGTGGACCGGATGCCATGATCTTGGTTTTCTTAATGTTGAGTTTCAAGCCAACTTTTGTGCTCTCCTCCTTCACCTGCATCAAGAGGCTCCTTAGTTCCTCTTCACTTTCTCCCATCAGAGTGGTATCATCTGCATATCTGAGGCTGTTGATATTTCTCCCGGCAATCTTAATTCCAACTGGTGATTCATCTAGCCCCGCCTTTCTCATGATGTGCTCTGCATATAAGTTAAATAGGCAGGGCGACAGTATACAGCCTTGCCAAACTCCTTTCTCAATTTTGAACCAATCAGTGGTTCTGTGTCCAGTTCTCACTGTTGCTTCTTGACCCGCATATAGGTTTCTCAAGAGACAAATAAGATGGTCAGGTACTCCCATCTCTTTAAGAACTTGCCACAATTTGTTGTGATCCACAGAATCAAAGGCTTTAGCATAGTCAATGAAGCAGAAGTAGATGTTTTTCTGGAACTCCCTAGCTTTCTCCATGATCCAGCGTATGTTGGCAATTTGATCTCTAGTTCCTCTTCCTCTTTGAAAACTTGCCTGTACTTCTGGTATTTCTCGGTCCACATACTGCTGGAGCCTAGCTTGTAGGATTTTGAGCATAGCTTTGCTAGCATGGGAAATGAGTGCAATGGTGCGGTAGTTTGAACATTCCTTGGCATTGCCCTTCTTTGGGATGGGAATATAAACTGACGTTTTCCAATCCTGTGGCCACTGTTGAGTTTTCCAAATTTGCTGGCATATTGAGTGTAGCCCTTTTACTGCATAGTCTTTTAGGATTTTGAATAGCTCAGCTGGAATACTGTCGCCTCCACTAGCTTTGTTGTTGCTCAGACTTTCCAAGACCCATTTGACTTTACATTCCAGGATGTCTGGCTCGAGGTCAGTGACCACTCCATTGTAGTTATCAGGGATGTTAAGCTCTTTCTTGTATAGTTCTTCTGTGAAATCTTGCCACCTCTTCTTAATCTCTTCTGCCTCTGTTAGGTCCTTGCCATTTTGGTCCTTTATCATGCCCATCTCTGCAAGAAATGTTCCCTTCATATCTACAATTTTCTTGAAGAGATCTCTGGTCCTCCCTATTCTATTGTTTTCTTCTATTTCTTTGCACTGTTCATTTAAGAAGGCATTCTTATCTCTTCTAGCTATCTTCTGGAATTCTGCATTCAATTGGGTGTATCTTTCTCTTTCTCCCTTGCCTTTCGCTTCCCTTCTTTCCTCAGCTATTTGTAAAGCTTCCTCAGACAGCCATTTTGCTTTCTTGCATTTCTTTTTCTTTGGGATGGTTTTAGTTGCTGCCTCTTGTACAATTTTGCGAACCTCTGTCCATAGTTCTTCAGGCACTCTGTCTATCAGATCTAATTCGGCAAGGGGCGGCATAGAAATGTTATGATAATAATAATAATAATCTATCTGTCACCTCTACTGTGTATTCATCAGGGATATGATTTAGGTCATACCTGAGTGGCCTAGTGCTTTTCCCTACTTTCTTCAATTTAAGCCGAAATTTTGCAACCAGAAGCTCATGATCTGAGCCACAGTCAGCTCCTGGTCTTGTTTTTACAGACTGTATACAGCTTCTCCACCTTTGGCTGCAGAGCACATAGTCAATCTGATTTCTGTGTTGACCATCTGGTGATGTCCATGTGTAGAGTTGTCTCTTGGGTTGTTGGAAAAGAGTGTTTGCTATGACCATTGTATTCTCTTGACAAAATTCTACCATCCTGTGCCCTGCTTCATTTTGTACTCCAAGGCCAAACTTGCCTGTTATTCCGGTTATCTTTTGGCTTCCTACTTTAGCATTCTAATCCCCCATGATGATAAGGACATCATTTTTTGGAGTTAATTCTAGAAGGTGTTATAGGCCTTCACAGAACTGGTCAACTTCAGCCTCTTCAGCACCAGTGGACTTGGACTATTGTGATGTTGAATGGTTTGCCTTGGATTTGAACTGAGATCATTCTGTCATTTTGGAGATTGTATCCCAGTACTGCTTTTCCTACTCTTTTATTGACTATGAAGGCTACTCCATTTCTTCAGAGGGATTCTTGCCCGCAGTAGTATACCTGATGGTCATCTGAATTAAATTCACCCATTCCTGTCCATTTTAGTTCACTGATTCCTAAGATGTCGATGTTCAGTCTTGTCATCTCTTGTTTGACCACATCTATCTTGCCTTGATTCATGGATCTTACATTCCAGGTTCCTATGGAATATAGATCTTTGCAGCATCGGACTCTCCTTTCACCACCAGATACATCTGCAATTGAGTGTTCTTTCGGCTTTGACCCAGTTGCTTCATTCTTTCTGGCGCTACTAGTACTAGCCCTCTGCTCTTCCCCAGTGGCATATTGGACACCTTCCGACCTGAGGGGCTCATCTTCTGGCATCATATCTTTTTAACTTTTGGTACTGTCCATGGGGTTTTCATGGCAAAGATACTGGAGTGGGTTGCCATTTCCTTCTCCAGTGGATCACGTTTTGTCAGAGCTCTCTACTATGACCTGTCCGTCTTGGATGACCCTGCACGGCATAGCTCATATCTTCATTGAGCTACGCAAGCCCCTTCGCCATGACAAGGCAGTGATCCATGAGTTGCAAGAATAGTGAGGAACAATTCCCCCCTTGTTTTTGAGAGAGTTTCTGATGAGAGTGACTTTTGAACAAGTGGCTGTGCTTTGAAACAGAAATTAAGTTTCTGTCAGAAAACATGTATAAAAAGCAAGCTAGATTGCAGTTATGTGTATTTGGTTCTATCTAATAATCTAATGCAAGTCCCAATCATTTCAGTGGGTTTGGGATCAACACTGGATATAACTCATTGCAGATGCTATTTTCCTAGGCAGTTTTATCTTCGCTGAAAAAGCACTGATACCTATTGTGAGATATGCTCACAATATATGTATGTATGTATACACGTACATTTTCTTAGTGCTATTGGAAAAGGAATTGGAATCAACTTCAATGTTCCTGCAGAGTGAATACTACTGGCAGAACAGGCCTTCAAAATTCTCACCTTTTCTGTTGAAATCTCGCCAGAGTTGCCCAACAGTCCAGAGCAATCTGGAGGGCACTGGGAAGGCTGCAGGGAGAACGGCCATGTAGTTGTTAAGAATGCAGGACTGAGACTCGGGCAATCTGGGTTCTAGTTGCTGCTCTGGGTTCTAGTTCCTTTGGGTTAGTCACTCACTCTCTGCCTAATCTACCTCACAGGGCTGTTATTATTGTGAGGATAAGATTGAGAGCAAGAGAATGATGTAAGCCGTTTCAAGTTTTTCAAAAGAAAAAGGCAGGACATAAATCTAATAAATAAATATTCTGTCAATTATATCCATTCCACAGCTGCAATAAAGCTGAATTAAACTCAAAAAATAAAATATCTGGAAGACTGAAAAGGAAACCCCATGCTTAGCCAACAGTTTGTTGGGTACTGCAACCCATGCATCATAGCTAATTGCCAGGGTGGGTTAGCATGATGTGCAAACCTGCCCATTGTTCCTAGTTATTATTCTGAAGTGTTCCTGCACCGCCTGTCCAAGTATTTAACATGGCATGTAAATGGAGCACAATATACTTCTGTAAGGTACTGTCAGTGTTGCTGCTGGTAGAAAAAGAGAGGGTGTGCTGATGTTCTTTCCAAGCAGTTATACCCCATTCATGTACTGTTGGCTTACTAATGGACTATACAGAGACAGTGGTCACATTGTAAATTTCCAAGGAAACTCATAACTCTGAGATTTGAACTATACACATTTCAATGCTGTACTAGCCTTTAAGTTCAGAATTACTAGGCTCTCCTATTGCAATTCTGCTTCCTCACACTGGAGGCACTCAAAAGAGAGAATCTTAAATCATAGAATAGCAGAGTTGGAAGAGACAATGAAGGCCATCCCTACAAAATCTCAGCCTGAATAGAAAAAAATAAATAGTTGGTTTTGTTTCATACAGTGTGTTGGGGCCATAAATCATAGAAGAGTAGAGTTGGAAGGGGCCATAAAGGCCATCGGGTCCAACCCCCTGCTGTGGCAGGAAGCCCAGTTACACCATCCCACTCAGATGGCTGTCCAGTTTCTTTTTGAATGTCTCTAGTGGGGGAGAGCCCACCACCTCTCTAGGCAGTTGGTTTCACTGTTGTATTGCTCTGACACTGAGGAAGCTTTTCCTGGTGTTCAGCCTGAATCTGGGTTGTCACAATTTGAACTGATTATAAACTGAATGTTTATATTTAAATTGAAAGGGACCAGCCTCATTTTAAAACCTGATAACAACCTTAACAAATCACCTCAAAATTGATTCCCAACATGTTTTTCTTTATCCTGCCATTACTTTTTACTGCTCCCATCCTTGCCCTGCCACAAGGACAGATTTTACTCTTAATGCTTCAGATGTTCAACAGTTTTTCAATATCACAGTGCCATGACTGATTTACTCTAATAGGAGCCAACAGAACCTATGGGAACAAGGAAAAGAAAACTTTGAATCAGGTACTTGAAGAAGAATAACACACAGCAACAGGGATTACAAAAGGCCACTGCAAAGTTAATCTTCCCTTCCGAATAATTCAAGCAAGACTGTTCTATTTGGATTTTATTCCATTCTTTAAACCAAATGAATCACACAAAAGTGGCTTTAAGTTTATTAGATTTGTGTTTTGGACATCAAATTTATGAATATTTTCAACCATAGAAATGAAGACAAACTTTTAAGACAAAAGTAACGCTGCATTTTTATTCTTCTTCCCTGTATACATGATAGTTCCCATCTCCCTCTTAAGCTCAACTTCTTTATCAATTATGTGACACATACATAACTTCTTTCCTCTTGTTAAAAGAGAAAAATGGTACCAAATTTTAAATGATGAGGGAACTGTAACGGGTAAAATAAATGATTCTGAAGCAACAGAAACTTAACCTCTCCTCATAATCAATTTGGGAGTTCATTCATGAACTGATACTTTAAAAAAATACAAAAAGCTTTGCACTGAAGGAACGATACATCTGGTTTAATAAGAAAAGTTGTAAAAATCATGTCTACTTCTTTGCATGTATGCATGTCTACTCCTTTGAAAATTCCAGGTTGCCCCATTTGTCACTGTTCATTCTGCTGCCCTTCAGCAATAGCAGATACTGCTCCTTGTCCCTTATTAACGTCACTGATGCATGCCCACTGTCCATCTACCGATTCTTTCCATAAAGTTACCTGAAAGAAGACCAGAATGAGAGTGTTTAGTTCTTCCCCTCTTCTAGAATCCACTCTATATAGCAGCAAGGATTTCATTCTAGTTTCTTTCCCTTTGACAACGGTTCTGAGTACTACAGCTATCAACCGTATCTCAAGAGTAACTAACCTAGTGCCACCCAGTTTGTGCTACAACTCCCATAAACACGTGTCTGTGTGGCCAATGGTCAGGGATTCTGAGTTGTAGTCCAAACGTGGGGGGCTGCCGACCCTGTCATGTCTAAAGCAGATGTTCCTAAATAAGCCAGCACTTCTACTTCAGGTTTAAAAGATTCTTCACAGCAGTTCCACCACATACAGCTCAGTTCAATTCAAACTAGACAGGCTGGTGTTTACATTAAAAAACTTGATTTTCATTTTAAAGGAAAACCAACACTATTGTATAGATCAATTCAACTAATCCAGTAAAATGGATGTTTGAAAGACTTGGGGCTTTGAAAAAAGACTTGGGGCTTTGAAAAAAGACTTGGGGCTTTGAAAAAAGAGGAGCAATCCTATGGTCCCTAGATGGTGTCTGAGGACCATAGGGTATTTCAGATTCCCAGGTACGAAGTCAAGACAAAGGTCTGATTTCATCCCCCTCCCCCCCATTGCAGCTGCCATGGAAAGATCCATGCCAACTGCTGAGCTTGGCAAAACAACCTCAGAGAGAAAGAGTATTCCAGTCGGTAGGGAGGAGAATAGAGAAGCCAGACTATAAGCTGTCCTGGCACCTCTCCAGCCCCCTTCTATCTCACTGTGAAATGCCTTTTGGAAGATGGACAAAAAGCCTATTCAGCAAAAATGCAGGGCAAGAGGAGAGGAGGTAGAGACTACCTCCACTGTTCCCCCCACTCTGTACTGGATGACCACAAGCCTTGGAGCTTGGAGGCATAAGGGCAGCACCAGAGCCATGAAAGGTTTGGCGTGAGTAGACAGAGAGAAATATGCTTCTCTCTCTCATACTGCTAAGGCCCATGAAGATTATAGCCCACCTCCAATTTGATTATCTCAGCATAATACACCACGTTTTATTAATCGAAGTACAAATATTGTGCATATACAGTCCCTGCTCCCCATAATGCAAGACTTCCAAGACTTGTTAAAATAATTTCTTATTCCGTCTGAACCTGATAATGCCTATAATCTCCAACCACAAACCAGGATCAGATTCTGAACTTGGTTCTGCTGAAAAATGTGGAACTACAAGCAAAAGAATTAAATTAACACCTGAAAATGGCCATGTGAATGTCAGGGAAAGGGTAGGATTTAAGCTGCTTTATCACTCACTTTATTGTCTCCCCCAGACACTGCGAGAATATTTGCAGTGATGGACCAACTGACATGCCACACTACATCATTGAATTTGTGTAGCAATTTCGGTGACCATGAATTTCCAGAGGCATCATCGCACATCCAGATAAAAACTCTGCCATCCTAAGAAAAAGCAAACAAAATTGTAAGCACAAGAGTGAGTTCGCAATCAATACCATGTGTATCAAGCAAACCACAACAGGTTCTTATCAATGGAATCCTGTCATCACAACCATGGCTTACCTGGATTGTACTGTTTCAGACTGTGCAGGATTATATGACCTGTTCACATATAAGAGCAGCAAAGTTTGGATAAATCAAGTAACTCATGATATTTTGAGCTATATGCCACTTAGAAGCCACTTCCAGTATGAAAATGCATTGTGATCACGGGCTGATTTGTTACATGCACACCCACACACTTTGGATCACTCATGGGTTAAACAACTGAGAATTAACCTATAATTAGTAGGTTTAATCTACTATTAATCTACAGCATATGGGTTCAGATGTCATGTAACAAGCCCAGACTGGGGTTAAATATTCAAAAAGGCTGTGGAATGTGCCTGGGATATGCTGCAGAAAACTGTGGATTAACGACCTATGATTTGTTCCTGCTATGCATATAAAAATAGTATGTAAACGAAGGCTAATCTAAAAAATCCTCAGCAAACTAACTTCCACAGGCAGGAAGATCTTTCCATGGAGCATTTTACAAGGGTCCTTTTTCAGTGAGGATAAATTACCCAGGAAAATAGCATCCTTGCAATGAATTATACCCAATGTTAATATTTTAGCAACTTATAGGTATGTGAGGGGATGTCATGTGGAAGAGGGCTGTGACCTGTTCTTCCCTGCAGGGGAGGACAGGGTGTGTTCCAATGGGGCAAAACTCAAGGAACCAGGCTTCAGGTTGGATGTCAGGAAGTACTTCCTGAGGTTAGAGCCCCTAGGATCTGGAATGGACTTCCAAGGGAGGTGGTTGAGGTCCCACCAGTGAGGGTGTTCACAGAAAGATTGGACAACAACATGTTGGGGATTACGGGAGCAGAGCTGGCTGCAGCTGGGGGTCAGACTAGATGGCCTGGGAGGCCCCTTCTGTCTCACTTCATTTCTATGATAATCCCAGACCCGTTGAAGTGAATGGGGCTTACGTTAAATGAATTTGGTGGTATCCAGTATTAATCTAACTGCATGCTTGTAAGTCTAAAATGAATTCCACAGATGAAGCAGGACATGAATATATAAATAAATATACACATGAATATATAAATAATATACACATGAATATATAAATAAAACAAATACAGAATTTATAATGCATGTGATTTAAGCATGCTGTGCCAGAAATGGTTATTTTCACTCGCTTTAGCCATTGATTTCTACCTGTGAGCAGCTGGCAATAGTGCTTGTTGGCAAACCTATGGAAGGTGCCCAGGCTACATCTCTGACCCAGTCACTGTGGGCTTCTAGTTTTTGTTCTTCTTTCCACTGGCCATCTTCTTCTCTGGAACGATTGAAAGGAAAGAGATTGGCAGTGGCAAGAATCCCCACCTTTCCTCATCAGCATTTCTCACATTAATTCCCTTTCTATATGGTCTAGTGGCCAAAGCTCTCTGGACAATTTACAAAGAAACCACAAAAATGCAATATTACAACATAGTAAAATAATTTATATACTGAAATAACATAATTGTACACAAGCTACAATAAAAAACTAAGAACCTGTTCAAAACCTTATTGTATGCTGCCTTACCCTGGTGCCAAAAGGGTGAAAGTATTGGCACTAACTAAGCAAACGCCTTTGGGGAAAACATTGTATAATCAGTGAAGGCCTACAGATTTGTGTCCATCCTCTAAAGCTCCCTTGGAGGAGGGCCTCAGGTGATAATTGTGGCATATGGGTAACTTCACACATAGTGAAACATTCCATCAGGTATGCAGTCCCAAGAAGATTACAGCTTTATGGATCAAAGCCAGCACATTGACCTGGGTTCAGAAAAGTCGGGCAGCCAGTGCAATCAGATCAAAATCAGTTCATTTACACACTGAAGTTTACTGAATTGTGATAATGGAGATAGTCAGGGAAGAGTACGAGCCATCCATTCTAATGGCTTTCTTTCTATTTAATGGTACTCAAGCCCTCACCTCCATGCTGTATTTCAGGCTGCTTGTGAATGTCAAGGCAGTTTGCCCTGACACACACGTACAGCCCCTTTGCCTTAGAGCTTGAGTTATAATCACCATAGCAAAAGAAAGGAATAAAGAATTCATGTGTAGTGGGAGGAAGAAAACTGGAGAGAAAGCAGGGAGAATATAGGCAATCCAATAACTCAGAAGGGGCAAGAGTATATAGTTTAGTTTAATCATTTATATGCCATCCTTTGCAGCAGCCTCAGGATGGCTTACAGAAGATAAAAATAGCAATATAAATAACAGTATAATAATATAAATATCATTAAAAACATTTAACAGATAAACAACAATATATCATTTCATAACTAAAGAAAAAGAAAGAAGAAAAGGAAAAGAAAATGTGACTCTATAAAATTAATATTATTATTAAAATAGTGATATTAAGTATTAAAATGGTGGTTAAATAAAAAGGTCTTCACCTGGCCCCGGAAAGAGTAGAGAATCGGCACTAGGCAGACCTCTATGGAGTATGTTCCATAGTCTGGGCGCCACCACAGAGAAGGCCCTCCTCTGTGTGGATACCCTCCATACCTCCTTCAAAGAGGGTTCCCAGAGCAAGGCTTCCCCTGCCGATCTTAAGAGGCATGAGGGCATATAGGGGAGGAGACATTCCTTCAGGTATCCTGGACCCAAGCTGTTTAGGGCTTTATAGGTAAGTACCAGCACCCTGAATTGGGCCTGGACTTCAATTGGGAACCAGTGAAACTGATAGAGGACTGGCGTTATATGAGAATAATGGCCAGTCCCCATGAGCAGCTTGGCAGCTCTATTTTGTACCAACTGAAGTATCCAGACCATTTTCAAGGGCATCCCCACATAGAGCGCATTACAATAACCCAACCGGGAAGTTACCAGCGCATGTGTCACCATTGCTAAGCAGTGCTTGTCCAGGTAAGGATGCAACTGTTGGATCAGCTGGAGCTGAAGGAAAGCGCTCCTTGCCACCGCCGTCACCTGGACCTCCAGGGACAGTTCCAGGTCAAGGAGCACTCCTAAGCTGCAGACCCAGTCCTTTAGAGAATATTATCTTTGTTTTATCAAAAGCTGTAAGAGAAATCTCTCAGTATAACTTACTTCCAAATCTTGATAAGATTATCACAGCCACCTGAAGCAAATCGTTTGATGTAGTTTGGTTTTTGGCTTGACGGCTGTTCTATAAGGCTTCCTGGTACAACAGCGGGTGCCCAGCTAACAGCATTGCAGCCAATCTAGGACAAATTTATGCAGCAGTTTCTTATTTAAAGCCGAAACAGAGACCCAAATGTCAAGCCTGAACACCTGAATATGGTGATACTTACTGAATATTGCAAGTATGATCTAAACATGATGTCTCAATGGTTTCAGGTCAATATACTAGTACATACCTCCCTCTCTTCCTAATGTTCAGTTGTGGGTACCCCTATTTTAGATAGCCAGAATGGCACCTTTCAGGCAGAAGAGAAAGGCATCAACGAGTTTTGGGAAAAAAACCAAGTATGCAGAAGAGCTGAAAAGCTTGAGCAAAAAAACCTAAGGGAGGAAAACTAACCCAGAAGAGCTCAATGAAGCCTGAGAGTGCTAAGCAACAATGTCATGGAGACTGACCATCCCTAGAAAGTTTAAATTATAAAATTCCATAATTACTTTGTCATCTCAAGCCTCTAGAACAACAAAATTATCTTGTCCACAACAAAATGACTAGATACTCACTGTATGTGCATTGCTGATTTTTTTTATTTCCCACTGTCCATCGCCAGTGTAGCTCAACAGAGATATGGCCCCATCAGAACTGCCACATGCCAGGATCAGTCCATAGTCCTGTGGTGCCCAACAGACAGAATTCACTGCCAGAAAACACAGAAATTGGCTGGATTATTGTACAGGTTAGTCAAAAGGAAAAAATTGGGAAAACATATGCCCCCTTGCCTTAGAGAGATGTTAGCTGCAAGAGACATAGCCAGAGCAGCAGATAATGCTTCTCATGGGACAGAGGTCAGTCATGCTATGCCGAAAGTCTTTTTTTTAATGTAACTATAAGTATCAAAAATGTAAGGTGCTCCAATGCAGATATCTCTTACAAATGCTTGTAAGATGGTACAAAGTCTGTTGACTCCAGTGTTGTTTTAATACTAGTAGCCAATTAGCACAAGGTCACTGCATTGTACCTACAAATACTGGTGATGGTGGCACAATTAGCTTGCACTAGTGCAGAAACAGCACAGGGGATGAACTTGAAGTAGCAGTGTAGTCACTGTGAAAATATATAGAAGGAAATAGCCATTGGAAGCAAAAATAATGTATAGCCAAGTTGTTATTGGTCCATTCTACCCCTATTTACTGTACATATCTCAGCTGGTTCAAATGCTGAAGCCCATCTGAGGCACTTACTTAGTGTTCATTCAGGTCAGAGTATTTTTTACCAAATAAATATATTAACTAAAAACTGTTAGAATTCTTTCCTATGACAGCTAAAAATACTACTAACTTCAGAAGCAGAGTTTCTTGATTTCTGATATCAAAGTAGTGGCAATGATTATTGATCTACACTTTTGGCTTATAAGGCATAACATCTATTGGGTAGATGGCTTGAAATATTCATGCTACTGAATGACACTAGGTCCATCTATGTCTGAGCCAACATTCAAACTGAGTAACTCATAGTCTGCCCAAGTTGTATATAAGGAAACTACAATATGCTACTAACCAAGAAATATGGGAGGCAAACTTAGAGGTGAAAGAAGAAAGCCTGAAAGAACCAAACATGCTCCCCATTCTTCCAAACCATAACTTGACGTATTTGGGATATTACATCTGAAATAATCCTGTATGTCACAATGCTGTCTTACAAATATACATGAGATTTAGCAGGTCTGAACTTATGTATCAGTGAAATGGAAGTCTAAAAAAGGACCAGAATCCCTACTGCTTTCTGCACATATATGCTAGACCCTGGTGCAGCCTCACACTGCTCCTGAAAACTTCTCCAGAAGGTTGACAAATACTGCCAGATGAATATTTATTACAAAGCAGATGGCTACAGTCAGAGGCAGAATCCATGCGGGTCTGCAGGAGCACTTTAGGCACATGCACAAGATTCTTCATTTCCCAGAGAAGTCCTTCTACTCTTGACATTCAGGCACTTCAGTCAAACTTCAACATAGCAATACACACAGAAGGACAGTCATACAACTTAAGCCCAGTATGCTGTTAAAGAAATTGACCAAATATCTGTGACCAGCACTATTACATGGAGTCTTTAATCAGTGTATCTATATTGCAACTGAAGCGACACAGAATTATAATCCTTCTCTGTTCAACCGACTACTAAAGGAATATCCATACCTGATGAATCATGTCCTGTGTATTCATAAGTTTTTTCCCAGGTACTATTCTCTTCCTTCCAGATAATAACCCTCCTATCATAGGAACAGGAAGCCAGGATATTGCCGTACATTGGATGAGCCCAGGCAACCTGCCATACAGGACCTTCATGTCTACATAAAAAAGCATGAGTTCAAAGAAGGAAGGTATTAGTGTGTTAAAACAACAACCCATTATTTATTTTAACCATGGTTTCTTAGTCAACCCAAGGCCTGTCTGACAGATGATCAAACAAACCACAACTTGCTTTTTCATCCTCTTGGTTGACTGTTTTTCTCCTACAAATCCTCCCTCCAAGTATTCCAGATGCCTTTGTAGCACCACAGTACTGGCATATGAAAAGGCTAGGCGTTTTGATGCAGCAACACAACCAATGAGCAACCCATGACTCTCTGTTCACATGGAACCTCTGTTCACATGTAAACCACTATTACTTGTGGTTTAAACTACCCACAGTTTACACCCAAACAGAAACAATGGTTTATCTTCATGGGTTGTTTATAGTTAACATCTCCTAGATATAGCTTTGTACATAATAACCTCTGATTTAATAAGTTTGTCTATGTGTGTGTGAACCAGGTTTCTTTGAAAAAAAGAAGACAGAGCATGGGAAATAGCTCCAAGAAATTTAGGGGCTAAATTTAGCCCCAGAAAAAAATCACTAACAGAATCACTTTTTATTGTTGTCTCTCTCTCATCTTTTCCTCTGCCCATTCACTATCCCAATAAGACTGAATCCCTCTGCTGATCTTTAGCTGGAATATTTAAAGTTACAAACATATCAGTAATTTTAAATTTATAGCAGGCTGCAATCCAACACCCACTTACCTGGGAGTAAGCCCCACTGAACTCAGCAAGACTTACTTCAAAGTAGATAAGCATATGACTGTACTACAAGTCTTCACAGAAAGCATACCATCTCTTCTGAGGTAATAAAACTTAGCAAATACCTTAGGACAGGGGTCCTCAAACTTTTTCAACAGGGGACCAGTTGAAAGGTGCCGGCTATGGGTGTGGGCCGCCAAAGCGGTGTGGGTGGGGGGGCATGTGCCAGGGCATGTGCGTGTGCGCATGGCAAGGTGCCAGCTTGCTCGCAAGATTGTTTTCTCCAAGCGAGGCCAAAACGATCTCCACACCAGCAAGCTGGCACCTTGCCATGCATGAGTGCAGAGTCCAAAATCTCTATGGTGGGCCGGATCCAGCCCGCAGGCCATAGTTTGAGGACCCATGCCTTAGGAGGAAGATACTTTCAAGTATATTAAACATCTTGTATGCAAAACAGGAATGCATTTTCAACATTGTACCCAAGAAACTGGTAATTGGAACTATAACTAAAACATAAACTTGAGAGATATACCAAATGATTGTCTTTAAATTGACTCACCCTCTTAAGTCAGCTATAAGAATTTGCCCTCCATTCCTTACATCAAATATTTTCACTGATCTGTCTGAGGAGCAAGTTGCCAAACGTGTTCCATAATAATCCATCTGAGCATCATGCTGGGAAGTGATAAAAAAAAACCTTTTATTGTCATCTATCAAATCAGGGTGAAGTAATACAATCATTTTTTAAAAATATTAAACCCCTTCCACCAAATCCTACTGTATAAAGCATTATGAATCACACCACAGTAGAATAAGAGTGTGGTGTTATGATAAGATTTAAATAAGCACAGCATTTTCGTGAGAAAGAGGGTGCAAGCTATACTAAACCAACATGGAAGCTAGCATTGTATCAACTGCCCACAAAGAACGAGGGCCAGGCAACAAGTAAAAGGTGGCTAGAACAAGACAGTAAATACTTCCTATCCCTACTGCCCCAGGTCCCAATGGGAGTAGATAACATTTAAGGAAGGAGGATAAAATATTTTAAAATTATATAGAAACCCAAGTGCCTGTTTTTCATGAAATGCCCCTCAATTTTATTATTCAGCACTGCATCTCCTAATGCTATATATTTTCCCAAATAATAATTGCTGCTCATTACCAAAGCTGTCAAAAAAGGCAAGGAACAATAAGTGTCATATCACTCTCATTCATATATACCTGCAAGCTCAATTAAATGAAAATTCACTAAGTAAAACCATTCTTAAAATGTCTATTTAGAGAAGTACATTACAAGAGGAGCATGCTCATGGATTAGGACCCCTTTGTGATTTCAGCCATGCTGTTCCAGTCTCCCAAAGGAAAATACCACCTCCCAGCCCATCACTGCTTCCTCTCCCCCCCTTACAATTGAAAGCCATTAGCAGCAATTAGCTATTCTCTTTAAGCTTGAGGAAGGAAATGAATGTCCCCTTGCTTTACACTTTTAAAATCAAATTCCTCATACTGTTTCCTGAGGGCGGAGATATTACTTAAAACAACAAATACTTACGATCATATCCTCATGGGAAGTGTCCACTGTATTAATTACAGACACCTATTGGGAAAATGTATAGTTATCGTAAGTAAGACCACTCGTAATATCTGACTGAACAGTTAAAATCAAGTAGTAAACCTGCTTGCTTCACATTTTTACATAAGCACTGACTGTATTAGTGTGTACATGAAACTGAATCTCATTTAACCCTCAGATGACTTTGCAGCACTGCCATGTGGATTTTTGCCTCTTGCCCTCAACAGACCTGCTGAACCTCACTGACATCATATCAAAATTAATATAGGTAACAGGTGACACAGTGATTAACTATTCATCTACTTTGGATGATTACTCCACAGAACAACCTGAAGGCAGAAATTCTGAATTAGAGACCTCAGTTGTTATCTGTTTCAGCCACTGTACCCAAGTAAGTCTATGACTGGCCAAGGATCTGAACTAGGTCTCTGAAGCCTAAGCCAAACATTGCAGCCACTTCTTTCAACACATCCAGATGGTTCAAATTTCAAACACCTACAGCCAGATGACTCTAATTTCAAATAACTTATGGGCAGTTTTAGTACTTCCAGTCTGAACTGGTCTCCTGTGGTTCCATGCAACTGGGAGAGACATGCATGTTCACAAGAACATAAGAAAAGCCCAGCCAGATGAGACAAAAGGGCTACGTAGTCCGGCATAGTTAACCAGATGCATCCAGGTGGGAAGCACGCGAGGAGGACATGAGCGCAAAATCACTTTCAAACTCACATCCCTCAGTAACTGGTATTCAGTATTTTGCTACTAGAGATAGAATATAGCTATCAAAACTGGTTGCCATTGATAGTATTATCCTCAAAGTGCTGGCTTCCCAATCGTGAAATGCTCTCTTTACTGAAAGCCACCGGGTGCCAACATGTCATTCTAGCTGTACCATCTTAGATGTTGTTCTTCTCCCAGATCTTTGATAGCATATGAAAAGGTTTTAACTGGTCCTAGGATTTCTAAACTGTTTAGTAAGGAGTTGTGATATATTTTATATCATACTTAAAAAAAAAAAAACGCTTTTGTAAACTACCTGAGGAGTGATGGTACAGCAATGTAAAAAAACTCCTAATCCAATACATTCCAGAGTTTCAGTAATACCTCTAATTTAGTAGAAATAATATAGTGTTTTTCATCTTATTGCTACTTCATCATGCAAGTTAAATATAATACTTATTTTAGATCTTTCTCATCTATAATACCTTTCACTAATACTTACAGCTATGAGATACCTACAGTATATCACAGAAGTGAGTACACCCCTCACATTTTGTAAATATTTTATTATATCTTTTCATGTGGCAACCCTGAAATGACATTTTGCTACAATGTAAAGTAGTGAGTATACAGCTTGTATAACAGTGTACATTTGCTGTCCCCTCAAAATAACTCAACACACAGTCATCAATGTCTAAACCGCTGGCAACAAAAGTGAGTACACCCCTAAGTGAAACTGTCCGAATTGGGTATTATTAGCCATTTTCCCTCCCCGGTGTCATGTGACTCGTTAGTGTTACAAGGTCTCAGGTGTGAATGGGGAGCAGGTGTGTTAAATTTGGTGTTATCGCTCTCACTCTCTCATACTGGTCACTGGAAGTTCAACATGGCACCTCACGGCAAAGAACTCTCTTAGGATCTGAAAAAAAGAATTTTGCTCTACATAAAGATGGCCTAGGCTATAAGAAGATTGCCAAGACCCTGAAACTGAGCTGCAGCACAGTGGCCAAGACCATACAGCGGTTTAACAGGACAGGTTCCACTCAGAACAGGCCTCACCATGGTCGACCAAAGAAGTTGAGTGCACGTGCTTAGCATCATATCCAGAGGTTGGCTTTGGGAAATAGACGTATGAGTGCTGCCAGCATTGCTGCAGAGGTTGAAGGGGTGGTGGGTCAGCCTGTCAGTGCTCAGACCATACGCTGCACACTGCATCAAATTGGTCCGCAGGGCTGTCATCCCAGAAGGAAGCCTCTTTTAAAGATGATGCACAAGAAAGCCCGCAAACAGTTTGCTGAAGACAAGCAGACTAAGGACATGGATTACTGGAACCAAGTCCTGTGGTCTGATGAGACCAAGATAAACTTATTGTTTTCAGATGATGTCAAGCGTGTGTGGCGACAACCAGGTGAGGAGTACAAAGACAAGTGTGTCTTGTCTACAGTCAAGCATGGCGGTGGGAGTGTCATGGTCTGGGGCTGCATGAGTGCTGCCGGCACTGGGGAGCTACAGTTCATTGAGGGAACCATGAATGCCAAATGTACTGTGACATACTGAAGCAGAGCCTGATCCCCTCCCTTCGGAGACTGGGCCGCAGGGCAGTATTCCAACATGATAAAGACCCCAAACACACCTCCAAGACGACCACTGCCTTGCTAAAGAAGCTGAGGGTAAAGGTGATGGACTGGCCAGGCATGTCTCCAGACCTAAACCCTATCGAGCATCTGTGGGGCATCCTGAAATGGAAGGTGGAGGAATGCAAGGTCTCTAACATCCACCAGCTCCGTGATGTCATGGAGGAGTGAAAGAGGACTCCAGTGGCAACCTGTGAAGCTCTGGTGAACTCCATGCCCAAGAGGGCTAAGGCAGTGCTGAAAATAATGGTGGCCACATAAAATACTGACACTTTGGGCCCAATCTGGACAGTTTCACTTAGGGGTGTACTCACTTTTGTTGCCAGAGGTTTAGACATTGATGGCTGTGTGTTATTTTGAGGGGACAGCAAATGTACACTGTTATACAAGCTGTATACTCACTAATTTACATTGTAGCAAAGTGTCATTTCTTCAGGATTGCCACATGAAAAGATATAATAAAATATTTACAAAATGTGAGGGGTGTACTCACTTCTGTGATATACTGTAGGAAGCTATGGTATGCTCATATTTGGAGTTCTGGTTCTTTTGCCTTAAAAAGACTATCATAGAACTGGTAAGGTGCCAAAAAAAAAAAAAAAACCCCAACCCAAAAATGATCAAGGAGTTGTAATATCTTCCCTGTGAATAATGATGAAAGCCTTTAGAGCTTTTCACCTTGGAAAAAAAATCATGTAAGGGAGGCTAACCTAAACTTAAAAGGCTTACAGAAGTATGTATGGTGAAGAGAAAGTTATTTTCCCATTCTACCCTCTGCTCATAGTACAAGAACATAAGGTCATGCAATAAAATGGACTGGCAACAGAAACAGGACAAAAGAAAACACTTTTTCATATAACTGGGAATATTATGGCCAGTTCTGCTTCCTCCAACCCAAAGAGGATGGAAAGTGAAAAGATGGACAAAACTAAACAAGAATTATCCAAGCAACTGGACCACCTTCCCTTTGTTACGTATGAATGGAATTCACTGCTTCTAGACATGGTGATAGGGACTCATTCAAACAGGAACTAGGCACATTTATACTCCTCAGCAATTGACCATGAGAGCTAACTCCAGCCTTCATTAGCAGGTCTCTCAATACTTGTTGGTGGGGCACAGTGAGAAAAGGGGTATTGCCTTCCTCCCGAACTTGTGGGCTTCTCAGAAGAAACTAGTTGCCCATTGTTTGAAATGGCATACTAGATTAGAGAGGACTTTGATCCGATCTGTCTCAATACCCACTTCTGATTTTAAATCGAGGCAGGTAAGCTACGCTGCTAGCAGAAAAGAACCTTCAGCCACGTAAAATCCGTGTGTAGGGGTTGAGGAGGGGACATCCACGGTGAGCCCTGGTATGGGGGGGAAAGTGCAACAAGTACGCAAGCGTGTCCTGTTGAAGGATATACAGGTGTGGCCAGGCTGAACACAGAACGGAGCCTGGGAGTGGGCATGCTTTGCTCCAGTGTCACTCCGCCTGCGGACGGTGCGGGGGAAATTGGAGTCTTCTGCAGACCTAAAAAACCCCCGGGAAGGGGCCTGTGAGAATACCTGGTTACCCGAGGCAACCCCTTCAGTAACCGGTCAAATCGTTCCCCCCGCCCGCCCCCACCCCCGCCTTGTCGCTGTAGTCACCCGCGGGGCAACCCGGGTCTGGAACGAGAAGGCCAGCCCGAATGACCCTCAGCGAGAAAGGGGTCGGAGGCCGACCCACGACCCACAAGCTCTCACCATGGTGATAACGGAGGGATCTTGGCGGGCTCCACCGGGCACCACGCACCGCGCTCGCGGCCGCTCTCAGACGTGGCAACTCGCCGCCGCGCAGTGCGCACGGTGACGAAACTCTCCGGTCGGAAAAGTGTCCTTCCTGCCAGGCCCACAAGAGTTCCGCCTGCTGCTGTTTCTCTCTTCCCCTTTTGCAGATATAGGTGGCGGTCGCGGGCCATCCGGCCTTTCTTCCGTCTGGCTTCTCTACTCGGCTCAAGCCACAGGCAGCTGGGTTCTGTTTTTTGCTAAGTGCAGCCCTGCCGGATTTCAGGACCTCTGACTTGAGATTCAACCCCCGATTATTCTCGGTGCGCCTCTGTGCCCATTTACTCACATTAGAAGACCTGTTTATTGCCGTCTTATTCCAGCCTCCTCACGTAAGGCTGGTGATGTGCATAGGGTTTCTTATCGCACTGACGGCAAGGCTTTGCCAGTGATTTGCCTTCCTCCCAAAGTTTGAAAACCGGCGAAACTTCCGTCCACAACAGTGCACTACCCTTGGCAACAGTGATTTACCGTGAAAGGCTGCTGGGAGGCTGAGCAAGCATACAAATAAAAATTTACATTTTTTTCCTGCAAGGAACCCAAGGTGGCTTACCTAAACCTCCTGCTCTTCTCCAGTTTATCCTCACAACGACCCTCTAAGGTAGGTCCACCAACTGGCTCAGAGTTGCCCTGTGAGCTTCATGACCAAGTGATGATGAGAACCTCATCTCAGTCCAAGTCCAGCATGCTAACCACTACACCACATGGGCTCTTGCATTTCCAGGCAAAAGCACTGTGCTTAATAATATGCACACCTTTTTAATATTAATATATTACCAATCATCTTAAATATAGGCACACTAATACAGTTATTTTGAACTGTAGTAATCTCTGTTGCTGCTGTTCCTTTTATACAAGATCTTCCTAAGGCTCCTATTTTGGTGAGCCAAAGGCAACGAACTTCTATATGCTGGCCATTCATGGCTAACAATGATCTCAGGTTCTTATTACTTGGTGTATCTATTGATTAGTTTGGATGCTATATTATTCATCCTTGGTCCCACTGTGTAAACTCACATTATGTCCAAACCCATTCATGTTCCCCCACCCTTTAAAAAATCTATTCAGTATTAAAGGCTATCCATTGACATACTTAAAGCACCAGAGTAACTGTCATTACATGGTTTTTTTTTTCCCATGGCCACTTTTAGATAGGAATTTGGGGTGGAATAAGGACCACAGCTGACAGATCTTCCAGGTATCTCTCGGCCCTCCTTTGGTTGGAACCAGATTTTGATATAATTATTCTAAGCCCTAGGCCCACATTTAGCCACTGAGCCATGCTATAATTGTTCCTGCTATGTGTATCTTTTCATTACTAGCAAATAACTACTTCTTCACCAAACTGAGTCTCCTGGTTCCTTTTTAAGAACAGTCCATAGTAGTTTATGCTAGAAGATACACCAATGAGCATAAGGTGAAAATTGATGTTTTGTTGCAAGCAAAAGTGATTTGCTTCATTGATGTAGCAGTATTTTTTCTGAATATTATAATTAGCTAATAGATCAATATATTACAAAGCAAATAAAGTAAAAACATAACTTAATGTTTTTAAATACTGATCTCACTTGTGTTCTGATGTTTATCTAGAATCTGCCTTTTCAAAATTAGAATAAATGGTCCAGCAGTGTTTTCCAAATACTTATCCAATTGTTTTTGTACCAAACTTGTTTCTGATAGAAATTTAGATATTCAGTAACATGATTTTTTGCTTTATCCCTACAAAAACAATCTCAGCTTGAATAGAAAAAAATAAATAGTTGGTCCTGTTTCATACAGTGTTGGGGCCATAAATCATAGAATAGTAGAGTTGGAAGGAGCCATGAAGGCCATCGGGTCCAACCCCCTGCTTTTACAGAACACCAATTTACACCATCCACTCAGATGGCTATCCAGTGTCTTTTTGAATGTCTCTAGAGCGGGAGAACCCACCACCTCTCCAGGCAGCTGGTTCCACTGTTGTATTGCTCTGACAGTGAGGAAGCTTTTCTTGATATCTAGCCTGAACCTGGGTTATCGCAGCTTGAATTGATTATTCTGTGTCCTACAATCTGGTATCAGCAAGAAGTGATCTTGGCCTTCCTCTTTGTGACAACCTTTGCGGTACTTATAGAGTGATACAACAGCTCCCTTGGCCTTCTCTTCTCAAGGCTGAACATGCCAGTTCTCTCAGTCTCTCTTTTCAGGGCAGTGTTTCCAAATCTTGGACCATTTTTGTTGCCCTTCTCTGGACCCTTTCAAATTTTTCTGCATCTTTCTTAAATCTTGGTGCCCAGAACGGGACACAGTATTCCAGATGGGGTCTTGCTTGTGAGGAGTATAGGGGAACTACTGCTTCTCATGATTTGAAAGAAATACTTCTAGTAATACACCCTAAATAGCATTTGCTGTTGTGGCAGCTGCATCACATCGTTGGCTCTGTTTAGCCTGTTGTCCATAATTATTCCATGGTCTTTTTCTTTTTCTTTTTCAGTTCTTTTGAGCCATGTATTCCCCATCTTGTATCAATGCATTTGGTTTCTTACTTAATCTCATTCTGTTGCTTTCAGCCCAGCATTCAAGTTTATCAAGATCACCCTGGATCTTCATTCTGTCTTCTATGGTGTTCGTTATTCTACCCAGTTTGTATTGTCTGCAAATCTGATTATCGTTCCTTGAACTTCCTCATCTAAATCATTAATAAACATGTTGAAGAGCACTGAGCCCAGAACTGAACCCTGCGGCAGCCCACTAGTTACCTTCCTCCAGTTTGAGAAGGTGTTGTTGATCAGTACTCTTTGTGTCCGATTTAGCAGCCAGTTTTGTATCCACCTAATAGTTTTTTCTATCTAGTCCATTTTTTGCTAATTTACTTATCAGAATGTCATGGGGCGCAATGTCAAAAGCTTTGCTAAAGTCTAGGTAGATTATGTCCACAGTGTTCCCTCTGTCCATTCAAGAGCTCAGCCAATCAAAAATGAGATTAGTCTGACAGGATTTATTTTTGATAAATCCATGTTGGCTTCTATTAATCACTACACTTTCTTCAAGAAGCTTGCAGATGGATTTTAAAATATTTTTTCCAGAATTTTTCCAGGGATTGATGTCAGACTAACTGGTCATCTCTCCTCCCCCCTCCTTTTTTTTTTTTTTTTGAAGATAGGGACAACATTAGCCCTTCTCCAGCCATCTGTCACTTCTCATATTTTTCAATATTTATTGAAGATAATAGCTAGTGGTTCTAAGAGTTCTGAAATCTTTAACAATTGTACAGCTAGAGAAGGACGGCTATATTTGTTGTTTGCTATTATTAAATATCTAAATTATTATATTTATACTTCAATGCACCAGCTCTTCATGAGATTGGAAAGTAAATGGCTTTTAGTAAGCCAGTTTCTCATAGATGCATGCATTTTCACTAACATGATTTTACTATTCATCCTGCAGAGATCTCAGCTCGTACATAGCTATTTTTGAATTAAGCTTGTACATTCATTTATTTATTTAACATTTGAAGGTGCTGTGACAATGGTGAATAGTAACAGCTGCTCCTCTTTTATTTGGGGATATTGTTGATGAATTTCCAGAGAGAACTGTGTATTCAAGAGAGACCCACCCACCTTTTCTAACTTGAGTGTCAGTTTCGCCTGTCTACACACACCCCATGAGCAAGTGACTGAGCACTGGTTTCTCTTTCGTCTTCTCTCATGATTGTCACTCAAATTGCAGCGAATCACCTGCAGTTCTACTGCAGCAACAGCAGAGACCAGGATGGGGTGAAAAGAGCAGCTGCTGCCTGCTTTTCCCTCCCCTGTAACTTGAGAGGCTGCAGATGTCTGTCAGTAGGTGGCGCCCTGAGCTCAACTGTAGCCCTGACTATATATATCCTATGATAACAGTGCAGGGGCTCAGCTTTTCCAGCGACTTCTAACCAGGGGAGGGGGCAGGGGAGGAAAAAAAAAAGAGAGAGGAAAAACACTACCCCAGCCTCACGGTGTCCCTTCTGTCGCCATATTCTCTATGCAGATCTCCGGCAAACAGAGCTCTTGCCTAAGGCAGCAAGAAACTTCAACCTTTTCTTAAAGCCTATGCATTAAAGCAGGCGGTATACAGGAGAACACCTCCCAAGGCCAGCTGTCCAAGATGACTAACATATCCTATCACATCTCCAACCTCTTGGAGAAGATGACATCCACCGACAAAGATTTTAGGTAGGATCCAAGCTTTATTAGGCTTGGGGGTGGGGATGGCGTGCGTGTGCGTTGCAAAGCCGTGGTTTGGTACGTTGTTTTTGTAAACCTCTCCGAATTGCGCACGTGTGTTTATCTGCAAATCTTTTAAGGGGGGGGTGATGGGGTAGGAGCAGATGTTTTTAATAACTGTAGTTGGAAAAGGAAACCTCTGAAGAAGGGGATGTTATCTAAAGAGGGTCGACAGCATAGGCAATATAATTTCACCTCTTCCACCATAGTGTATATTATATCTATAGACAGGGCTTTAAAGCCTGAAGTGAAATGTACTGTAAGAGCTTCCAGGGCGGGGAAGGAGGATACCATGTCCTAGAATTTCTTATGCGGCTCTTAGAAGCCAACATTATGGTAACCTTTTATGTTCCTCCTCCAAGACTGAGGTGGAGATGCCCTACCAGACAACTGCAGTCAGGGGGGGAAATCTTCCTAATGAGCTGGTACCTTTTGGGAAAAGATTGGGCTTACTTCACAGTGTTGCTTAAGAAAAACAAATGGGAACTCTGTAATAGGAAAATCGCAAAGCTGGAGAGTACACTAATCACTAGAAACTGGTTTGTTTGTGTTTGTGAAGTAAGCCAGATTGGAGTTCCTCATGTCTGAAAGAAGATGCATTCAGTTGGAACTATGAAACAAGCCAAATTGAGTTCTAGGTTAAGGCTGTACATGTATCCGAAAGCAAGATTCAACGACCAAATTAAAGAGATGGAAGAAATACATAATTTCCAGTGGGTTTCTAACTTAATCCACAAAATAATTAAATTAGAATGAAGAATCTGAAATGTTGACTCTTATGTCCCAAGATCTAAACTGGAGGGAAATCCTTTTGATTTCAGTGGAATGTATGGCCTAAATTGGCATAAATCCAGGCACTGTGATTCTGGGTTATCCTGTTTGTGGATTGGTCTACTACACGGTTACTTATCTGTTACCTGAGGGATTAAAAAACTATTTTGGGGGCATCACCACACTGAAATGTAAACATATCTCTATGTCATTGCTGAGAATAGTGATATTCTATTCACTGATACTCAGTATAAAATCCCAGTGGTGGAACATTGTACCTGCTCAGTGCTGTTGACATATCTAAAACATTACACTCTAGTTTCTGACCACAAAACCTATGTTTTGTGCCCAACAACAGTAAATGAGCTTGTAACAATCCTGTTGAACTCACAGGGGTTTTTCCCTGAGTCAACAAGCATATGATTGCACTGTAAATTTATTAAAGGCACAGTGAATGCATTGAAATAGATCCTGTTAGTGCTCCATGGTGTACCAATACTGTATTTGAGTTATGCATTATAAAAGCTTTCTAGAAACATGTGCTTTATATTTACCCTTATATGATTATTCCTACTCCCTACTTTCTTAGATAAGTCTTCAAAAAAGACTTGAGGGCCAAATTCTAGGCTAGGAATAATTAAGAACTTACTAGAAAATAAAGTTGCTAATATTATACTGTCCTTATACAAATCTATGGTATGATCACATTTGGAATACTGTGTGTAGTTCTGATTGCAGAAATTGTTTATATGTATAATAGACCTGACAGAATGGTGAAAAGGGCAACTAGCCTGCCCAAGGAGGAAAGTTGCAATCCTCAAAAGTAATTAGCCTAGGAAAAGGGTCAGTAAGGGAAATGATAATAGAAGTGTACAACATTATATATGGTGGAGGAAAGTGGATAGGGAGACAAGGCAACTTTTAGAGGGAAGGTGGTAAATTATTCCAGGGTTCCACATGTTTCAGGACCCCCAATCTGTTAGTTCGAATTATGTAATGTTGTCAGACAAACAAGGTTGTGCTTGCCTGACATTTCACCTTTGACGTTTAGAACAGTGGCTTGTAGAGTCAAATATGAAGTCCGTCTCCAAAATTCCTTGTGAGTGAGCTGGAATGCTGCAGTGCTTTCTTGCCTGAAAACTGCAAGTTGGGATATGTAGTCATCCTGAGTAGGAGGGAGGAGAGGTAGGGCCCAACATCCACTGCAAGCCTCATCACACCTGGCAACCTATTCAGATAAGTTTGAGGAGCTTCTTGGCCAAGGGCTATGAGGTAGAACATACCCAACAGAACAGGATTCTGGAGCAATGTGCAAACTGTTTTAGATTTTTGTTGAAATTAGGAGGAACTCTTGAGGGTCTTGTTTAACCGTGGTAAAAACTATACATCGATTGCCTTGAATCCAGTTCATGTAAAGGGTTGGAAAACGTTTTCTTCTGCATATGTGCATACTCCTAAGAATGCTCAGTTGCGTCCCCACATCAGTTCCATCATGTAAACAGAACCTTTGCTAAATTGAAACTGGCAAGTCATCCTCCAAGATCTGTCACAGGGCAGGAAAGCCATAACCTCATTTGGTTCTCAGCAGAACATCGACTTGTAGACTACTACCTGCTAACGTATTTAGTGATTGAGGGCACAGTCCTATCACCCCACAGCAGATGTTCATGAATCTCTGGACTCAGAGGCTTTCAGACATCTAATAGCAGGACCAAGACATGCAGTGGCAAGATCTGTGGCTGCCATATCTCTACGTGTTGCCGTCTAGATTTATTGCTGGAAAGGGAAGGAGGCTGGGAGTACAATTGTAACTGGCATACGTATGCAAGCCAGTTGCGGGGTTCCTCCCTGCCCCACTGTCCAGCATGCCAACCCTTCCTCCTCCAGTTGTGGCCATCGGAGGGAGGTACCCAGCACAGTTCTTTTCCTGCCATCTGTGAGGGGGCGCAGTGGGGGCTCAGCATTGGAGTCTCAGCTCTGAAGTTGTAGGATCCTGGGGCTGGGACTCCAAGGGATCATGTGGCCTCCCAGACATGGTTGGGAGGCCTCAGGATTGTACTGCTCATCATTACTGTAGAAAAGGACTTTTTTCTTGAATGATGCAAATGTTTCATCATATCTACTATTAATATTAGTAATCATCAGTAATGGTTATAGTTACTATGATGATTTCTGATTTCCTGAAATTGGAAGTATGTTTTGATATTCCATTAGAGTAGCTTAAGCAAATAGATAAATCCATAACTAAGAGGTCAGTTCACTAGACAGGCAGAGCATTTGCCTACTTAGTGAACTGGTATTCACATTTATTAAAAGGTTATGTACTATAGTATATAATTATTACTGTCTTTCATGTACTTAAATGTACTGTTATCCATTGTCACCATTTGGGTGTGGGTGTGCAGAAGAGGGTCCAAGACAATGTTTTGTACTGTGCCATCTCTCTGTAGCTCTGTGCCAGGGGCAGCACATTGACATGGCAATGGACATTGGTGGCATCGTGTCAGACCCACATGATTGCCAGATGTGGAGGTCCTGCAGAAGTAGGCAGGGTTGAAGTGTGGCGTTGAAATATGCTGTCCCTATGGGTCTTCCTATCGGGTTTTCAGCAAACCTCATATATTAATGTTAACAGCCCAGTCCTATGCATCCCTATTCAGATGTAAGAACCATTATGTTCAATGGAACCTGCTCCCAGGTATCTGCATAGGATTGAGGCTTATATATATCTATTAAAGTAGCTTATTCAAGAGGCTTGCAACTGATGCTGACATGTGTGTACCCTCTGTCCTTCTATCTACACTCTCCATGGAGTGTGTTCGGAAAGAGTTTTTCTTTTCTTTCCATATGCTTCCCCTTTTAGTATTGCCTCAATATTAGCAACCAGGGAGGAGAACTATATGAATAGAGACAGTTAGCTAGGTGCTTGGTATTGGTTCTGAGTTCTTGAAGTCTATATGATAAGGCCTTTTTATTTATGTCACCTTTCTACACAAAAGAGAATATCAGTGTAGTATAGAAGGGGGAAGAAAGTAGCCACGGGCAGTGGGGTGTGGGGAGAGCGCAAGAGAGCGAACTTGAATTGATCAGGTGGATCTGGGTGACACAGACCAACTAGCTGGATTTTTTCAAACAGATTCAACCCACAGTTTCCAGCATAGTGAAGATCTGCTTTGCATGGGATGCCACAGCTGCTCAGTAAATACGTCATGTGTGCAGTCGAAAGTACGAATCGCTTTTCAGTATGATTTGTTTGGCCCTGCTCCCTGTGCACAATTGGTTTGGTAGTTTACATGGCATGGTAGTTTACATGGTACATTGACAAATCAGGCTTCCTGTAAACATTCATCTCCCTCCTTTGAAACATTCAAATCCTTCCCAGGTCTCAGCTAATCCTTGACAAAAGGTTTTAAAGTCCTTAGAATCTGATTTTGCCAAGTATTAGCAGCTTCTCTGCCTTATCCAAATCATTCACTAATACTACAGAAGCAAAGATAAAACCACGCACTGAAATGGGCTGTTTGGGTGTAAACAATTCCTAATGGAGTTAGAGATTATCTAGTACTGGGAACTGCAATCTTTGTATGTTGGTAAACTGAAAAATGTGTTCCTGGGGAAATTAGTATATCTAGCAAATTGTCAATATTGAACTCAAGTTGGTACAAGTTTTGTTTCTGGTATCCTTTACCAGTCATTGGTAAAGTATTGGCTCTATAGAGTTTTTGCATATTTATTTTATTTATTTAAAACATTTCTATCCTTTGCAAAAAACGTCTCAGGACGGCTTACAAAAGGTTAAAATAGCAATACAATAATACAATAACAACAATTAAATCATTAATTAAAAACACAACATGAAACAACACTTTCAAAACTAAAGAAAAGGAGGAAGGGAAGAAGAAAGAAAGGAAAGAAAGAAAATGTGACTGTGTAAAATCCTTAATTATTAAAATGATGGCGAAATAAAAAGGTCTTACCCTGGTGCTGGAAAGAGTAGAGAGTCTCTACTCTTAGTATTTTGGTACTATTTGACTTCTGTCAATGAAGAAAAATTATTTAAGGTACAATCCTATGCATCTTTAGGCAGAACAGGCCTACAGCTAGCTGGGACACCCTTTACTTGATCTAAATTTGCATAGGATCACATGCTTAATTTTTTTTAAAATGGTAAGCTTGATAAAAGCTGGGAGAGTAAACATAGTTATTCAGGGTTGTGAAGGCTCTCCAAGCATCTTCACACTTCTAAGTGACACTTTCAGGTGTTTCTTGCTGGAAATGCTTAATTGAGAAGGGAACATCCATCTTTGCAAACATGAAGCATCTATTTGTGAGACACTTCTGGCAATCACATACCTCTCACTAGTATTTCTAGTAGATGGCCCTGTGCTTTGAGGAATGCATGTCTGTGCATTCACTGTGGGCTCTTTCCTTGGGCTGCTGTATGAAGTGTGAAGCAACCCTCTAGATTCAAAAAAATTAAACTAACTCCCTGGCCTTTCTATCTCTGTTCCACAGGGACAGGAAAGGGAGGTGCTGTTCTGTGTCAAGCAGTTAGACAACTTAACAGTGGAATGTGGGACTGGAAAAGAAGGTGCAAGGAGTTGCTACAATATATTGAGCTGTGGGTGAAATAATTGGTTGCTCTTCCATCACGATAGAACTGGAAATACAATTAAGCTGTGACTGATAAAAGCATGAACATGCAGAACTCAATGAGTTGTTTGAAGGGGGATTGAAGGATTTGAAAAACAATGCTTTAAACTATTATTTAAAGTGATATGATTTTGGTTACTTGTTTAAATAGTTTAAATTGACTAACAGTGGTAGTAAAGTCCATGTATTGTGTGAAGAAGTACTTCCTTTTATTGATCCTGAATCTCCCACCAGTCTGCTTGATGAGATGACCTCAGGTTCTGCTATTTTGAGAGATGGGAATCCATGTCTGCCTATTAGCCAATCTATTGCTGATGCTTGTTCTTCCAGGTTTATGGCTACCAACGACCTGATGATGGAGCTGCAGAAAGATTCCATAAAGCTAGATGAAGACAGCGAAAAAAAAGTTGTGAAAATGCTTCTAAAATTGCTTGAGGACAAAAATGGGGAGGTGCAAAACCTCGCTGTCAAATGGTAAGATCCCTCTGCATTGACTTTAATACTGCTTAGATCTGACCTAAAGATGCTTCAAGTCAGTTCTGAGAGGCTTTACTTAATGCTGTGTCTTCTGGGTTTTTCATTTCTGGACTGTGACTTTTCCTCCAGGCCTGGTTTGCGGGATTGTGGATGATGGCATATCATAGGTGATGTCTGTGTCTGTGCCTGAGTGCCTGTTCATGCATGCACAGCTGGGCCTTCGTTCTTGGTGCCTAAAGGCAGGAGATTTCCTCTTGGAATGTCTTTGGAGCTAAAGCTTTGGAGACCGCCTTTGGTGCTAAAGGTTCATTCCTCCCAATCAACTTATTGGCATGTGCTTCTTAGCTGCAGAAGTGAGAGAAAGGACATGGGGCTCGACTCCTTTCCCTTGACTAGCCACCTCCCAGTTTTGCCTTTTGAAGGATGCCTCTCAGCTGAGGTGTGCCTTTTGCAAGACAAGGAGAAGAAAGGCCATTGGGAAGTTTGTATATTTTTCCTTCATGGTTGCTGTTTTGCAAGGCATGTCGGGAAGATTTCTGGGAGGATGGTCTAGATGTACTACTTCTGCTCTTCCTCCCACTTGCAGTTTGGGCCCTTTGGTGAGCAAAGTGAAAGAATATCAAGTGGAAACTATTGTTGATACGCTCTGTACAAACATGTTATCTGATAAGGAGCAGCTCCGAGACATTTCCAGTATTGGGTTGAAGACTGTCATTTCTGAGTTGCCTCCTCCGTCAACAGGTAAGGAACCTTCCCATTTATAGAACAAGGATGGTTCTTCCCTTTTTGTCTTCCCGTATGTGACAATGTAACACCAGGGAGCTTGTGGTTTTGTGGATTTTCTTTCCAAATACTATCAGTTATTAAATAGAAGATATCCATGTCCTGTGTGAAAATTTATTATAAAATGGTTGTGATTCATATGGGACTTAATTTAACCACACAATGGATTTTTTCCACACTGATGGAAAAACAATGGAAGCCATTTAAATGGAATTCAGAGGTTGCAGATTCTGACTGTGTTTGACTACAGAAAAAACTGTGGCTTCCAAAAGAAGCATTTAGGTGGAACCTGGATGGGTTTTAGGACAGTTGTCATCACCAGGCATTCTTGCTTCATACAGACATAGAAGTAGAAAGGTGATTCAACAGGATGCCTGCTAAATTATTATTATATTACATTTCTATACTTCCCATAGCCAAAGCTCTCTATGCGGTTCACAACATTTAAGTTACCTATTCAGTTTTCAAGCAGGCCCTGCCCTGCTGAGCTTACAAGATCAGGCAAGAACAAGCACTTCAGGTTATATGGACTCCAAAATCCCATATTTGATGCAGTATACTTTTGCCTGTGAAAGCTCATACTTCACATGCTCAGAAGGTATTGAACTAGTGATAAGACGGAATCTAAGAGCAGCAGCCTGTTTTGATTTAGCTCACTTGTTCTTGATCTGAGTTGCTGATCCGTTTTTCTAAACAAACTTAGCAAAGTCCTATATTTCAGTTCCTGCTTTATATAGCCATTCATTCACAGCTCTTCCACTGGTATATCTAACATTGAAATATCCTTTCTGTTGACCAGAATGGACTCTCTGAATCTTCCTTCCTGGAGTTTGGAACCACCTTTCTACATAGTTGGTCAGGCTGCAGAAACTTTGCTTAATTTGCTTTCATTGCTAGAACTTCTGCAAAGATGTCTGGTAACTTTAACAAATTACTTTTAGGAGTCGGACACATTAGGAAAGGTAGCACAAGATATTATGGTCTAGGGATTAGGTAAGGACATGGTTACATGGAGTAAGAAGGATTAGAAGCTATGCAAAATATACTAAACTCACTTTGGGGCTTCTTGAAGTCCAGCACAATAGCTTGCTTGTACAGGAGATGTTGCCCACAGGTTTCAGAATTTTCCCTAAAGCCACAAGGGTCAGACTTGACCTGACCTGGTTGGCACCTAACACTAACCAATGCTTAATTTTAACCCATGGTTTGTTGCCCCACCCAAGGCTTGTCTAGCAGGCAATAGAACAAGCTGTGCTTTGTTTTTTCAGTTCCTGGGTTGTTAGCTTCCCTTCTCTTTTTCCTGTTCCCTCCCAGTATCCTAAATGACTTTGCACCACTGTAGAATTGGCATCTAGAGTATGGGTCTGTTACTACTATTACCCACTACCTCTGTGCTGTCACAATCAACCCATAGTTCTGGGTTCAAGTATAATAAACCACAACTTAAATAATGTAGATACGGGTTCTGTTTCTGGGTTGTACATAGCTAGCAAACCACAATCAGTGTGGCTGCATTCACACATCATCATAGCCCAGAATTCAGCAACCCAAACTATGAATTAGCATCACATGTGAACTAGGACACCATATGATCCTTGAAAGTGGACGTAATGTGATCAACCATGTTACACCCTGCTGCCACAAACTGTGAATAACTTGCACCGGAATCACTCCCAGCTAAATTTGCTTGCTCTTTATTTGAGCATCACCAGAAGGAAACTCTCTGTCAAAACTTTTATTCTGCTTTCTCCCGGCTGCTACCTTGATAGGTTCCACCATGACAGCTAATGTATGCAAAAAAATAACAGCTCAACTGACAGGAGCCATTGGAAAGCAGGAAGATGTGTCTGTGCAACTGGAAGCTCTTGACATCTTGTCTGACATTTTGAGCAGGTATGGAGAAAGGTCCTTTCGAGCAGCTGTGCAGTAGCTTGCACATGTAATTTGTGAAACAAAAACATCAAGAATTGAATGACACACTCCTATACTAAAGATAGGTGTCTTTTATTCATTGTAATGTATTTAATTTTTTAGCTGCCTCTCCAAAAAAAAGGGACTAAGGTAAGTTATAGCCAAATTATTAAAATATATGAAATCTAAAAGAGCTATAAGTCTTTTAAAGTATCAAAACATAATAAAACAGCTAAAACATCAATATGAACCATAGATGTATAAAAAGTCAATCATATGCCTTCAGATGCCTGGGAGGAGAGGAAAACGTTTGCCTGGACCTGAAAGGGCGACAATGCTGACACCAGATGGGCCCCACTAGTGAGAATGTTCTGCAGCTAAGACAGCTGACTGAGGGTGCAGTCCTAGGTGTGCTTGGACGGGGGGAACAAGCCTACAACTCCTAGGGTCCCCCAGCCTGCTCCAAAGTTCTACTTGGTGCTACAAGCTTATTGAACTTTATTAGTAGCAAGCTATTCTGGTTGGTTTTTCGGAGTCCCAAATATTATTACTTCTGCAGCACCAAAGGTGGATGCCATATGTTATTTTTTAAACACCTTACCCAGTCAGAGCTTGATTTCAATACAGTTGTCCTTAGAAAGTACCTTGATAGAACACGTATAATATCTGTTCTCAACCTTTTCACACTGATGCAGGGGAGACATGTTTGAAAATACAATGAAGAGTCTTGTGGCACCTGAAAGATGAACAAATGTATTCTGGCACAAGTTTCCGTGGACCCTGCCTACTTCCTCAGATGCATGGAGTGTCAGCAGAATTATATACACATGCTTGGGGCTGGGGGACCTTTTTTGTCAGAGGACATTGAAATTATGGAAGTACAGACAGTCATAATTGTTGTAACAGTTGTCATTCACAGATCATCTTGAATGATAGCACAGAGATCGTTGTAATGCTGAGCCAATTTACATATACTGTGTGATAAACGAAAGGAACGCCTTTGACCTTACTGAATTAGCATCAGATCCATTGAGGAATCCCTTGAGGAATTGTATTTTGGCAAATCCACTTGGATGTTTGCTTGAGGAGAACCCTTTGTGCCTCTCATGGAGTGGATACTGCCCATGAGAGCTTATGCCAGAATGAATTTGTTAGTCTTCCAGATGCTAAAGGGCTCCATTGTTTTCACTCCCAGAGGAATTACTCTACATTATGGTAGAGTTCAGCAAGGCATGATCTCTGTTTGGAGAGCATTTCTGTTGACATCATTCTTTTGTCTCTCTTGCCTCTGGCTCTGCAGGTTAGGGGGGACTCTGTACTCCTTCCATTCCTCCATCCTGAACTGCCTCCTCCCTCAGCTCACAAGTCCCAGGCTGGCTGTGCGCAAAAGGGCCATCATCGCACTGGGTCATCTGGTCTTGACTTGCAATGGAAACATCTTTGCAGAGCTCATGGAGCACTTGTTAGCAGAACTGAAGAGGAATAATTCCACTTCCACTACAAGAACATACATACAATGTATTGCTGGCATCAGTAGGCAGGCTGGACACCGCATAGGTAAGTCAATTTTGGGTTCTAGTTTTTCAGATCAAGTATATTTGAAGTTGTGGTGGCTATCAGGGTAGCTGGTGCTTTTTTCTGATATTTGTCCCTAAAATCTCTCCAAAATCCTGTTTTATTTCTTTAGTGGGGATTTTATCCTATTGTACCTTTACTTCCTGCAGTATCTCTGACTTTCTACTTGTGATGGTATATTATCTCTCATGTTCATTATAGTGTGAGTAGCAACAAAAGGCATTTGAGTTGCTTGGGAAAGCCAACCACCTTTTATGGAATTTGGGACCAGAAGAGGGCTAAACACAGAGGGCCCCAGTCCTATGGCCTAAAAGAAAATTCTCAGCTCAGAGCACGACTACATAACCCATATAATTCTTAATCTAATAGGCTGCAAGGAAAGAATAGGAATGAAGAAAGTACTCCCTCTTAAAGATACCAGCAAAACAGCTCTATCCAGATGGCTCAAGGAAACAGGTCCAACCACAGGTGGTAGAGAAAGTCTTCTCTGTGGATAATGGTGTTGTTGTTTTTAGTCGCAAAGTTGTGTCTGACCCATCGCAGCCCCATGGACAACATTCTTCCAGGCCTTCCTGTCCTTCACCATCCCCCAGAGTCCACTTAAGCTTACACCAACTGCTTCAGTGACTCCATCTAGCCACCTCATTCCCTGCCATCCCCTTCTTTTGCCATCTATAAAGGTAGTGATTTTTAAAATATCAGTGAATGATTTTAACTTGGCAGTGAAGAGCAGTCTCTCTTTGCATCTGCCATTGCCCTCTTGAATGCATTTGGTTCTGGAGCTTGTGGTCTCCATCATGCAAATACTCATTGAACATCTTTCTCTGGATATAGCTATCCTTGATATTCAATGCCCCTTCATGGATCACTGCCTTGCCGTGGCGAAGGGGCTTGTGTAGCGCAGTGAAGCTATGAACTATGCCGTGAAGGGGCACCCAAGACAGGTCATAGCAGAGAGCTCTCACAAATGGTGATCCACTGGAGAAGGAAATGGCAACCTACTCCAGTATCTTTGCCATGAAAACCCCATGGACAGTACCAACAGGCAAAGAGTTATGACGCCAGAAGATGAGCCCCTCAGGTCGGAAGGTTCCAATATGCTACTGGGGAAGAGCAGAGGGCTAGTACTAGTAGCGCCAGAAAGAATGAAGCGACTAGGTCAAAGCCGAAAGGACACTCAGTTGCCGATGTATCTGGTGGTGAAAGGAAAGTTCGATGCTGTAAAGATCTATACTCCATAGGAACCTGGAATGTAAGATCTATGAATCAAGGTAAGCTGGATGGGGTCAAAAATGAGATGACAAGACTGAACATCGACATCTTAGGAATCAGTGAACTAAAATGGACAGGAATGGGTGAATTTAATTCAGATGACCATCAGGTATACTACTGCAGGCAAGAATCCCTCTGAAGAAATGGAGTAGCCTTCATAGTCAATAAAAGAGTAGGAAAAGCAATACTGGGATACAATCTCCAAAATGGCAGAATGATCTCAGTTTGAATCCAAGGCAAACCATTCAACATCACAATAGTCCAAGTCTATGCCCCAACCACTGGTGCTGAAGAGGCTGAAGTTGACCAGTTCTGTGAAGGCCTATAACACCTTCTAGAATTAACTCCAAAAAATGATGTCCTTATCATCATGGGGGATTGGAATGCTAAAGTAGGAAGCCAAAAGATAACCGGAATTACAGGCAAGTTTGGCCTTGGAGTACGAAATGAAGCAAGTCAAAGGCTGGCAGAATTTTGTCAAGAGAATGCACTGATCATGGCAAACACTCTTTTCCAACAACCCAAGAGACAACTCTACACATGGACATCACCAGATGATCAACACAGAAATCAGATTGACTATGTGCTTTTCAGCCAAAGATAGAGAAGCTGTATACAGTCTGTAAAAACAAGACCAGGAGCTGACTGTGGCTCAGATCATGAGCTTCTGGTTGCAAAATTTCGGCTTAAATTGAAGAAAGTAGGGAAAAGCACTAGGCTACTCAGGTATGATCTAAATCATATTCCTGATGAATATACAGTAGAGGTGACAAATAGATTTAAGGAATTAGATCTGATAGACAGAGTGCCTGAAGAACTATGGATGGAGATTCACAACATTGTACAAGAGGTAGCAACTAAAACCAGCGGCCTGGGGCTGGGCTGGTTTGGAGCTCCCTCCCCATTCCTCCCCGGAACACCTGCCGCGCCGCACTGCCATCGCTGGGGCACCCCGGGCACGGAGGACGCCAGGGCCACGCCAGGGCCACGGTCAATGGTGCGGAGGAGGGCGCCACCATCTCGCCGCCGGGCGGGTTTCCGCACCCCTCTCTGCTCCCCCCCCGCCGGCATCGGTGAGAGCAACACCGGATTGGGGCGGGGTGGGCAGGCTCCGGCTTAACCCGCCGGACGCGGCCTCTGGCTGGTGGCCGAAGGGCGATTGCCGCCGTTTGAGGCTGCGCGGGGCTGGGCTGGCGGGGGGCTAGGTCGGTGGGTGGAATTTTGAATTTTGTATCGGGGGGGGGTAGATGGGGAGTTTTTTACTGTTTTAAAGTTTTATTGTATTTTAATTTGTTTTTATGCAGTCGTCCCTGGCCATGTCGACGGTTGAGTTTCCTGGGGAGCCCGTGGGTGCTGCCATTGGGGTGGTCACGGGCAATGGACGTTACAGTGGTGGGGGCTTAACATGTCCACGTAGAAGAAGGAGGGACAGATAGCTGACACCCGTCCCTCCTTCTGGTTCTGCCCCCAGCCAGAGGGTTTCAGGTAGTCTTGTCAACCGCCCCTTGGGCCTGACAGTGCTGCTGCTTAATGCCAAGTTGGTCCACAATAAATCTTCCTTCATCCATGACTTGATTGTGGATGAGGGGGCTGACCTGGCTTGCATAACGGAGACCTGGGCGGGAGAGGGGGGGATGTCGCCCTCTCTCAAATGTGCCCGCCCGGGTATCTGGTTCAGCACCGTCCACACCTGGAGGGGAGGGGAGGGTGGGTCGCTTTGGTTTACTGAGCCTCCATCTCCCTCACGGGTCTTCCAGTCCCTTCGAGACCAGGGCTGGAGTGCCTCTACTTGGTGTTGGGCGATTGAGACAGATTGGGGATTCTGTTGGTGTACTGTGCACCCTTCTGCCCAACAGTTTCCCTGCCTGAGCTGACGGAGATTGTCTCGGACCTGGTGTTGAGGACCCCCAGGATGTTGGTCCTGGGGGACTTCAATCTCTATGCTGAGACTGATCTGACCAGGGCAGCTCAGGACTTCATGGCCTCCATGATGGCCATGGGGCTGTCTCAACATGTCACAGGCCCGACCCATGAACGTGGACACACTCTGGACCTGGTTTTCTTGACAGGGCAGGAAGAGGGTGGTCTGAGGGTGAGGAATTTATGTTTGACTCCCCTGTCATGGTCAGATCACTTCCTCGTGAGGTTTGTGCTCGAGAGCGGCCTCTCCCTCTGTAAGGGTGCGGCCCCGATTGTGTGGGTCTGCCCACGGAGCTGGATGGATCTGGAAGGATTCCTGAAGGCCCTGGGGGAGTTTCCGGCTGACAAGACTGGTGCTTCTGTCGAGGCTCTGGTCGAACTATGGAATGGGGAGATGACTAGGGCTGTTGACACGATCGCTCCTAAGCGTTCTCTCCCGCCAGGCAAAGCCCACTCTTCCCCTTGGTATACACCTGAATTGTGGGTGATGAAGCAGGCTGGGAGATGGCTAGAGCGTAGGTGGAGGAGATCACGGGATGAATCTGATTGAACACACTCAGGAGCCCATTATTTGGCCTATGCTGTGGTGGTGAGGGCGACGAAAAAGAAATTCTTTTCTGTTTCCATTGCCTCCTCAAAATGCCGTCCAGTGGAGCTTTTTCGAGTGGTACAAGGCCTGGTCCGCCCTGGCCCTAGGAAAGATCTGGTTCCACCCTCGAAGGCCCGCTGTGATGACTTTGCCAGGCATTTCAGGGAGAAAATCGCTCAGATTCATCACGAGCTAGACTCTACTAGTGATTCAGAGGCTTCTGGGGAGATACCAATGTCGCCGTCTGGTCCAAAATTAATGGATGAATTTCAGTTATTGCGGCCTGATGATGTGGACAAGGTGCTTGGACGAGTACGTCTCACCACTTGCCTATTGGACCCTTGCCCGTCTTGGTTAATAAACAACGCCAAGCACGGGATTGGGATCTGGATCTTGGAAGTGGTTAATGCTTCTCTGAGGGAAGGTTTGGTACCTGCCCCTTTAAAGGAGGCGATAGTCCGACCAGTTCTGAAGAAAGCGTCACTGGATCCAGAGATGGCCACTAATTATAGACCAGTTACCAACATCCCGTTTCTGGGCAAGGTGTTGGAGCAGGTGGTGGCGGGACAACTCCAAGCACGCTTGGATGAAACTGATTATCTGGACCCATTTCAGTCCGGCTTCAGACCCGGGTATGGTACTGAATCTGCCTTGGTCACCCTGTATGATGACCTGTGCAGGGAGAAGGACAGGGGGAGTGCATCCCTGTTGGTTCTTCTGGACCTCTCAGCGGCTTTCGATACCATCGATGATGGTATCCTTCTGGATAGGCTTGCGGGATTGGGAGTTGGAGGCACTGCTTTGCAGTGGTTCCACTCCTATCTCAATGGGCGATTCCAGAAGGTGGTGCTGGGGGACTATGACTCTGCGCCATGGCAGCTATGCCATGGAGTATCGCAGGGGTCCATTTTGTCCCCTTTGCTGTTTAGCGTCTACATGAAACCGCTGGGAGAGGTCATCAGGAGGTGTGGGCTACGGAATCATCAGTACGCTGATGATACCCAGCTCTACCTCTCATTTTCCACCAATCCAGGTGAGGCAGTGGCTGTGCTGAACCGGTGCCTGGCCGAGGTAATGGGCTGGATGAGGGCCAATAAACTGAGGCTCAGTCCAGACAAGACGGAGGTCCTGTTGGTTGGCGGATCGGGCTTCGGAGAGGGTGAATTGAATCTAGTCCTGAATGGGGTTGCACTCCCTTTTAGGGACAATGTCTGCAGCTTGGGAGTGCTCCTCAACCCAGAGCTTTCACTGGAAGCTCAGGTGACAGCAGTGGCAAGGAGCGCTTTCTTTCAGCTTCGGCTGATCCGTCAGCTGCGCCCCTACCTGGAGTATGACTGCCTGGCGACAGTGCCACACGTGTTGGTGACTTCCTGGCTTGACTTCTGTACCGTGCTCTACATGGGGCTACCCTTGAAGACGGTCCGGATACTTCAATTGGTTCAAAATAGAGCTGCCAGGTTGCTGACGGGGACTGGGCATTATGTTCACATGTTCACAGTCCTCCGTCAGCTTCACTGGCTTCCCATTGTAGTCCGGGCCCAATTCACGGTGTTGGTGATGACCTATAAAGCCCTAAACGGCTTGGGTCCTGGTTACCTGAAGGAGCGCTTACGTCTATATATGCCCGCCTGCCCCTTGAGATCTGCGGGAGAGGCCCTTCTCTGGGAACCCTCCGTGAAGGAAATTAGGAGGGTGAGTACTCAGAGGAGGGCTTTCTCTGCAGTGGCGCCCAATCTATGGAATGCGCTCCCCAGAGAGGTCCGCCTGGCACCGTCGTTATTTGTTTTTTGGCACCAAGTGAAGACCTTTTTATTCAAATGTCATTTTAATTGTTAATAGTATTTATTCATTTTATTCTTTGGCCAGGGTGACTTAATTTATACTGTTAATTTATATTATTTTATGGAAGTTTATTTATGGATGTGAGCTGCCCCGAGGCTTTGGCGAATGGGGCGGCATATAAGTCTCCTAAATAAATAAATAAATAAATAAATAAATAAAACCATCCCAAAGAAAAAGAAATGCAAGAATGCAAAATGGCTGTCTGAGGAAGCTTTACAAATAGCTGAGGAAAGAAGGGAAGCAAAAGGCAAGGGAGAAAGAGAAAGATACACCCAATAGAATGCAGAATTCCAGAGAATAGCTAGTAGAGATAAGAATGCCTTCTTAAATGAACAGTGTAAAGAAATAGAAGAAAACAATAGAATTGGAAAGACTAGAGATCGCTTCAAGAAAATTGGAGATATGAAGGGAACGTTTCATGCAAAGATGAGCATGATAAAGGACCAAAATGGGCAGGGACCTAACAGAGGCAGAGGAGATTAAGAGGAGGTGGCAAGATTACACAGAAGAACTGAACAAGAAAGACCTTAACGTTCCTGATAACCACCATGGGATGGTCTCTGACCTTGAGCCAGACATCCTGGAAAGTGAAGTCAAAAGGGCCTTAGGAAGTCTGAGCAGCAACAAATCTAGAGGAGGTGACAGTATTCCAGCTGAGCTATTCAAAATCCTAAAAGATGATGCAGTAAAAGTGCTACATTCAATATGCCAGCAAATTTGGAAAACTCAGCAGTGGCCACAGGATTGGAAAAGGTCAGTTTCCAATTCCAAAGAAGGGTAACACCAAGGAATGTTTGAACTACCGCACCATTGCACTCATTTCACATGCTAGCAAAGTGATGCTCAAAATCCTACAAGCTAGGCTCCAGCAGTATGTGGACTGAGAACTACCAGAAGTACAGGCAGGATTTCAAAGAGGGAGAGGAACTAGAGATCAAATTGCCAGCATACACTGGATCATAGAGAAAGCTAGGGAGTTCCAGAAAAACATCTACTTCTGCTTCATTGAATATGCCAAAGCCTTTGATTGTGTGGATCACAACAAACTGTGGCAAGTTCTTAAAGAGATAGGATTACCAGACCATCTCATTGGTCTCTCGAGAAACCTGTATGCGGGTCAAGAAGCAAAAGTGAGAACTGGACATGGAACTACTGATAGGTCCAAAATTGGGACAGGAGTATGGCTCAAGGCTGCATACTCTCGCTCTGCCTATTTAACTTATATGCAGAGCACATCATGAGAAAGGCAGGGCTGGATGAATCACCAGTTGGAATGAAGATTGCTGGGAGAAATATCAACTACCTCAGATATGCAGATGATACCACTCTCATGGCAGAAAGTGAAGAGGAACTAAAGAGCCTCTTGATGCGGGTGAAAGAGGAGAGCGCAACAGTTGGCTTGAAACTCAAAAACTAATACTAAAAAGCAGAGACATCACTCTGCCAACAAAAGTTTGTATAGTCAAGGCTATGGCTGTGAAAGCTGGACTATAAGGAAGGCTGAGCGCTGAAGAATTGAGGCCTTTGAATTGTGGTGCTGGAGGAGACTCCTGCGAGTCCCTTGGACTGCAAGGTGATCAAATCAGTCAGTATTAGAGGAGATCTACCCTGACTGCTCTCTAGAAGGCTAGATACTGAAGATGAAACTTAAGTACTTTGGCCACCTAATGAGAAGGAAGGACTCACTGGAGAAGAGCGTAATGCTGGGAACAATAGATGGCAAAAGAAAAGGGGGCGGCAGAGAATGAGGTGGCTGGATGGAGTCACTGAAGCAGTCAGTGTGAGCTTGGGTGGTTTCCAGGGGATGGTGGGGTACAGAAGAGCCTGGAGGAATGTTGTCCATGGGGTTGCGATGGGTTGGATGCGACTTCGGGACTAGCATAGTATAGCATAGCATAGATGTCCAATGACATCATAGATAATGATATTTCTAAGAAGCAAATGGTACTCAGATGTTCCTTCCAGCTCTGCTTTGAAGGCCAGGGGCAGGGAATGGTAGTTCAACTGGTATTACACAACACCCATGTTCCACTTGAAGCACTGAAGGGATGGTAATTGGACTTTGATTCAACCAAGCATCCTTAAGAAAGAAGGATGTCCTCGCTCCACCTCTGTCTCTCTCTCTCGCTGTTATGTGAGGCTTCTAGAGGTCTCTCGTTCATGGGTCTCTGCCTATTTAATTATGGCAGTGCTGATCTGTCAGTAGCTCCCAGACCACTTGCTGGGCATGGGAAGCACTTCTGATTATTCACTCACTGTTCTCTTCTAGGAGACTATCTGGAGAAGATGATCCCATTAATAGTGCAGTACTGCAACGTTGAGGATGATGAGCTGAGGGAATACTGCTTCCAAGCCTTTGAGTCTTTCGTGAGAAGGTTTGTGCTTGTATGTTTCCTGCAGCCAGCAAAGGTTCAGTTAGGATTTGGTTTGGTTTTGGAAAGGGATCTATTTCTTCTGTCCACTGCTGCCCAGGTCTGCTGTGATTATACATGTTCCACTTGTGGGAAATATTTCTCAATAGCCCTCTGGTGATATTTTCTAGACGGCCAGCCCTGATCCACACATGTGGAATAGCTTCTCTGTAGTCGGCAAAAGGAGGGACCTATTATTGAATGGAGACCCATCAGGGCGTGGGATTGGGAGTTACAGGCAGCAGCTCTGGATTTTTCCAATTAAAAATCACAGCTCTGAAATTTCTGTGATTGGAATCCTTGGAACTTTCAATGAAACATTGTTTTTTGAGAAGACTGAGGTTTTTTTATGAAGGAAATTTTTAAATAGAATGAAGGAGTGGAGTTGTGGCATTAGAAGGGCAAGACTGAGTGAGATGGAATCAGCCAATGTGGGAAGAGCTGAATAACTCTCATACCACAGGACCTATGTAACGTCAGCTTCTCCTGTCATCCTGCTCCAGTTTTGCAGTGTGAAATCTGTTGTTTGGCCCAGACCATGTTTCCATGCACATTCCAATTTTCAGATGTATTTCAGTAGAAGAATCCAGGCTGTGTGTATATTCCTTATCTATTCTATATGAATAGATCAGGGTCTCTCACTGAAATGCACAGGAAGCACTTGGAGGTGGCAATGTTGGCTTTTGGGACTACTTGTTTATGACCAGTCACTGGACATAATTGATGTGTTGGGCTATGTGTTCATGTTTGTGAAACTGATATAAAGTATGCCAAGTGGTAGAAATGCTGAGGATGATTTACAAATCAATGCTTTTTCAAAAATATCATTAATGGATCCCTCTAGGTTAACCTGAAATTCTCTTGCTGTTTCTGAAGGTGTCCCAAAGAAATTGGCCCTCACCTTCCTAGTGTGACAGGGTTGTGCCTCAAGTACATCACTTATGACCCAAACTACAACTATGACAACGAGGAAGAAGATGAAGAAGAAATGATGGAAACTGAAAATGGGGAAGATGAAGAACAAGGTGACGCGTGCTTAGATTGATGACGACAATCACAAAATCTAGCTCTCCTTTGCCTGTAGCTCAGACAACCCTTTCACACCTCTGTGTCTTTCGGTCTGGAGGCTGGCAGTGGAGACTCTCACCTTTCTATGGCTAGCAGGAACATGAAAATGAAGTGTTTCTCACTATTCTGAAATTGCCATTGACAAAGCATAACTCTCCAAAGCCATGCCCACAGTGAATCTTGGAGCATTCACAAGTTGGGTTTAAATAGACCAGCAAAGCCATATGGCTTAGACAGGGGTGCCAGTAAGAGCTGATGTAGCTCACTGCCATTCAGCTCCTGGTCTCAGAACAGTGTCCACCAGAGGCCATTCTATTCTGAAAGAGAGACAGCAGGCCTCTGTATACTGGCCTGGCTGACAGTCAATATAGCTTAGCTCCTGCAGAATCAGTCTGCCCAGCAGAAACTCTTTTAGCTTGAGGGCTGAATTCAGTTTCAGGAAAATTCTATAGGAGCTGCCTCCAAGTGATGGCTGGGGACATAGGGGCAGGGCTGAAACACCAGCACAAGTTTAGCTTAACTGCAGTACTGCAATGAGGTATTTCACTCTTTTCAAATGGGGGGAAACATACAGAAGTCATCCAAACTACCAGATGACTGGGGCATGGGGGAAAAAAGAGAACCACCTTCCAACACGGAGAAGGGGGACTGGATTTGGTCTGAGGTTGAACACCCCTGAACTAGTAAAGGAAAAAAGATACCTTTTTATTGTCCTGGCATGGGGCCAACTTCCACTTCTTTTGCAAAAATCATAGGTGTAGATGGGTCTGTGTGTGTTGAGTATGGCCCTCCAGTCTTTTTCCTTAGAGTTCGAACTAGACAGAAAATTAGATGATGCTCCTACTGTCCTAGTTTGATGTGAGGATTTCATTATACAGTGTTTTCATGTTTCTGTCCATGTTGAGAACTTCTTTCCATGGTGAGTGTGCCTGTGTATAATTTAACAAATTAGATCCTCAGGCTCTGCTTTGCTAACATCAGGAACTACCTTCTCCTCCTCAGAAAGCGATGATGAGTATAGCGATGATGATGACATTAGCTGGAAGGTTCGCAGGTCTGCGGCCAAGTGCCTTGAGGCCATAGTCAGTACCAGGCATGACCTACTGCAAGATTTCTACAAAACGCTCTCGCCAGCTTTAATAAGCAGATTTAAGGAAAGGGAGGAGAACGTTAAAGCGGACATCTTCTGTGCATATATCTCTCTGCTGAAGCAAACCCTGCCCATTCAGAGCTGGCTGCATGCTTCTGATGAAGGAAGCAAGGAGGATATACCCCTCACCATGCTTCAGAACCAGGTGGGTGATGGAGCAGTGAGCCAATGTTTCGAAGGGACAGCTCAGCCTAGCACAGGGGCAAGCTACATGTGACCCTCCACATGTTGCTGGACCACAACTCCCATCGCTCCTAGCCAATGGGGCGGGCTTATGAGATTTGCAGCCCAGTCACATCTGGAAGGGCACAAGCTGCCCAACCTTGGCCTAGCTGGTGGCTGAGGCCACATGCCAGTGGTGTGTGGGGCCATACATATAGACGTATAATATCGCGTGCCCATGCACACCTCCCTCCCTCTGTTGGCAGACAAGCACACCCTGTTTCTGGTATCAGGTTCTCTTTTGCAGCCTGAAGAGGAGGACACACGGGGGCAGTAACAGTGTGACACCTACTACTCCATGGAGGAGCTCTTCACCATGCTTAAGGGGAAGGGGACCTCAGCTTTTTAACAAGGCAGTAAATAGTGTGCCAAAGCATCCAAGTCTTCCAGTGGCTTGTGGCAATGAGACATATTGTAGGAATGTAAGCCCATGAATTGAGAAAATGAGCTTTGGTTAGTACCTATGTGTGTGGCATTGGATTCCAAAGAATGTGACTTCTCTATCAGCAGTAGCCATCCAGCAATGTGTTTGAAGTAAGCAAATGATGAATTGGGCCCTGAAATCTATATCATTTTCTTGTAATTCTTGCTTAATTGCTTATCCTTAGCACTCGCTCCTTATGTTGTGGAATTGAGGGACAAGAACCATTCAAGAGGTGTTTTACTTCCTGAGTTTATAGCATAGTTGCAGTGTCTGTCACTGTTAGATTTTATAGCAATATGCTCTCCTGCTATGGAGAACCCACACAAACAGCTTTCGCTCTAGTTCTAAATGTGCTTCCCCAGCTGGGTAATGCATAAACACGACTAAATGCCAGCTTGATTTGAATAATCCTCCTGTGTGGTTTAGGGAAACATTGTGGCTGGTCTCACATTTTAAAAAGAGTTCCTGCCCAAATAAACGTTTGGACGTGATGCACATTTTAAAAGAGATCCTTTTGAAAAATAGTTTGCAGATGCTTTTGTCCAAAAAGAACAAGTTTGCATAGGCGAGTGCCTATGGATGCTTCCCTTTCTGCTTTTAAAGTAAAAAAACAAACAAACACACATCTCTCTCATGTAGACACAGAGCAGCTTCCCCAAGTTGGTGCCTTCTGGATGTTTTAGACTTCAAATCCCACCAGCCCCAGCCAGCATGGTTAGTGGCTAGGAATTATGGGAGTTGTAGTCCAAACATCTAGAGATGGGGTGAAGCTGCCTATTCAAGAACAGGCAGCCTCGAAAAGACAGAAGCCAATGGGATCACATTCCCCTTCATGCTGAATGATTCATGCGCAGTCCTAGGCATGTATCACTTGCTCCAGTAGCTTCGCATTGGGTTACTCCCGAGTTTGTCTCTAACCTTACAGGTTCCAAACATCATCAAGGCCTTGCACAAGCAGCTCAAAGAGAAGAGCGTCAAGTCAAGGCAGGGATGCTTCACGCTCTTGACCGAACTGGCAAATGTTCTCCCTGGCTGTCTTGCTGATCACATCCCCGCACTAGTGCCTGGTAAAGCTTGTCTGTCGGCTGTGGCGGTAGCAGGGCAGGAGGCTCCCAAGGGGCAAAGGAGCCTTCCCCAGTACGAGGCCTGCCAGAGGTGTGGGGCTGTGACTCTCATCAGCCTGACCACCAGGGCCATGCAGGTCGGGGCAGCACAGCACGCCTGGAGGGCCCAAGTGGGAAGAAGGTGATAGAGAGCACTTTCCATTCTAAGACACGAAGTGCCCAAACGGCATCCCAGTGGCTTTCCTGTTCATGCTCTCTCTTTTACCTAAAGAGTTGGCCAGGGGCAAAATAACAGTAAGAGAAAGGAAGGACCAAGTAGCTTGAGTTGGAAGAACTGAACATGCGGGTGGGCGGGGCGGGGGGGAGTCAAAGGAGTGAGTGCAACCAAAGCTGGGAGTGACAATAACTCTCCCTTGGCCAACTTTTAAGAGCAAACTTGTGATACTAGTAATCCTAATAATGAATATAGTTGCATAGTTTTCAAGGGACAAAAGAAAAATGCAACCCCATTTTTTTTAAAGCTTGGGGTGGGTAGGAAAGATGAACAAAAAGGGCACAGTTTTAAGCAAGGAGGGAGGGACAAGGTGGATTTCTATGCGAAGGACACTGCTAAGTGTGTTGGAACTAGCTAGAGGACTGAAGGGGAAAACAACCCGCAGTAAGCTCGATTATCCATTGGGCATCCTGTGGGTTGTTCAATGAGTAGCTAACTCACCATAGCGTCTTCACAAGGTCAGTTATTGTAACACATGAATGCGCCCTCTGTGGATTTCAGAAGTAGAAAAAAGCTGACCCATGTTTTCTCCAAACAGGAATTGTTTTCTCTTTGACGGATAAGTCCAGCTCCTCCAACATGAAGATTGATACCCTATCTTTCCTTCATGTTGTTCTCTGCAACCACGCCCGGGAAGTATTCCACCCCCATGTTAAGGCACTGCTGCCACCAGTTGTGGCTTGCATAGGAGATCCCTTTTACAAGATAACATCTGAATCTCTGCTAGTCACCCAGCAGCTTGTGAAAGTCATTCGGCCCCTGGATGTGCCTTGTACATTTGAAGCCAAACCTTACGTGAGAGACCTATTCTCTGCTACTCTAAAGAGGCTGAAAGCAGCTGACATTGATCAGGAGGTGAAGGAACGAGCTATCTCTTGCATGGGACAGATAGTTTGCAACCTTGGAGATTACCTAAGCAGCGATCTCCAGCCAACCTTGAAGATCTTTCTGGAGAGGCTGAAAAATGAAATAACTAGGCTGACCACAGTCAAAGCGCTCACTTTGATTGCTAGCTCTCCCCTCAAAATAGACTTAAGGCCTATTCTTGCAGAAGGATTCCCCATTTTGGCTTCCTTCTTGCGGAAGAATCAGCGAGCATTGAAACTGAGTACCTTGACGGCTCTGGATATCTTGATCAAGAATTACAGCGATAGCCTCAAGCCAGCCATGATCGAATGTGTTCTGATGGAGCTTCCTGACTTAATTAGTGAGAATGATATGCATGTTTCTCAGGTGGCTATCAATTTCCTTACAACCTTAGCAAAGGTGTATCCCTCTTCCCTGTCCAAAATCAGTGGGACTGTTTTGTCAGAGCTTTTTCAACTTGTTTATTCACCTTTGATGCAAGGGGGAGCCCTGAAGGCCATTGTCGACTTCTTTCAAGCACTGGTTGTCACCAAGACAGTCAACATGAGTTATGCTGAACTGCTGAAGCAGCTGACAGGCCCAATCTACTCCTCAAGCCCTGGTGGGGTATCCATAAGTTTACACAAGCAGGCCTATCACTCGGTTGCTAAATGTGTAGCTGCCCTTTCTTCTGTATGTCCCAAAGAAGCCCCAGGGGTTGTAAGCCAGTTCATCCAAGATGTGAAGAATCCTAAGTCAAGTGCAGCTGTGAAAATGCTGGCCTTTCTTTCTCTGGCTGAAATTGGCCGCACCACGAACCTCAGTGCTCAGAAGGAGCTAAAAGCTGTGATCCTGGATGCCTTTGCTTCACCCAGTGAAGAGGTGAAATCAGCTGCTTCCTACGCTCTTGGGAACATCAGTGTTGGTAGCCTGAAAGAATACCTCCCCTTCATGCTCAAAGAAATTGGAGGTCAGCCAAAGCGGCAATACCTGTTGCTCCACTCCCTGAAGGAAGTAATCAGCGCCTCCCCTGCAGACAGCCTGAAACCCTACGTCGAGGACATCTGGGCCTTACTCTTCAAGCACTGTGAATGCACGGAGGAAGGGACGCGTAACGTCGTGGCTGAATGCCTGGGGAAACTGACTGTCGTGAATCCTTCTCAGCTGCTGCCCAGGCTGAAAAAACAGCTGTCTTCAGGTAACAAAGCCCAGGACTTGGGTAAATGTAGCATTATGCAAGATGCTTGTTTGCACCAGGTCAGCTGCCTGTCCTGAAGTGCACTGCAACAAGGCTGTGGAAGGCACCCACAGAGGAATACTGTTCCCTCCAATGATCCATTTGATTCTTTCCCTTCTTAGAAAGCTTGAAGTTATTCCTTGCAAACTGGCAGCAATCAGCCCTAATCTTCACCCTTTCTCTTATATACAATTTTTGTTATTTAATTTATCATTTTCGTTCCTATCCTATTTTCCTTTTTAGAAAAATGGGTTTAAGTGGATTTTAATGTTATATAGATTTTTCTTGTGCGAAGCAAAATCACTTCTTATTGAGAGTATTAGCAGTATACATTTTGTCCAGATGTGTTGATGCATGCCTAAAGGAGGCCATAGGAGGTATAATGCGCAGCTCTGTTTTTGGCCAGCAGACAAAGCATGCTAGAAAGTAGGGTTCCAGTCACTTTTCAGTTGCTTTATGGAGGAATGATATGAATACACCTTCAGTATTCTGCATCATTGAAAAAACCATGGCTATCTGCTTTATATAAGAGGGGAACAGCAGCTGCTTTCCTAATTTCAAGGGACTACAGCCAGACTGGGAGAATACCGCACTGTGGTACTTTTAGGAAAGACGGTGAGCAGGAGCCTCTCTCCCTGTGGCTGGGGCTGCATGTAGAGATTAGGCAGAGATCCCAGAGGCATGAGATTCCACAATATCGCTGAGCATAAAGACACATTTTTAAGCCAGTGCTGATGCTGGGAAATAAAACACTGAAAATGTTTTTAAAGTCCACTTTATGCTCGAGTCTCTTGCAGGCTCAGTGTTGTCAGAACAATTCTGCTGATGCCATTACACGTTTGTTTTCCTTTGGCACAGAATGCTAACTTTCTCTGAAAACCTTCAGCAACTCCAAATCTGCAAAAGAAATCCTATTTCAATGGACTGTTAAATAAACATGAATTTTTAAAATTGCAGTTAATTAAGCATGCTGCTTTTTAAAAATGCAGTTTGTTGTTAGGAAACTTAAGCAGTACCATGAAGTTGTACTTTTCACTGTCATCAGCCAGTTGCATCACCAGAAAATGTGTCTCATGCACAATAGCTGCCATGCAATGTTTGCTACTTAGCCAGTATTTTTCACTACCATGTTATGTTCTGTGGAAATCAGAATAGCAAACTTAACGAATTGGAGTTTGTTATGAATTTAATAGCTCTGATTCTTCTTAGGTTACCTTTTCTTCCTTTTTTCATTGTAGGTTCCCCATATGCTAGAAGCACAGTAGTTACGGCAATCAAATTCACAATTTCAGATCATCCACAGCCCATTGATCCTCTACTGAAAGGATGCATAGGTAATTTTTGGTTCTTTCAGACACTTTCCTGTGAGATTAGAACAGCAGGCACTGTTCATCTTTTTTTTAAAAAAAGACATATATATCTACATATAAAAGGCATATATATCTACGTATATCTCATGCAACTGACATTAATCAAAAATAAAGATTGAGCAGGAAAGACCCTCCTAGCCATCATCTGTGGAACTCTGAGGTGGCCTGCATGCTTTTAGAAGGTCCCTCGAGATGTGATCAGTTCACCTTGTAGGAGCTCAAGAGCAGGGAAAGGAGGACTAGCATTGCGGTCATGCTTGGTCTGTCTGCTCTCCTCCCTGGTCTGATGGTTGGCTTGGACAGCACCGATTACACTGCTAGCAAACATACACAGGGTGGGAGGGAGAGAGCTTTGGCTCTTGGGCAGTAAAGTGAATGAATAAGCAACTCCCATGATAGAGGTTCTCTCCTAATTTTCTTTTTTTTTAATTAAGATACTTTCCATGCAGCAACCTGTTGCTGCACATGGCTTAGTTTCTTTGGATTGTGACTTATATTTCCACTGTAATCTTAACTACAGAGATTGAGCATCTAGAAATTCAGCAGGGTTTTGGAATTACCACAGTGGTAAGTTAAGAAGATAAATGCCAGGTCCTAAATTCTCTTTTGTTGAGTTATGTCCAAGGTGCTGTTCTTAAGACAGATTAACATCATTTGTCAAAAAGAAAGTATGTAGTGCACCTTTACACATACTGGTGCTTATGTAAGATAAACTGGATTTGTTTTTTCCCATTCACTTGACTCTTTTCAAAAAAACAAGGAAACTTGTTCTAAATGCATCACTGATCTACCTGTTCCAGTGTTTGGATCAATACTGAGTTTATCCAGTGTATTCTGATTTTTGTCATTGCTCTGATAACAAATGTTAGTGTTTGCCTATCAGTTTAGAAGTGAAATCAGGCCACTCAAAATAAAGGGCTAGTTTCTACATACCTGGGGGATTCCCAAGATATACTTACCGAAGGTTCTCAAAGCAAAGAAAATCAAACTTGAAAAAATGAAAATTGTCCTGTGAACTTCTCGGACTTCAGTGGAATGTTAAAGACCTAGATATGAGAAAATGCCTTACACAGGTAGCTGGAAGAAGTCACTACTGTCCACTCACAGCTAAAAAGTTAAATCCTGGATTTTTCCATTGTTTTCTATGGACAGTTGAGTGCAGTTCCCCATGCCCCTCTCGCTGCCACAAAATTTGCTACAGTGCAACAGAAAGAATTGGTGATTTGCTGCCATAATTTGGTGACACAGTGGTGGTGACAGAGAAGGCCTGATTAGCTGTAAAACAGAGCTATGGGTCATGCCTGTGTATGTGAGTATCGGACACTACTGATGACAGTTCTCTTTCATTATGAATGCAAGGTGAGCTTTCTGGAACATGGAAGCAGATACTGTTACACACCTAAGGTGGAATGGGCTTTACCAATTGACGCAATCACCATTTTCATCTTCCAATGCAGTCTGCTGCAAGGTGCCGCCCTCCAGATTCATTGGACTAGAGCTCCCATGATGCATCTGCTGACATGATGGGAGCTGTAGCCCAGCACATCTGGAAGGCAGCACCTTGTGGCAGGCTGTTCCAATATGTTCCTTCAGCATTTTGGTAAGCGTTACATGTGTCTCAGGATGAGCACTGGGATAGCAGAGTTCTGAACAGGGTGCTGGCTACTTTTCAAATAGGTTGGCTTCTCTCTCTCTCTCTCTCTCTCTCTCTCTCGCTGTTACCATCCAGGGGACTTCTTGAAAACACTCCAGGATCCTGATTTGAATGTTCGGCGTGTTTCACTAGCCATGTTTAATTCTGCTGCTCACAACAAGCCTTCTCTGATCCGAGACCAGCTCAGCACAGTCCTTCCCCACCTGTACAATGAAACGAAGGTTCGCAGGGAGCTCATACGAGAGGTATGAACCTCGATGAGATAGTGGAGGATAAAACTATGACACCAATTCTAACCTTACCATTTTCCTATGAGAATGTTTATGTATATTTTTGCTGTGCAGTGCATGGATTCATCTTGATCACGTCCTTAGGTGTGGAGATTGCCTACAGTCCATGTGTTCAGGGGGTCAGCCTTAGCAGTAAATACATGGTCTAGTCTGTTGCCCTGTAGAGAGGCCATGATTCTTCTGGGGAGTGTTTTGAGATGGAGAAAGCACACTGAGTCAAACTCAACATGAATGAAAATTGAGAACAAACTTTATGCTTTCTTCAGCTAAACAGAACCAAAACCAGTATCCAAAATACTCAACTGAATCCCAACTGAAACAGAAGAATTCTCTCTTCCCACACACACTTGCTCACTTTTGTGCTCTGTGTGTGTGTGTGTGTGTGTGTGTGTGTGTGTGTGTGTGTGTGAGAGAGAGAGAGAGAGAGAGAGAGAGAGAGAGAGAGAGAGAGAGAGAGACTGACTGACTGACTGACTGACTGACTGACTGACTGACTGACTATATCAGGCTACCTAGTCAAAATAAAGTTTCAACCAAACAGCAAAACAATTATGTATTAAAAAATCAGTACCTGGGAACATTTATACATTGTGGGTTTGTACAGTCTCTGTACTCCATTTTGATCAATAGTTAAGCTTGGGAAGTGTTAACAAGGGACCGGGCTGGAGATTTGTTTCCCTGTTATGATGGGGTTTGGTTAACATACATGTTACAACGCAGAAGTCTTATATGACGTGATGTAGGAATCCAAGAGAGGTAACACAGGACTTATTTAGTGTTTGTCAAATAGTCTTTTCATGTTTGGTGCAATGCAAACATAAATGCAAAATAAACTGAAATTGGAGTATGTTTGAAATGGGAACAGACATACCAAGAGCCATGCGAAGGGCCATCTGGTCCAGCATTCGGTTCACATAATGGCGAACTGGCTGCCCACAGCACCCACCAAGCAGGGTATGCATGCAGCCACACCCTCCTGCCCAAGCCCCCCAGCAGCTGGTCTGTAGTAGCACACTGCCTCCAACCCTGCCAATCCAAAATTGGCAGTGGAAACTAGGAAACGAGATTATCAAGGACAGAGAACAACAGAGCAAAGGATCAAGCAGGCACCATTCAACTGAGTAAGTATGAACACAATACTTGAAGGGGGACTGGCTGCCAACCCTCAGGGTTCATTTGCAGTGTGCTGTTGGACTGCACTGAAGAGTAATCAGTCAGCCTCTGTGCCAGGTGTGCTGCTTGGTGTGTATCTTTGAGGTGAGGCTGTCAGAGTTCCAGGCAGAGCAAAGGGCCCAGTGCAGTGGCTGCCTACTGGTCCTTGTCTCAAGAACCGGAGAAGCGAGTGAACACACTCTCAGAGGCCCAGGAAATTTGAAGGAGCCCTGAGCCCAGGCAGTAGGGAATATGGTGTGCTGAAAAGAGAGCTCACCAGAGAGGGTGTTCATCTTCTGGGCGTGTTCTGTACCTTGGGACTAAAACTGTTTGGAACACATTTGGGGTTAATGCTAAGGAGTTTCATTCTATCATAGCTAGCAAGCCAGCAGGGGAGTGACCGTATCTAGATGAGGCCAAGTTGCTATCAGTGAGTGCTGTTAGATCATTGGGGTTGAACCTGAGAGGTAACCGCCTCCAGCAGATTAGAGAGAAAAGTCAGGCCGAGTGGGGATAGGCGGTACACGAATGGGACTGAACAACTGCTGATTAGAAACAATGTGCCTTACATTTAATAGTCTCATGTGATCTGAAACTGGAGCAGTTGGTTGTGTGTGTCTAATCATTTACTGGCCTGAACTAGAATTAGCCTAGAACAACTTCAGCTGTAGCTCAACCCAAACTGGAGCTGAGCACAAAAATGACGGAGTTCTTAAAATTCTCTTGGTTTGATTCTCTTTAGTGTGTGCATGTTTTCCATGGTGGGTAGATAGGGATGCCATGGTAGTGCTACTGAGAGGGTGTTTCCCTGAATGACCAGCTGGTTTCTTATTTTTTCAGGTAGAGATGGGGCCATTCAAACACACAGTTGATGATGGCCTGGATGTGAGGAAAGCTGCTTTTGAGTGCATGTACACACTTTTGGAAAGCTGCCTTGACAGACTGGACATTTATGAGTATTTAAATCATGTGGAAGATGGCTTGAAAGATCATTATGACATCAGGGTAATTACTTCCAGTTCATTAGTGTTTGTCATGCCATATTTTATTACTTTTACTGATGGATGAACAACTGGTAGGGGGATGAAGGTTGTTTGCTTGCTATCTATACACTACTAAATGTCTGAACTGGACTGCTATTATTTAAATATGGGATTGTGCATTACCCTGAAAATGGAAATACTTTGCATTGGTGGTTTTAGCATTGGATGATTCTATGTATGCTTCAGCATGTTTGTCTATGCAGGATGTGAGCAGAGCACGTGTAGACTGGGACCACACAGTCAGTCTTGGAAGGTAGTGTTGGGGGGTTAACAACTGAACTACTTGCTCCCTAGTTTATCTTAGATAAAACAAATGAGAAGATAATTTTACTGGTATCTTTATCTGATTGTGGCTGAAAGTTGCTTGCACCTGTAGTGTGAAAGTGGCCGTGAGTTACTGAAGAGCTTCCGCAAAACCGTTTTAGGAAAATGTTAATGCAACTTTTCCTGTCTTTCTCCCACACCCTATCCTGTCTTTCAATATTCTCCTTAGATGTTGACTTTCATTATGTTGGCTCGCTTATCAACACTTTGTCCTAATGCAGTTCTACAAAGATTAGAGCGACTTGTTGAGCCCCTGAGGGCAACGTGCTCTACTAAGGTAATGCATAAAGATGGCTTGAATGTGTGTTTGTCCCTGAAGCTCTAACTTTCATGCTTCTATTTCAAGGCACCTCCATTCTCAGGCCAGGTCAATTACCTGCCCTTGCTTGTTGTAAGCCACCTGGAAAACAAGAAGAAATATTCTTTATACATAGGCACACCTACTCTGGAGTAACAGCCATTGCTTTTACAAACTACTGGTGTCAATTTGTTTTCGTCCTGTACTTCGGCTAAGTATCAACTCTTTGCTCTGCTCTGCTTCTTCTCTGTAGTCATAGAGGGTTTTGATGGCTTAGGTAACTGGGAGTCCAGTCTGCAGTAGCAAGAGGACATCCTGAGAATGAACACATGTGCTGGTAGATGATATCCAATAGCATCCTGACCCCATGGCTTGTTTAGTATTGGTTTGGTTTGTTGCACATTTGGTTTCTTGCTCTCCTAAATAAACCAGTCATAAACCAAGAGTAAACCCTGGCTTATGACTTTGGCTTGTTATGAAAGGAACAAGCCCAAGATCCCAGTTTGGACATTAAACTGAACAAATCACAGATGGTTTAGCAGCTTCAGCTGGTAAGTAGGAACCAAGAGGTTGCAGTTCAGCTGCATGCACCAGCAGACTTCCTTACACATAATTCTGGTTTACCACTGCATGTGAATCAGGCAGTGATTAGTTGTCTTTTCCAACAGCCTTTTCAGGTATCTCAGTTGGGACACTATAGGTCCCATTTTCTTCTCTGTGTAGAATGACCCAGACACAAAAGATAGGTTCAATAGGTTTGTAGAAAAGGGTATTTCTCCACTCTGCTCAACAGCTGCCACAATTCTCTTTTCTATACAGCTTTTAAAGCTGCTGTTTCCATTTCTGGCTGTTTCTCTTCTTAGGGAGAAAAAGGAAACTAAATTGAAATGATGTGGCTGCAGTGGTATGGTAAAATCACAGGTCAGACTGAAACCAATCCATGTTTGCATGCTATCATGTAAACTGAATAAACCCACATAATTCCCACCTTTACACATTCTGTTCCAGTTGGGAATACGCACTTTAGTGGAGTCTTACACACTCACTGCTGGAAATCCTGTCAGGCTTTTCTCCTTGCCTTCCTCTTCTTCAGCTTGAGAGTATGTGGGTCATGTTCAGTGATTCAAGCCTACCCTTTTAATTAATCCAAATTATTCATTTAATTATTACATATCACTTGTCCCTTGCTGATTATTTTAGTGTGTAATTTTTAGAAGGAACTGACCATGAATTTGAATTACGTTGTCATACACATATGCCAGGAAGTATCTATGCCTCTGGCCAAAACCAAAAACCAGCATGTGAAAGGTTTTAAGGGATCTCCTGTGATGACTGCTTCCTTCCCATGTATTGTGCACCAAAATGTAGTTTTGGAATAAGACTTCTCTAAGTTGCTCACATGAAAGTAGCCTTGTGGGAATTTGTGGGACATGACTCCTGTAGTATATCTCTATTGGGAATAGGTGGAGACCAGCGAAAATCAGGAATTTGATTTTATATTTGTGAGCTTTTTATTGTACTGTTCGGTATATCATATGTATTCTGAGTTCTTCCAAAATGACTTTTTCTGAGTGTTCTACGTTATGGTTGAATAGACATTTAATAGGAATAGTCTGTACATTTCCTTATTTTGTGTATTGCATCCTTAGGATCAATGTTACAGACCAAACCTGGCCAAACTGAATGCCTATCAGTATTTTTTTTTCCTTCCTGAAGATTGCCAGTTTGCCTGGTTTTTCCTAATTTTGTTCTTAAACGTTATTTCCTTAGGTAAAAGCTGGTTCTGTGAAACAAGAATTTGAGAAGCAAGATGAACTGAAGCGCTCAGCAATGAGGGCAGTAGCTGCTCTATTAACCATCCCTGATGTAGATAAGAGCCCAGTAATGGCTGAATTTTCTTCCCAAATCAGAGCCAACCCTGAAATGTCTTCACTTTTTGAAAGCATTCAGAAGGATTCTACTTCACTATCTACCACAGATTTGATGGACATGAGTTAAAATTCCTTTGTGCTGTTCTTTGGCATTCTACAATCCACTGTACTCTTGCAAGTGGAAAATCAAATTCTGAAGCTGATTTTAGATACAGATGCCATTTTAAAAATGGCGACTATTTCTACTGAAACAGGCATGATTTCAAACATGATAAAAGTGATGTCTAGTTCTGTTGATAGCAATAGGACACCATCACTTTTAAGTTGTCTATTAGGTCCTATGTTGAAATAGTCATGAATTTCTGCCAAAATGTATGCATTGACTCTAGCTGCTTTTAACTAGAGTATTGATATGTATTTACTGTCACTGAAATGATGGCATGATAGCATTTTTAAAGCAATGGTGACAGTCTTGCTGTATCTAAGATCAAGTTAATGGCTACTGAGCTTTCATCATCACCTTGGTTAAGTAGTGGCTTTCATGTGTGCTATATTGACTTAAGTGACTTTTATAGTTGCATACAATGCATTAAAGCTATTGCCCTGACCTTTTAAAAATCTCAATGTCAAACTTTGGAAGAAACCCAACTGTCTTCTGGGATGGAATGCCTTATGTTTAATAACCATAATTTCAATCTGTTCCTGCACCATTCTCAAACACAGTTGTTGCTTCCTGTATGCACCCTATGGCTATAGCATACTGATTTTTTTAAGAGCTGATACCAAAGTACTGATTATTTCAAACTACAAGAAGTGTTATTCCCAAGAACCACTAATGTGGTATGAAGTATGTATTAATAAAATGGCACCACCTTCTTAGAAAATGCTATCATACTGTTATGCCCAATGGAAGTGTATTGCTGTGTACTGTTCAGCAGAGATGTCAACTTCTTGCAACCATGGATTACTAAGCTTCAGTTTTAGGATTTATTCCACTTTGTCAGTCTATGAATCACTTAAGTGCTCTATTTATAAAACAGGGTGTCACTTTTTGTTCTACATAAAATGCCTCAGAAGAAAATAAAGATAATAAATGCATCAGGAGTACTTTGGTTTAGATTTTTACCTAGTTGACTTGCACAGACTAACAGAACAATTTCAGATGAAAATAAAGTATTTCAACAATTCAGAAAGGACAGACCTAGAAGGCAATCAAGAGTCTTGCTCACCTCACAACCATCACCAAGCCCCACCTAATTATTGTACTGTATTGTTCTCTGAAAAGGGTAAAAATGTTATACAGCAGGGGTTGCCAGACTTGCTCAATGGAAGACCCACATATGGTAACTGTCAGATAATTTGACAGTCACAATCAGGCAACCATGGGATGTGGGGGCAGTGACAGGCAGCAAGTGGGCACCTTGGGCAGCAGGAACAAGCCGTGAGTGGCAAGGGGGTGCCCACAGACAGCACCCACTTGTGTTGCACAAAATAAAGTCAAAGAGCCACATGTGGCTCATGAGCTTTGGGTTAGCCACCCCTGTTGTAAGATTCAAGAGAGTCTATTTTTTCCTCTTATGGCTGTCCTTTTTTAATGCATTCTCTTCTGCTTTGACAAATCTAAGGCAGGAGAAATAATATGGGAGAAAAGAAGTAGAGGATGGCAACTCAGTGCCCAGTTGTTTCCAATCCCAGATGGCATCAAATTAGATTTAACATGATTGAACTGGCATGATTTAGAGTACCATCATGCAGTTTTGTATATTATACAGATAAAGTTGTAGGATATCTTGAAGGCTGTAAAACATCTGCCAATTATCCCCCACCACCTTTTGTTCGACTTCTGTTGAAACTAGCATGATTTCTTTTTCATAGATACCACTCAGTTCAACTTATGCCAGGAATGCCAAATTTTCCAACTTTCTGGATATTTTATTAAATACAGTTGTACAAGATCAACTATTTATTCATTTTCTTCACTGCGCAGTCTGGCATTTGGATTTGTGACTTTGATAGCAAGTTGAGCTGCTCTCTCCACAATTACCTTCCGATTCTTGGATGAAACGTTATGAGCAATCTCTGCACAATAGGACCTAAACAAAACAACAAAAAATACAGCCACGTGTCAGGAGTAGCTCATTATTCCTAAATTCTAATTCTGTTCTGAATGCAGTAATGACACTTCACATTTGTAGGAAGCCTGTTCTACTACCCCCTGAATACATAGCACTTCCACACACAGGTGTAAAACTGCACCTTTGAATGCTCCTCATTTTTGCCAGAAGTATACTGCCTATAGAAAGCTTGCACACAGAAAACCTTCTCTCTCCAATGTCTGCTTTCACAGCCACAATGTTTGTCATGGAGTAGTAGACATTTAACTATGCAAACTTGTACCTATACATGCAGAAGTGGCACATTTCTTAAACTAGTTTTATTCTTCCCTAAAAATACAGGTGGGTTATAAAATTTCAGAAAAATTAATGATTTGTTAGGCAACACTATATTTCAGACTAAGCAAATGTCAATCCTCGCTTCCAATGACAGTTGGGATGGCTGAACAATAGAAACAAGGCAGAACCTTGGTTTGTTTCACCCTGAGCAACATGATTCTTGGTGCACATCACTAGCAAACAAGCCAGTCCGAATTCTCCCTCATAATGCAGAGAGAACATATGCCTTAACTGAGCCGGGCGATGAAAACTGCCTGTTCATCACAATTCCTCATTGGCTCACATTGGCTAGTGATACCAGAGAATCAGCAGAATACCTCTTTATTATCCAAAAGTGCAAAAATGACACTTATTTTTGCTTGACCTTAGATATACTAGAAGTTTAGCATAATTTCCAAGCTTCTCTGCCCTTACATGTGAACAAAGCAGTCCGCCTTTTACTGTGCATGGCAGAAACTGGTTTGAACCCAGAGTGGTTTTTCATAAGCTGAAGGTTGCCTTCTATTCAGAGTCAGGCAGGCTTCCCACTGCCTTCAGGTGGCAGGGTTGTCATTTCCTTCAACCCCTCCTGCAGCACCCACTACCACTGCACACGCTTCTTTCTGAGGGGTGGTCCTTCAAACCCCCAGAACAGTGTGCAAGGCCAACTAATTCTACTGGAGGTTAGAGAGAGAGCATGAAGGAAGCTTGTTCAGTATCAATCTGAACCAAGGCTGTTCCACATCTGATCCCAACAGCCCTCAAATTACTACAAAAATTACTCCAAGGCACAGCTACCAGAAGGATAATTATTAATATTTAGAACTATTTTGAATTCTTGAAAGCAGACCAATTCTGTAAGAATCTATCCAACTTCCATCCCCATACTTCTTTGGATATTTCGACTTGATTTTGTAATGTATGTAACTATCTACCCTAGAATAAAGCAGGACAGAGGTAGGAGATCTAAGGAAGTGTAGCATAAAAGACAAATGGGAAAATAAGGCTGAAAGAGCAAGTACTCCTGGAGAATGATCTTGTCTACAAGCCTCCTCTCAGATGCCTAAGTGCCCTGCAGCGGGCATTCAAAGCCTCCATGTTGTTCAAAGTGCTGGTCTTCACCTTTAAAGTTTCTTCAATGGCTTGAGGCAAAGTTCTCTGAAGGATGACCTTTACTCATACAAATCTGCCCATATGTTAAACTCTGCCTCATCTTGCTTGCACACCATTAAGACCATAGGACTGGTGTGTGCAAAAGACAAGGCATTCTAAGCAGAGGCCCCAAATCTTGGAAACTCCCCAAGTTATCTATATGTTGCTCTTTCAAGTCTGGCTTTTAGAAAAGCTTTGAAGACCTTCCTCAAGCACATATAATCTGCATCTTATCTGCACTTTAAATTACCTTAAAATTAAGGTAATTCACAAGTACCTTAAAGAACTTTAGAATTACTATCTTGAACAAAAACATGCAATATGGACTAATGTGAGGACATCAGAAAGAAAGGACAGCTGATATACCCCACTGATAATGCAACATCTTTCTGTATGTATATGTATTTATTTGGAGAACTTATATGTCACCCCATTCGCACAGGCCTCGGGGTGGCTTCCAAACATAAATAAATATAATCAATACAATTACATAAAATGTTGGAGACATCCTGGCAAAAAGTTGGTTAAAATTAATAAATAAAATTAACAATTAAAATAATGTTTAAATAAAAAGGTCTTGGCCTAGCGCCGAAAAGCAAATAATGACGGTGCCAGGCAGACCTCTCTGGGGAGCGCGTTCCATAAGTTGGGCGCCACCACAGAGAAAGCCCTCCTCTGGGTACACACCTTCCTAATAGCTTTCACAGAGGGCTCCCGGAGAAGGAGCCCTCGGTATTCAATACCTAGCACAACTGCAAATCAGTCACAGATCTTCAACTCAAGTTCATCAGCTTGACAGAACAATCTCAGCAGGATAAAGTATAAACCTGAAGAACAACCTTCCCAAATGCTTTTTCCAACTTACTTGTTGCTCATCATCAGCACCTCGAGCTCTTTGACATTGTGAACAAGAAACTTTCTGAATCCTGAAGGCAACATGTGCTTTGTCTTCTTATTGCTGCCATATCCAATGTTTGGCATCAGGATTTGGCCCTTGAACCTTCTGCGAACTCTGTTGTCAATACCTCTTGGCTTGCGCCAGTTACGCTACAGAAATTCAAAGAGAAATATAAACAGTCAGTCCCTGAGTATTCCACTACACTGTAGAAGGTCCAATTACTTTACAAGGCCAATGTTGCAAGATCCAACCACAGGAGGTCACCCAGAGTACTTAACAACTTAGCCAGAGGTTTATGTGTGCCTGTTCATCACAAGGACACCTACCTTGATTTTAACATAGCGATCAGACTGATGACGGATGAACTTCTTGGTCCTCTTCTTGACGATTTTAGGTTTAATGAGAGGCCTGAGGGCAGCCATGATGCCTAAGAAAAACAGACCATACATAAGGAACCATACACAACAGGCAATTTGTGAACCTCACAAACTTGTTGCAGAGTTATCTTCCATTTACTAGCTTGTTTAGCTACTAGCAACGGAATGGGTGTTTTTCTGCAGTTTCTCTTCCTCCCATGTCCGAAGCTGGAAGAGTATGGAAAGCTCTCCAGATGCAGTCTTGGGAGGTCACCAATTTAAGATTACTAATTACCCACACCCCAAACTGCCCATAGTGTTTTCCTCTAAAGCAGGGATCATGAATATATGCTTCTCCGGGTATTGCTGGTCTGTAACTCCTACCACATTTCTCTAGTGACCATGCTGGATCGGGCTGATGGGAATCGCAAGCCAACACCACCTAGCACAGGGGTCAGCCACCTTTTGAGGCACGTTTGACCATTTTTACTGCCAAACAGGCTCACAGTTCACATTTCCACAACAGTTTTGGGCACCACCATATAAGGGCTATTATAGGAGATGTGGCAAAAGACTGTTGGGGTCAGCCCACCCAAGAGTCTGAGTACAAAGCAGAGGTGGGATCTGAGCCCCGTATGTTAAAACTTAGAAGCCACAGTTCAGCGCCAACAAAAACCTACTGCATACCAATCTCAGCTGCCAGTAAGGCAATGTATTGATTAAAAATGAAGGGGGAGGACACTTTGGTGCATGCTAAGAAAGGTGTCTTTAACCATGTATTGCCTGCTAGGAGGGCCATATGACTTATGCTCACATTTGACTTCTCCAAAATTGGAGTACCAATTGAAATCTTCTCCGAGACTCCCTTGACAATGTATGTATTAGGTTATCATACACCAATGTTACATTTATTATTTTTTTCTAGATAGTTACATGTTGCTAGCCCAGCTTTGAAAGTAAACCCACAAAAATTGCCAGTCTGCAAGTAGGCTGAGATGCAGGCTTTCCTCTTCTGACAGTTCACTTAATTTCTGTGACAGATCATGCCATCCCTTCCCTGCCAGTCTGCAAACACCTCTGTATTGCATTGCATGCATTCCCCGAAATGCATTTTTTGTTTCCTCTCACTAGCAAGGTAGTGCTTAAGTGAAGCGTGAGATAGCTGTAGCTTCAGAGAATGAATGAACGCTCTTACAGCATGACCCTATGTAAGATGTACGTAAGAGTACTAATATTCATGTAGCCATGTAGGATTGGGTTGCACATCCAAATCCTGCAGACCTAACCTAACTCATATACTCACCCTACAAAAAAGACATAGAAGGGAAAGAACCATTTTTCAGAAAAATCTTCACAAACTTCAATCACAAGATGGATCTCATAATACGGGGGGGGGGGGGGAGGAAAGAGACCTCTGGCCTCTAGCACAGCCCTAACTCTCACAAATGTATACATGTCTGTTCTGTTCCTGTACATTTTATCTGCAGCCAAGATAGGCAACCCGGTATCCTCCATTTATTTATTTTGGACTACAATTACTACCATCACAACCAATTCTCATAAATTATGGGAGTTGTAGTCAAAATTATCTGGATGGCTCCAAGTTGCTTATACCTGCTACAGACTCCATACATGTAATCAGAAACTTTGAAAATTGTACGCATTCCTGCAAGGTACTTCTAAGTAGATGTGCACAGGACTGCACTGTAGGGTGTAATCTTTTCCTTACATAATTGTAAGCCCCACTGAGCACAACAGGGTTTACTTCTGATCAAATGTACTGCAATTCAAGTTTCTACATATAGTCCTGTAATCTGAAGCACAAAGATTTAAAACCATTCTGCTTAAGTGGAGGTTTTTTTAAGGCAAGTCCCTCATCTTTAAAAAAAACACCTTTCCGGTAAGACCCCTACTAACTCAAACTATGCAATCGTGTCCCTCACTAAACAAAGGCTCTTTCTCAACTCGCCTCACCCTCAGCTTGCTCCAGATGACTGCAGGTACCACAGCACAGAAAACAGCAAGTCAACTAATCTCACTTCACTTCCAGTTCAGTCAATGGGAGTTAATCCATAATCAGCGATAATCCAGTTACTAGTTCTACCCCATTTTTGTTCCATTATCAAACCCAGGGGAATGCACATGTGGACGGGGGAGTCTCCCACGCGGCCTGCCAGCCAGGCACTGACCAATCCCAGTCCTGCTTAGTTACACTAGGTACCTTCAGACTAAAGATGGAGAATATGTGGCCCTCCAGATGACACTGGATTGCAGCTCTCCTTTTGCATACCCGTGGTGGTGGAACGATGCAAGCAGCAGACCAACAACGTGCAGGTTACTCACCCCTGCTTCAGACCGGGCATATCCTGAGGCAAGCGTCTTCGCCTCCCTTGTCTGCCCGAGAACATAAATCAGTGGATCTCTTACCATCCCCGACCCCACTATCTGGGCCTGAGAGTAGTTCATTCCGCGAGAAAAGCCCACCCCGCCCTGCCCTGCCCGTCTGTCCCTCAGGACAGCAATGGAGAAGAACCCAAGTCAGGCAATACCGCTTCGCCTAAAGATCGCCGGTAAACCTTCCTTCCTCCAGGCCGCCTGGAAATGGCGGCAGGCACTACTGAGGAAGGTCTCCCTGCAGCCCCGACAAGCGGCAAAACGCACTTGCAGAGCCCCCAGGACCAGGATGGCAACGGATCGCGCGCTTACCTGCCCGAGGATGGCAACACCCTCGCAGCCGAGAAGCGCCGAAAGAAGGAACGACGGGGGATGCCGCAAGGCCTGATGGGGCTTCATTGCTGGGTCCTGGCAGATCAAATAGGGCCGTTGCTGAGGAACACGGGTGACTGGAAAGCTGACTTCCTCCGCCGCTTGAGCTTCCTCGAAGGATGGGCAAGTGGGATAAAGTATTTGGTCATAATTGTAAAGGGCTTGTTAAAATAATTCGGATGACGATTGTAATATTGTCATCCATGAGATAAATTATAAACATTGAGGACCTGAAAACATCACTTCCGCCAAAATCGCATGGGCAACCAAACGAGCACAGAGAGAAGAAAATAGTAGAGTTATATCCAATACTGTTCAGATAAACTTTCCGGATTCAGTTTTGTGTGATGTCCCCCCACATCCTTCGGTGAAGAGTTGTCCATGGAAATCGATAGAGAAAGTCAAAACCTTAGTATGTCTGTGACTGGACATGAGCGTGTTTATCCAAAAGAAAGTAAGCAGTAAAGACAGGAATGTACGCGTTCTAGCACATATTTTATTTCGCAATTTCTTCACAAATTAAAACACCTCTGCAGTTAGTCCACTGTTCATAATGCACGTCAGGGAGAAGGGCAAGTCTGAACTGAAGTGAATTCTTGGAATAAATCTACCATCTAAAATAGTTCTCAGACTACAGCAAAATTCATTCTGTTCAATTTACCCGCTAGCACTCCCTCCTAGCCTAAATCCAATACTTAACCCCATGCATGCAGGGCCATTAGCTAGCATGTCGCAGACCCATTGAGCTTTTACGTATTGCAAACGCTCCGCTTTTTGCCACATTTTGATTTGTGCACACACTACTCAAGACTACCCGAATTTCGACTATCTTCCCCCCAACCCTTCTATTTACCGGTTATTTTTATGGTCATCTATGGTATGGGGGAAAGAAAGAAGACATAAAAAGTTCGCATGAACCGGAAGTTAAACTCTCTGGTCTAATTAAGATAGAGGATGGGGCATAAATATCTCCCACATTTCGAGGGGGTACTATGCGGGCTGTAGCGGGGGTAGAGAGGTGGGGTAGGTCTCATTTGGTAGGTTAGGCTCTACTGTTTTCAGTACCCATCATGAGTTGGACCGGTGAACATCGGGGCTTTGTTGTTCAAGTGTTTTATGAGAACAACCGTTCTGTGATAAAGACACAGAGAGCGTTCCGTACCCGCTTCGTGCTTGCTCGGAATGCATCTGTACCGGATCGGAAAACGATTTTGCTATAGATTTCTAATCCTGGGGCAACTGGATCCACCCTGAAAAGAAAATCACCTGGCAGACCTAGGACCGTTAGAGCGCCAGAAAATGTGGAAGCTGTAAGAGCATCCATTCAGCAATCGCCAAGGCGTTCCGCTCGTAAGCATGCCAAATCACTGGGGATATCAAGTCGGAGTTTGAGAAGGATTCTGCATGCTGATTTAAAACTGCATCCTTACAAAATGGTGCTGGCTCAAGAATTAAGTGAGGTGGTTTATGCCAACCGCAGAGCCCTAAGTGCGGGAATTCTTCAACGGGTTCCCGCTGCAGCTGTTCTGAGTAGTGGTGAGGTTCACTTCCATATCAGTGGAGCCGTAAACAAGCAGAATTTTCGCTGCTGGGCTAAACATAACCCTCGTGAACTCCACGAAGGACCACTCCATTCTCCTTGCTTAACTGTTTGGTGTGCAGTTGCCCACTTTGGTGTGATCGGCCCGTACTTTTTTGAGGAAGGTGGTGCAACAGTAACTGTGACCTCCGAGCGGTACATTGAAATGTTGGAGACCTTTCTGCGCCCCAAACTGGACGATGTGGATACAGAACACGTGTGGTTTCAACAGGACAGGGCCACAGATCACACAGCCCGACGTTCGCTCGGAGTGTTGAGGGAAATGTTCCCTGGCCGTTTGATCTCTTTAAGGGGAGACGTGGGGTGGCCGGCACGGTCACCAGATTTAAGCCCATGTGACTTTTTCCTTTGGGGATACCTAAAGGAAAAGGCTTTCAAATATCGTCCTCAATCTCTTGAGGATTTGAAGGAAGGATCAGACAGGAAATTGATCGAATTCTGCCTGAGATTACCCGGAGAGTGAGGGAGAACTTCCGGGAACGTCTTCAGCAATGTATTGTCAACAACGGCCACCATTTGTTTGATAAGGTTTTTAAAACCCATTAAAACAAAACTGTGTTTGTGTACTTTTCAGAAATATATGCATTTTTTTCTAGATAGCTTCGTTCATTTTTTATACCCCTTCAAAATGTCGGAGTTCTTTATGCCCCATGCTGTAGGAAGGCTGTGCGAAGGACCCGGCGGTAAGGGTGGAATGTAGAGGCGCTGGTGGCTCAGGGACGCCTGGTGGTCAGTCCTCGGTAGTGCAGGCAGGAATTCTCTGCTTGTGCTCGGTTGCATTCCACGTAATCAAGGTAGCAGTTCTGCGCATCTTTAGACAGAAGGCATTGCTAGGCGGGATTGTTGGGAGTTATGTGATTATTTCCCTGTCCAAACATGCATAAAATTGCACCCTGAAAGACTCACTTGGCAAACGCTTTGATCTTTCAAAGGAACTACTTTGAGAAGATGACAGCAAACGATGTCTATTCCGGGCTGAGCATACTATTAGGCTTCCCTTACCGAATTGTATAGAATATGCTAAATGCAGTTGCCCTAGAGTTCTATAAGGGCAGTATATTACTGATAGTATTTTTCCAATTACTTTACTAATTATACCTAGTATGGAGTTTGCCTTTTTCACAGCAACTGTGCACTGGGTCAACATTTTCATAGTATTATCCACCCCACACCTAGGAAACCTTTCTTGATTGGTCACTGCTAGCTCAAATCCCATCAGTTTATATGAAGTTGGGATTTTTTTTGCCTCATGAGCATGATTCTACTCTTGCCCACACTGAACATTTGCAATTTTAATACCCATTCTTCCAGTCTGGAGGGATCTTTTTGGAGCTCCTTACAATCCCTATTTGTTTCATCCTCCCTAAACAACTTGGTGTCATCAACAAACCTGGACATTTCACTGATTACACATTATTCATAAGTTGAAAAACATTGGTCTCAGTAGATTCCCTATAGGTTCAGCTTTTATATCCTTCCATTGGGATATAATGGAATGAGAATTCATCCACCTTGTCAATTAAATTTAAATTTATTTTATCAATTGCCAATAAGGCTGAGAATGTTGTTTATTGACATTGTTATCATTATTTGTCTAAGCTCCTCATACTCCAGACATTGGTCCAGGCAAAGGTATCTATCCTGCACTTTCTTACCTTCTTTGGTGAAGACAAAAGGAATTAATTCAGCCACACCATTATAACTTTATCCTCCTTTAATGATCTTTTAACTCAGTTATTGTTCAACTGATTTGCTAGCCAATGTCCTGCTTCTGATATACTGGATGAATTTTTTGTTGTTGGCCTTGATATTGTTAGTGATATGCTCCTCAAAATGCTTTTTGCATCTCTTATTCTTGCTTGCATCTCCTTTGTGCAAGACAGTTTCATTGACAGTTCTGAAGTAAAACTCAGCAGTCCAGTTGACTTCTGTAGGTAGAATGTGAGGGGGTGCTATCTGGTTCCTTGCTTTGGATACCAAAACATTGTGGGCCAGCTCTATATTTGGTGTACATTGACAGAGGAAATCTATTCATGTATGTTCAGAAGGAAGCCCCGAATGCTTTACTAAAGGGGGACATGCTTGCAGTGACTTAAGAGCTCCTGCTTATCTCCATCCATGCAATTTGGTATCAAGAGGATTGTTGTACGTTAGGTAGATCTTCAAGCCTGAAATGACTAGATGAATTGAACAGTGTTAGTTTCTGTGTTACTATGTGTACATAAATATCACTGCTGAAAACCCCGTTATGAAATGGTTGAAGTTTTAAATGTGGATGCTGAGCCTACATTTAAGGATTTGTGGACACACTCAGATAAAGCTTGGATACTTACACCACAAACCATTATGCTGAATAGTGCTGCATGCAAATGGGCGATCTAAGAAATTGCTGGTGTTTCCTGCCCCACATATACTAACCCAAGACAGGGGTAGGCTGGGTTCATGGCTGCTATCCATCCATCCATCCATCCATCCATCCATCCATCCATCCATCCATCCCCCTCCCTCCCTCTCTCTCTCTCACACACACCCAAAGCCCATTTGAAAAGTGCAGGTGTGGGCTGCATGAAATGCCAGTGCTTGCAGCCTAGCTTGACTTGCAGACTAATTCATGAATGCCAAGTGGGAAAGGCACTTGATCTAAAATCTTGAAAGCTGTGGGTTCCAGCCTCCTTCTATGCTTCTCTCATATCTCAAAGGTAGAGAAATCCTGCAGCAGTCAGTTACTTAGCCACATCCAATGGTGAACAGTAGAGGAGAAAGCCCACCCTGTTCTTCTCCAGACTGTGCTTTGTTATTCTCTTCCAAATGGTACATAGTATGCCCAGTTTTTAAAATTATCTACAGGCAACTTTGGCTTGAATTAGTACAACACTTCTTTTAGTTGGGCATAAGCCATCTAAATCTTTATTATGAGCAAATCAGTCTTTTTCTCATGTGTATTTCATAATCACTTACATTCTGAATATATTTCATGCAGAAGTTGTCAGGATATTAATGATGCTTTAAATGTTTATTGTGCAACCCAAAGAAAACAGCCAAATATGGCATGGGAGCTGACAAGGTGATCAGAGTCTTAACACAATGTATTTATCCAAGTGGGGTTCAAAGCAGTTTACTGGCAGATTCTGCTTTCCCCCAACACTCTAATACAACTTCTTTTTGTTGGGAAAATACAATTTTTCTCACAGAGTTATCATTGCTAATGCAATTGCCACACGTTAGGGTTCTCCATGAGACATCTGTGATGTGATGATTAGTGACTGACACACATTGGTGTCATGTTACTTCTTTTAATTAATACATTATCAATTACATGCATATTCTGCCTTTTTGTGAAAAACTCCAGGTGGTTGACATAGTCCCTCTCTCTTCTATTTTATCTCCACATGAACTCTGTGAAGCAGGTTGGGCTGAGAGTCAGTCACTGGCCCAAAGTTACCCAGTGAGTTGCAGGGCCAAGTGTGGATCAAACCGGGATGCCCCAAGCCCCCGTCTAGCACTTCAACAACTGTACCGCCTTTCTCCTAAACTCTGTTGGAATGGTGCTCCCTACCGTACAGCTCCATCGCAGAGGCATTATGCATAAAAGGAGCATCTGGCTGTCAGCAGATTTCCAAAGAGCTGAGGCAGAGAGTCTTTCCATGCCGGGTAGTGGCACCCCAAGCAGACTGGGATGAACTAGAGATTTCTTCCAATTGGGTAAATGGGCAACACGGTGGCAAATGAAAGCCACTGTGTGGGTAAAGTGATGCATGAGCGGTGCAGAAAATGCACGTCATGCACAAACTAGTGCAGGCTGAAGTGTTGCTTACCGAGCAAGAAAGAGCTTGGGATCACTGTTCATACTCACTGCAATATCGGCTCAATGTGTGGCAGCTTAAAAAAAGGATAAACACTAGGAAGCATTAGGAAAAGGACTGAAGAATCCCTGCTAACCAGGATCATAATACCTTTACATATATTTGTGATGCAAACAGACTGGTCTCAACCAACTGAAATTCATGGACAGTAAATTCAGGACAAACAAAAGAAAGTACTTCTGCACCACAGGATCCATCATTAAGGTACACTCATCCTTTCCCAATGTGATACTTTTAGCTGTGTTGGCCTGCAACACTCATCATCCCCAGCTGGCTGGGAATAATGGGACTTGTAGGCCAACACATCTGGATGGTGTGGACTGGGGAAGGACATGCTGGCACAAGTTGTGCTGATAGCTATTAAATACCCTAAGCCAGTGGTGGGGAACCTATGGCACGTGTGCCACAGCAGGCACACAAAGCCCTCTCTGTTGGCACACGAGCCAAGTCGCCCCAGCATCGCCCCAGCAGCTGAGCATCAGATAACAGCGCACATAGGGGCCATGCGCATGCTTGGAAAGGAGTAGCGGCACCAAGCAATGACATGAGCCGCGACTCGTCTGAGCTTTTTCATGACCAGTCAGTGGGCTGCCAGAGAGAGAGAGAGAGAGAGAGAGAGAGAGAGAGATTTGCTTGGACTGGCTGTGAGGTGTTTTCTCTAAACTAAAACCTAAACTAATTCAGGTTTTATTGCAGTGCTGGCACTTTGTGATAAATAAGTGGGTTTTGGGTTGCAGTTTGGGCACTCAGTCTCTAAAAGGTTCTCCATCACTGCCCTAAGGTGTCTTTAAAGGGGATACAAGAGGACAAGCCTATCACCAGCCGCTCAGGACAGCTGCCTGTATGTAAATGGATGGGGACTCTCCAACTGCTTGTTGCTGAGAGGGAGATAATGGCAGATGCCTGCTACCTTTATGCCTTGCTTGCAAGTGCCCCAGAAGCATCTTGCTGGCCACTGTAGCAAGCAGGATACATCACCAGCCAGTCCCTTGCTCTGGTCCAGCAGAGCTCTGGGATTTCTTAACTGGAGATGCCTCTGCCACTGAGACATTCCCATTCCATGCTCTCTCAGTCCTTCCTTCACTTCGTGTAGCATAGGGCTGGACCCTCCAGATGTTGACACCAACTCCCAGTACTCTGGCCAGCACAGCTGGGATGTTCAGAGTGGTGATCCCACATCTGAAGGGCTACAGGCGAAGCACCTGTACTGTGCTGGAGTGCACCTCCCGCGTATTTTTCCTTAAAGGGGAACAGCAGCACAAAGGTCTTCCCACACCGAGCCTGATACTGTCCTTCCATAAGGTGCAGATGGAACGTTGTGCCGCAGAGATCCGGCATTATTGTGCAGGTCACGAAACGTACGTGCAGCACGCTGCTGACTACTGGTCTGGAAAGCCCCTTTCACCAAACCCTTCCTTTGGCGCATATTTTGTGGCAGTCACGTCTCGCCGTGATCACCTTGTTTTGCTTAGGATGTTGTCTTACTGCAGCAGATTTGTTGCAAGAACCAACAGCTCATGAAAGATCAGTGTTGCAGAAAGTTTCAAAAAGCGGTCAGATATAATAATAATATTTGCGGAATTCTGGATCTCCGTAAGTCACACACTGTCGTTCACTGACTGGCCAGCTGCGGTGAGGATTGCAAATGCCAGGGCGGACTGGGCACCTGTGAGAAACATGGCTGAACAGTGCATCCCCTTCATTGCGTTCCATTTGGGGTAGATATAGACGCAGTTTATCAAGAAGATGTCCTGGCCAAAAACTATTGGGGTCAGTCAAAGGATTCAAAAACACAAACATTCTCTTCAGCTCTCTGTAAACACAATTCAAAGAAAGAGTGTCAGCATGAAAACTATGTACTAGATTAATAAGAAGGAACCATATGGCAGATTAATAAAATTACAGTCTTGCCAACACAATGGACAGTTTCCAATGCACATGGTGCACTAGCGGGAAAATCAGCTGGTGGAACAGAAAAATTGCAGCTGCTTGTGTAGCCCAGGAAACTACTCGAAACAACCACTTTCAGAATGGACAGGGGACAGAAACTCCCTTCTGCGACCTCTTTCCTTCCAGAAGTGGATCCTTGGATTGTGCCAGCAAGTGCTACTTTTTCCTGTTTGGCTGCTGGTCATGCTTGCTTGAATGACTGCAGTACTGGAGACTCCCTATTTCAAAATCAAAAGGTTTCTCTAAAGTGGAACAGAAATTTGGCATCTGGAGAGGGCCGCGACAGTGACAAAAATGTCACCCACCCCACATCAAAACAAACACACAGAGCAAATATTTCAGCCCCAAAAGACTGGAGGCAATTCGCTGACGGAACCCCCTCATGCACTGCTTAGATTTAGGGGGCTGTCAAAGACCTTTTCTTTCTGCTGTGCCTTTCACCAGTTTTAACATCCTGATGCGTCAGTGGATTTTAAACTGATTCCACTGGTGCCCCTCATGAGCCTGTTTTGAAGATTTCATTCCTATATCTCTTTGTTTTTCATCTCATTAATGTGTGCATATAAACAGCTGACATTTTCTTGACTCAGTTCATCAACAGGGAGACTCCAGAATGGTCACCCTCAAGAACATTAAATCGAGCAGGCTTAGGGAGCACGAGGGGGCAGAGCAGAAATTCATTCGGCGTTCTGCCTGTGTAAACCAGCCCTGCCTGCTGGAGATGATGGAGTGTTATTCCCACTATCCCTACTTCCATTAGAAGCATCTGGCAGGCCATTTGAGGTGGCGCAGGATCCTAGACTGACTGGACATCCCGTATGGTCCACGCAGGCCCTTCTGAGCCATGCCGAAGCGGCATTAATTTCTTTCGTGCAGGAGAGTGACTACCTCGAGTTGTACAGCACACAGATCATGACTGAGACTGTGGCACTGTGGTGAGAGAGCTGGGCTGGGACTTGGGGGATCCTGATTCTGGACCCCACTGGACCGCAGATCTCCCTCACTGACTTTCAGCCAATTGTTGTTAGTTGCAGAATCGCGTCTGACCCATCGCGACCCCATGGACAACATTCTTCCAGGCCTTCCTGTCCTCCACCATCCCCTGAGTCCACTTAAGCTCACGCCCACTGCTTCAGTGACTCCATCCAGCCACCTCATTCTCTGCCACCTATTCTCTCATTCAGCCAGTTACTGACTCTCAAATGAAGAGGTTCATGAAAGTTGACTTGCGTTTCTTCCACGAGGAAAAAGGAAGGATGCAAACATAATATTAAATAATTACAGGCATTATTGCTTAACTGGTTGGCAAGACTGAGGTATATGGATCTTTTGTGCCTTGGTACAATAAGTGAGGTGCTCATCATTTTTGCTATTAGCTATAAAACCCACGTTGATGTACAAAACTAGAAGACACATCTCAGTAGTTGGGTTCACCATCTTAAAACCAAATTCAACAGGATATCAAAAAAAAAAAAAAGGAATTGGAGGCTATGGGAAAACTTTTCACACAGGCTGAGAATAGAATAAAAGAATGACTAAATGGGTAAAAGAGTTAAGTTATAACCCTTTTGGGAAGAAATGGGAAGAAAACAAAGTAGCATGCTACATCAGGAGTTTCACTTTGTTTTCCTCCTTTAAAAACAATTTCTATTTCCTAAAGTAAAGAGGACAACTCAGACTTTGGATCAGAAACCTGCAAAAGGAAATATCCTTCAGTTTTAGAAACCTAATAGAGATTAAACCCTTCTTTTAAAAAGGAAAAATGAAAGAAATATGTGTCATACTTTTGCAGGAATTGTTGTGCCAGCTCTTCCTGTGTCTTGAATAACCTTGCGTCGAGTAAACTGTCCGTCCGGCCCTCCTCCTGAAAAGTCAGTCTTTTTGAGTGGTTTCTGTAAAAAGCAACAGTGAATTACAAACTTGGAAAAAGCCAGGGGGGTAGTGGAAGCTGGTGCCCAGCCAACTGGCAGGACAGCAGAGGCCTGGGTCCAGCACCCTTTTGGTATCCAGACAAGGTATCTAGAATGTTTCAACAGAACAAAGCCTTTGCAGAACATGTCACCTGTGTGTGCCAGCAATGGGCACCATGGGATACACAGGGGCAAGCATGCACACCCTCTCACACCGACAGAGCATGCTTGCTGAATGTATTTGTTGAATTAAGACATCAGGCAGCAACAGCCAGGTCTGCCAGTCTGAGCCCTTGTGGACATTCATCCTTTGCAGACTAGATTGTCCCTGCTCTCAAGCCGTCCTTCAGCACAGGGCACCCTACCAATCCGCCAGCTCTGAGGCTGGCTCTGGGGAAGGGGGCAGGGGATCAGTGGCTCCTGGGTCACCAAGCTATCAAGTAGCCCAGCCGCAAAATGGAAACCCCAGCTTTCCTCAGCCTCTCGCTTGCTTTCCCCTCTTTCTCATCACAGAGCAGGGCTAGGAGGGACTGAGAGCACCTGCGTAGCAAACTCTCCAGTCTGGCACACCATCCATGCTGGGTGGTGTTCCTTCCTGTAGACCCATCCCAGCTGCTTCTACTTCTCACTTGCCAGTGCACAGGGCAGCCAAAGTTTGTCCCCAGATCTGTCCAGCACAGCGGCTTCAGCTTAGACTTTAAGTGCTCCCACAAATGACTATAAGAACTGGGCATACTGTCAGTAAATTCCATAGATAGCAACTTAACAGCTCTCTGTATCAGCTTGAAGAGGCCCACCTGGTACCCCTTTAGACTACAACTCCCAACTAACATCATTAGTGCTGGTAGCCTGGAACCTTCTGATATCCAGGGTGGAAAAACTCGTTGCAGCTCCAATGTAAATCCTAACTCTGTGTGTTGCAAAGAGGACTCAGGATGTCTGTATTGCAAAATGTTGCCTATAGTCACAAAGCACAGCTGAATTGGAAGTGAAACTGCACAGCCACACTGCAATTGTGGCCCCCGGGAATGAACGGCGGACTTCAGAGGTGAGGGGAACCAAAGGAAAGCCGTTTCAGCTCTTCACTGAAGGCCTTAATGAAAGTCACAGGGTTTTGGAGGAGGTCTCTGAGGAATGTGGACTTTCCTGAGTTGCTCTGACAAAAGGAGGAAAGGGTGGCTAGGGTTGAATTTTCTCCAATTAGCGCTCCCCCCCCCTTTTTTTTTTAAGGAAGTGTTTGGAGGCACTGGGGAAAGAATTCTAAAGAAATCTGTAAAGTGTAGCACTCGGGGGGAAACCCATCAAAGAAGGAACCATCGGTCTTGGTGATAATGCACTGGCTCTCATTGACAATGCTGAAGTTTGGGTTGGGGCTCGCCTGTGCTGGCCCTACCATTTGCTGGTTATGAACGGGCCAACCTGAGAAGATGGAGTGCCATCTGTGCTTCTGCCCAGACAGCTTGGGCTGGTCCTAGGGCTGATGAAGGGGAGTAGAATGGATGGAGCGGAGCCTTGCCTGATAGCCATGGAATGCAGGAGTGTCTCCTTGCTTCCACTGAGCTGGGAAATACCAAACAAACTTCAAAATACTAAGCAAACTTTGAAGACACAAGTGCAAACCACCCATGAAAAAGGTATGCATGCACCTTTTCATGGGTACATGAAACATATATGCAGCTCTGGGCCTGTAGGAAGCAATGTTATAAATGGCCCTCAACAAACAGTTGGGCTCCTTAGAGGCATGAAGGACCACCTTCAAATAATTTTATCAAGAACATTCAGGAGGGTTTTACATATTTGATGGATAACCCTACTTTATCATGAAGAAAATGTCCCAGGACAATAGGCAACCAAAGACTTAGAAAAGGCTTCCTGCGATAGCCAAAAATCAGTTTTCCCAGAGTGAGCAATTGAAATTCAGTAGGAAGAATCAGTAAATCAGAGGTTTATAAATATAAATAAATCTCACTGATGGCAGAGTGCTAGTATTTCACGTGCTCAGAACTGAGATAATATTTCATTTCCCTAGCAGGGAGAGGCACCTTGGCACCCCCGGGTGTTTTGGACCACAATTCTCTTAAGCCCCAATGAGCACGTCCAGTGAGAGCTGTAGCTGGAACATCTGGTGTTTGCCTGCTCAGCCCCTAAGTTATTTAACACATACTTCATTAGTTTCTTAAATTCTGCAAATGAATCCCAGCGAGTATTTCGAATCTTCTCCGTTATGATCTTTTCCTTTTCGACCTCTCGCTTAAGCTTCCTAGAGGACGAAGGAAGGACAACTGATTATTTAGACAAAAAAGCAGACGAGAGAGAAAGAGATTAGCCTGAAAGCACCTGGAATAGAGTCTGGTCTGTCTGCAAGCCTCCAGTATAAACACCGCCAACGAGGAAGCACCAGCAAGGGCACTGCCCAAGGGGCCTCCGAAGGGCATTTCGTCCAGCACTTAGTCTCCAGCTGTGGCCACCCAGGGGCCTCTAGGAACCTCACCAGCCTAGTGGACCTAGGCATCCTTGTTGCTTGCTCCCAGCATCCGGTATTCAGAGGCACACAGCCTCTGCTCATGGGAGTTCTATGAAGCGGCCATGACCAATAGCCTCTCCCCATGCCTCGTGGCTCAGTCTCCCCTCAGCCAGGGCACTTGGGGGATTAACCCAGAACCCCATGATCAGAGAGGAAGCCCCAGTGAGCTTGCCAGGAACAAGCCAGTAAGCGATAGGCGTGGTTGCTCCTGTCTCTCAAGTACAAGGCGCCCAGAGCCGACCGCAAATATTGTATATTTCAATTTATATCCTGCCTTTTTCCTATAAAGGGCTCAAGGCAGCTGACATCATTCTCCTCCTCCATCTTATCCCCACAACAACAACCCTGTGAGGTAGGTTGGGCTGAGAGCCTGTGACTGGCCCAAAGTCACCCAGTTGGCTCCATGGCTGAGCGGGGACTAGAACCCAGATTGTCAGAGTCCCAGTCCCACGCTCTTAACCACTACGCCACACCGGCCCTCAAATGAGCCACCTGTCTTGCCCAGTTTTGAAGCAAGTGCGGTGACTCAAGGAGGGAGATGCAGTTTTCCCACAGGATGGTAAACGCTGATCTGAGCCACTCCTCAAGATCCTGTGATCAGTAACTCAGGCTGGAGGGGTATACGGTGGACCATGTGTGGACAAACCGCAGCTCTTCAGCATTAGGTGTAAGGGGTTGCTCTGAAGCCCTGCAGGGAGATGTGGGAGGCAGAAATGTCTACAGGCGGCGTATGTGCTCTTTCACTGAACTACAACTGTTCTCAGTTATTTCCACCTGAGAATCAGTAAGGCCTAATTTGTGCTGCTTATACTGTGATGGGGGCAGGCAAACATCCAGTAAATTTAACAAACCTTTGTTTAGGCTTGGAAGAACTTATTAACTCTTCTTTTGATGATCCTACTTGGTAATGAAGAGAATTTTCATAATAACCTCCTGGTTGTCTCATTTTCTGGAAGTCATTTCCCTTTCTTATGATTTTATCCGCTGGGTAAAGCAGAGCTGATCATACAGAGAACAAATTTTTAGAAAAAAGAAGAAAACAGCAACTAAATACAGCAGAATTTCTACTGGTCCAGCCTCAGCTATCCAATGGATCCTGAGTAAGTTCAAATAACTTGTTAATTTCCCCATACATCAGTGAGCACTGGACATGTGTAGAAATTGGCTGACTGAAGAAGTTGAGCATACAACAGATTCTACAGCTGTTATTGTCACTCTACTCCACAAGACTTTTCATCTGAATTACATGGATCTCCTTATGCACCTCTCTAACAGGGCAATATCTTAATTAAATCTCCCTCCACTCCTTTTCCCAGTCTGTAGGGCTTTCCACATTCTGAAGGCTGCTTTCCTAGTCAGCAGAGCTATTTTATTTATTTAATTTAAAACTTTTCTAGACCGTCCCTTACTGAGGTCTCAGGACGGTTTAGCAATACAACAATGTAAAATAAACACAGTGTCCTACAAAATTCCAGCTGACAATAAAACCCCAATTAAAACAACCAGATCTTAAAACATTGGGAAAATAAAAAGGTTTTAGCCTGGCGCCGAAAAGAATCAAGCGACAGCACCAGGTGAACCATAGCTAGGAGCTACATTGCTCTTAAATCAAATCAAGATTCTGAGGCTGCGCATTTCTGTGACGGAAGCAGAGAACAGAGACTGCACTTGTGGGTCACTTGGACAGAATCACAGCTGCAGAATATGCAAGGCTCCATGCCCAGCTATCCCAATCTGACGCACCTTTATTCAGAAGCAAATCCCATCAAGTTCAATGGCACCTGCTTCCTAGCAAGTAAGCTTCAAGGGTGGCCTTAAGTCAACTGCATTCCTTCATTGGTTAGATCCACCGCACATAAAACACCTCAGCAACAGCACTGCCAGCTCCAGGTTTTGGAGGGCCTTGGGAAAGATCCCCTCCCTGGGCCCCCTCACTCGGTGAGTCTACCTCTCACTGCTGTTGTCACCTTCTCCGTCACGTTGCTCCTGTCTGTCTGCTGGCGGACACCCACAGGGCCTGGGAGCAAGCAGGCTGCAGCAACGCCCGCTCCCCTTTCCCCTCACCACTGCTGCTCGGGCCAGAGTGAGTGGCGGAAGAACAAGCAGACTACGAAAGGAAGAGGAGCAGCCAGTGTAGGGGCTTTGGCCAGTAGGCCCCTGCCAGGGTGTGGGCCCTTGGGAGGAGCCCACACAAGTCTACCCCGATGCCACCTACGCAAAACAGCACTCCTCTGCCTTGGTCCTCTGAACCTACTCGGCCTGTGCCTTCCAGCCTGAGCTCATGTGTGGGAACGACGAGCATAGTTCAAGCTTCACTGTTCTTGATCAACAGCATTTGCGCCAACCCCCTGCTGGTACTCTACCCCTTTTGAGCAGCTTCTCAGTCAGCGGGACCCCGTATTTTTCACAAAGCTTGACACACTGCATGTAGACCAGGTGGGTCTTCAGTCGATACTGGTCAACCAGCTCTCCCATTTCACCCTCCATGGTGGTTGGCAGGCAGTGACCATCTACAACCGGGTCTCCAGTTTTCACCATCCGACATTGTTCTGCAAAATCTAAGGGAGACGTTTTCCTCTGCAACAATAAGACAAGGCACACTTGGGTAAAAGTTAGCAGAATGCCCTTGTGCAAGATGTTTATTTAAGCCACTGCAATTGTAGCATAGGGTGAAGGCTTTCCCACCTGAACTTAAAAGGCACCAACAGCCAACAACCTTTGCTCTCCTATCACAAGGAGAAGAACCACAGTCCTTCACTCTGCCTGAATTTGGTTTGAGAAGCTTTAGCTCAGAGGTGCAGTGAACATCCTTCTACCCAAGGGCCAAATTCCATTTTGGAGATGCTTTTGGGGGTCTCATTCCAGTGTTGGGATGGACCAAAGATATAAGATTGTTATGTGCCATCGAGTCGTCTCTGACTTAAGGTGACCCTATGAAAATGACCTCCAAAATGTGCTGTCCGTAACAACCCTCCTCAGCTCTTGTAAATTTAAGGCTGCGGCTCCCTTATGGTCTTCCCTTTCTTTTTCTGCCTTCAGCTTTCCCTACCACAATTGGCATATGGGGCAGGACCCAAAATACCAGCCTACTTCAGCTTAAAGCTCTTACTGCCCATCACTAAACCCTAAATCTCAGGTGAGGTGATTCAGTCTTTTGAAATGAGGGAAAAATTGCACAAAAGCCAGGAAACCACCAAGTAATTGCTGGCGGAGGGAAAGTAGGCATGGACTTCTAGGGAAGCTGAAGACTGAGCTTCTGCACTCCTGTTTTGGCTAGCATAAATCTGCTCCCAATTTACCTTGCACAAGCAGGGTAGGGAAGGGTTGAATTTACGAAACGTGGGTGGAACGTAAAAGCACCCATCTTTCAGCAGCGGCATGAGAAATCAGTTCTCAGTTTAAAGTGCTAATCTCAACTCCTAAACCTTGTGGCCTGCTGATGCTATTTTCTTCAGAGGCCTTGTTCATGGTGCCCACAGTCTCTGAGGAGCAGTTGTGGCCATCCAGGATAGCAGGATGAAATCTGCAGCCAGTAGGCGTGTTTGCTGAAACTTCTAGGGTGCACAGGACAGTACATGTTGCCCACCTGGACCAGTCAGGATGTAACAGACAGGATGCAACCTTGCAGGGTTGTAGGATAAAGAAGCTAACCAGCTGATAGAATATTGTCTTCGGAGATGAAGAGCTACTTTCAGACAAACAGTAAGACCTGTATTATTCTGTTGGACATTTTTAGTTAATTTTCTTCTGGCTGGGCTTTTTGCTCTTTCCTTTCTGCTGCTTTTATTGTTGTTGGTTTATTTGGTTATTCTGTATCTTATTCTGTCTTACAAAATGGAAAGCTGCCTTGAGTAGCCATGTTTCCAAGAAGGGTAGGACATAAATCTTGATATATAGAAATATTCACCATACTGCCAAGCAGTCCCTGTGGTGGTAGAGAGGGCACAACAGAGTAATCTGCATTATACAGATATGTGTATGTTTAGGGCCAACCTTACATTAAACAAATAACTATCAGTCAATGCCCCATATCAAAAGAGGAATTATGATCATTAGTAGCAGTAGTATTTCTAAGATTTATAAGTGTAGATGCTCTACATCTGATCAAGTACCCAAGTGGTGAACAATAAAAAGGGGACTAATAATACAGAATTACATCCTTTAAAATGCCAATCAAACCACGGCTGGTATGTCAGGAATGAGTAAAAATGCTTTCAGTCTGTGCCAAAAATGAAACTGTTGGTGCCTGTCTGAGACTGATAGTACACTAGAGACTCGTTCCGAAGTGGGCTCCAAACTGACTGCCAGTCCATGGGGAGCCCCGGGAGTATCTCATGGGATCCCCCCAGTGACCAGGCAGGCTGGCGAGGGAAAAGGTCCGTCCTCAAATACTGTACCTTGAACTGCCGTCTCATTTCCCTGTATTGCTTCCCAACCACCTCCATTTGGTTATAAGTTAGATGCATGGAGTCTGGTTCAGTGTTCATGGGAGGAACATCCAGCAGGGCTGACAGAGCCTGAGGTGCTAACGATTTCCTCTTGCTGTGAGCAATGGAAAACTTCTTCCTGGCAATGCAAGCTTTTTGAGGAACAGGAGATGTTTTTGGTGGTGTTACTAGAAAGGAAGGGGGTGCGGGAAGAGAGCAGACATCAGGTTATACGCATGTTGAAGTGAGACACACAAACACAAGGCCACTATTACTTGGCATCTGCCCAGCAGCAGCGTTTCACAATGGGTCCTACCAGCTGTTCTTTTATGGACAAGCAACTGGTTGCCTACCAGACATTTCATGCCACAATTCTCATCAGCCCCAGCCAACAAGAAAGGATCTCAGGAGCTGAAATCCTGAACATCTGGAGGGTACCAGATTAGCTAGTTTTGTGTTAGAACATAAGAAGAGCCCTGATGGATCAGTCCAAATCTTGCCCAGCATTGTATTTCCCATAGTGACCAGCTAGATGTGATCCTCCTAGAAACATGAGGACTGCAAGTAGAATATAGCCATTGAGCCTTATCATTCATTCATCTAATCCCTTTTTAAAGTTGTCCATTGCTACATCTGATGGTAGTAAATTCCATAGTTTAACTGTGCAGTGTGTACAGAATCATTTTAAAGTAAGTACTTCTTTTGCCATCATTTTTCAAAGTGATGTGGAATTCACCATCATTTTTCCTAGGATCAGCATTAATTTCAATTGTTTTTACAATGTTCTAGAAGGTCTAAACCAATTTGAACAATAAATATAATTGAAAAAAATCAGATGTCTTATGCATTTTCCCATATGTTTAAATCCCCCAGTTGAAGGATAGATCCAGATTTAGACATGTTTAGAAAAGACCCATTGAAAGCAAAAGGACATGTTAGTAATAACTAAGTAATTTCAATAGGGCTACTCTAAACATAAATAGATCTTTATCAGACCCAATGTTGTACTTTCATAATATTAATTTCTTGTTCCTGTTAATCTTGAAATGGTTCTGAAATGGCAACTGGGATTTAGACCTGTGCATGGTAAAATAAATATACATTATCCTCTCTGTTTCTTAAAAATGGGACAACCACCCCTATTCAAGATGCATGAAAATGTTACAAAGGAGAGGATAACATGCATCTCTATTTCCATTTCCATTTTCCTCCAACTTTTCCAGCTCTACAATGTCAAGGGGCTGGAGCACCTTCCATATACAGAAAGACAACAAATGGTTGGTGCTTTTAAGTTTAGAATAAAATTTTGACAAAAGCATGGAAGGGACACTGACAATTCTATGGATTAAAAATTTTCTAGACTATACAGAAAAAGGGGATTGATTTTTCCTGCTTTTATACCTCTAGAACCCAAAATCATCCAATGAAATCCAGGACAGTCATAACAAAAAAATTCTTCACCCCAAATGGCCAATTTTGTCAGAGTGCAAGGACGTCTGGATGGAGCATGACAAAGCTTCAGGTCAAATTCGTCTGCTTGCTGATCTGCAGTTAACATGCATCATCAAAGCTGTATGTACTACCTGGCTGCTGTATTTTGGGTGGCTTAAATAGCTACACCCAGTGTTCAGGTGACATTCAACTTTACCTGTTTTGCCACACCTTACAACAGTGTGAAGGCAACTTGTAGACTTCCAGGTGCTGCTGGACTGCAACTCCCAACACCCCTGCTGATTGGCTATGCTGAGTAGGAAGGATGGGAATTGGAGTCCATTTATACCTGCATGGCTACAAGTCCCCATCCCCCACCGCCCTACGAAATAGTCCTACAAGAATTCCCATATGTCCTTCTGTTACTTCCATGAATATGTAAAGCTGAGAACAAGATCTACAGGCTTAGAAATGTCAAGAGAACTGAAAGCTGTTCTACCTCCTCTTCCACCACCACCACCATTATTATACCTGTCACTGAATCTTTATTCTGCTTCCTTTGGTCTCGTAAACTGTCTAACCATATTTTTTGACATTCAGTCAGATCTTCGTTGGTTATCATCTCCCCTTTCTTTGAAGCTGTGAGATAGAGAATAATATCTTCCAGGTCTTTTTGATCAATAGGCACTTTGGTCTGGAAACAAGCACAACATCAAAATCGCAATCAGGTATAATCACAGGAAGACGGAAGATGGCAACCACAGAATCTGAGCAGGGGAGGCTACTTCACATGCCTTTATTTCTTACATGGGCCTCTCCTCTGTCTAAGCCATGTGCATCTGCTCTGACCCAGCAAAGAAGTAGCCTTCCCCGCCTGCACCTGTAGCTGCAAGGGCAATCATGTACAGCGGTAACTGCTGGGCAGCCAAAAAAAACCCCCTGTTGCCTGGATCTTTTTCAGTGTAGCTGGTTGCACCTTGAGGATGGGGAGCTGTTGTGCCATGCAACCCCCGCCCCCCCCCCCGCCCCCGTAGCCAGTCACGGCTAAGCCTGGTTAAACAGGAGGAAAGGGAACTGGGACAAGGGCTCTTTAATTGGCTGAAGGCTTCTGAGGGAGGAAGAGGAATCTGGACAGCTCAGGGGAAAGGTGGTTACAGCAAAGAGACTCAGGAAGAGAGACAGGAAAGGACCAAACAAACAAAAAAAATATCAAAACTATAGGAAAGGTTGGGGGGAAAAAAGCAGTGGACCCTCAAGTATGTGGAAGAACTAAAACAGAAGAGTGGCTGCTGGGAAAGACTGGAGAGACTCCAGTGCAGTCAGCAACTACAAGGAATGCATAAGGACAAGGGTACAAGGAAAGACTTCTGCTGTTCTGGAGAAGTGAGCCCAGTCCTGCAACTACTGGTCTGAACAATCCTTTGATGTGACAGGGATTAATGAAGTCTATGGCTGCTGCATTTATGTGACCATATAATTCCTTTGGGATTAAAACTGTAGAAGTGACATGTGTTCCCTGAGGAAGGAGACACCCCTTGTGAAAGCAACTCAATTTGACTCCATTGCTACGTGTTTTATCCTTTGCCTGGTATACTGCGGATTGCCAACACTTGTGCAACCAAGATGGCATGAAGCTGAAAAAAGCGTGCTTTGCCCTACTGCAGAAGCACTGAACTTCTTTCAGCCTGAAGCTTACGATCATTTTTGGAGAAGCCCTTGGCACTGTGTTCTAGTTGAGGGCTGAACCAAAGGCAAACGGGGAGGATCAGCGTATTTTAGTTTAAAGCTTTTGCTGTCGGTAACTAAACTTTAAGAGAAGCTCTCAGAATTGGGCCCGGGAGCATGCAAAAGCTGGGAAACCACCAAAAGACCAAGGCAGGGGGAGGACCTAGTGCTGTGGGGGAAGGGGCACAGTCATCTGGGCAACCAGGAAGGACTTCAGGAGGGGTCTGAGGTCTCACACCCCTGCCCAGACAATTCAGCTCTTTTTCCTGTTTTGACAATGAAGGATCCCCATTCACCCATCTCTAACCAGAGGCACATGTATACATAGATTTTCCCACCTACCCCTTGGATAATTTTAATGAACTCTGTTCTCCTGAATTTCATTGCCTTGGTCCTGTCAGCTTTATTGAAGAGATCCACGAGCTTGAGTTTCTGCTTGTGCAGCAGGTTCTGCAGAGTGAGGAGGGACTCAGGATAGGGCGCCTTGATCTGAGGAATGATTCTTTTTTGCATTCTCTTTGGCATCAGGTGCTGAAAGACATCAGACAGGGATACTGACAAGGGTACTCTGGGAAGGAAGAAACATTCCCTTGATAAAACAGGCGTCACTGATGAAACAGGCTGAAGGAACAGGGGAGAGCCAACCAATCAGCGATCACGGTGAACTTAAAGTTAGGTGCCGTGTGGCCAATCATATCTAGCAATGGGACAAAGTCACTGAAGGCAAACAAAACCTTCCCCCATTTGACTCTGAATAGGAGTGAAGACAGAAGGTGTCCCTGTTGACCACACAGCTGGGCTGACATCCAGTCTTGCTGCACTGTGGTCCTAGCTACATCGGCATGGTCAAAGCAGCTTGCCATTGCAGTGAACACCACGTGGAATTCGCATAGTCAACGTCCACCCCCAGCTTGTCGTATTGAGCAAACCGGGGGCTTGTGGGTTATGCAAAGGCTGTTTAATCCATCTTGTTCACATACAAACATAGAAACAGAGCGAGTCAGAAGGGGCCTCCTGGGCCATCTAGTCTGACCTCCGGCACCAGCCGGCTCCACTCATGACATGCCCACCATGTGCATGTCCAGCCTATCTTTGAACACCCTCACCGATGGGGCCTCAACAACTTCCCGTGGAAGCCCATTCCACACCCTCGGGGTCCTAAATGTCAGGAAGTGTTTCCTGACATCTAAATGGAACCTTGGCTCCCTGAGCTTTGCTCCGTTGGAGCGCGTCCTGCCTTCCTCTGCAGGGGAGAATAGGTCTCTACCCATCTCCATGTGACATCCCCTCAGAAACCTGTATGTCACCAACAGATCCCCTCTGAGTCTCCTCTTCTCCAGGCTGAAGAGACCCAGTTCCTTCAGTCTCACCTCATACCCCATCCCCTGCAAACTGGCCACCAACCTTGTGGCCCTACGCTGCACTGACTCTAGCCTGGCTATATCCTTTCTGTAATGAGAGGCCCAAAACTGAGCACAATACTCCAGTTGCGGGCGCACCAGAGTCGTACAGAGCGGTAGTAATACCTCTCTCGATCTAGAAGTCACACTTCTGGCTATGCAACCAAGGGTGGTGTTTGCCCTCTTGACCACCGCATCACACTGCTGACTCATTTTTAGCCTGCAGTCAACCAGTACCCCGAGGTCCCTTTCACAAGTGCTGCTCTCCAGCCACTTTTCACCTCTGTACTTATAACACCAGCATATTCACATGATACACTGCAACCAAGTGTCCAATATTTAAAAGAGGTTCTGATGCGCACTGGCAAGTGCCACAGCCCACCAGGACTTACATATGTTCAGTGATACAAACTGGCCCACTGACTGCCAGTATTACAAAGCAAGTCTTTAGCTTTCATCCAGCTTCAGTTCTGTATAGCTGTGCAGGATGACTTGAGGCGGAATATGGGTGGGGACACCCATTCAGCCAGGCATCCCAGTGTACATTCCACTAATGCAAGCGCACTGTGAATGAACCACGGCTCCCCTTGGATGCATTACGTTCTCCGTCCTGCCCAGTTAGTCAACTACTCTTGGCTTGAGGGGACAAGGAAGTGTTGGCCCAGTGGCCTTGGCAGCCAAAACATGTTGCCTCTTCTCCTAATACCCTCTCCCCATGCAACATTTCTCACCTTTTCACAAGGGGCTCGTGAAAAACTTTCTCCCAAAGAGCTTGGGAGAATGCATTATGTCTCTATGACAACCATTACGTATATAAGATGGGTGCGTGCATGCACACATGAACTCCCACACACACAATTGAGCAGAGGGCACCTTGTGAGTTTCATAGCTAACCTGAAGTTCATGGTTAACCTGGGTCTCCCAGTCATACTTCAACTCTGACCCAGGTATGGGTCTTGCAAATGTCAGTAGACTGCAATGACCATGCGTTCTGGACAGCATAGTCAATGGTGAGGGATAATGGGAGCTGCAGTGTATCAACATTCAGGTGGCCAAAAGTTGCCCACCCTTGCTCCAGCCACGGTTGTACACTGGCTCTCTGCTACATGTACCTCAATGCTACTCGCATCAGCTGCTTTGGCTTCCGTTTTAGCTTTCTGAGCTTCTTGGGCTTCCTTTATTTTCGTTAAGACGCTTTCTTCCTGCTCACTGACAGGCTGTTTCATGGTTAGCCATTGCTCAAGGTTCACACAGTTGTTCAGCAAAGCCTGCAGCTTTTTCCTCTCCTCAACCCAAGCCTCCAGCTGCTGCAGCTGCTCCTCTTCCTTACTGCTTTTAAGTTCCTCTTCCTCTGGAGGCACCTCCAAGCATTGGGCAGGGTGCTTTGGCCCACCAGCTGCAGGTGGCTCAGGTCTGGCACCGCCATGGGCTGCTCCTCCCATGGGAGGAGCAATAAGGATGCGCCGCCTGGATCGTGGTGGGCCGAATCGGTTTCCTTTCACTTTGAAGAAAAAATGAGGATATGCTTCTCTGAGTTTGTAGAGCTTGAAGCAGTGCTCCAAAACATGATTCAGGGCATCATCAGAGGATTCCCTGAGCGGTTCTTCCTTAAGCTTAGTATTGCTTCTGCTGAGGAAAGAAGGAATGGGCAAAAGGTTCAAAGTTAGCTGTAACAATTATTTTTGAATTGCTTTATTCAAAACCATTTGTCAAAGTGAAGTCTCAATTAATCTTCAAGCCAGGGGTGTGAAACTTCTGGGCTGGATCATCTCAAAGGTCACAGCTCCCCTCATGCCTCCTGGTTCGCTCTGCTGGCCAAAGTGGAGGAGTGGTGCAGGCCAAAAGAGCTGGGGGGGGGGGTCACAAGGTGCCCCCTCCTAATTCAGAAGTATACCTTACCTTTCTAGTGCTTAAGAGTGCTTGTGAGATACAACTTGGCGTGTATATAGAATTTATGTACAGAAATTAAGAAATTTATGTTTTGTTTTTTCCCATATTTTAATCAAAGTTTGTTCTTGGGGTTTTTAAAAGTAAAGCATTCAGCCTGGCATGGACTTAAAGATGCTGTCACTTTATGATTAGCAACAGTTCAAAAAGGTAATTGTAGAAGTTCCTAGCAAATAACAAGAGCTTTTTAGTCTTCATTTTGCACAATTTCAGATGCAATCATATGGCCTTCCAAAATCAAGGGAAAACTGGGAAAGGATTTTTCAGGGTCCTAGCTGCAAGATGTTGCGACTTTGTTGCTGGGACTCTGATCATAGAGCCCACACACTGCTCCTTGTGTCTAGAGTGGAAAGATTGCACTGGCTGCCTTGCCAATGTCATATATCAGCCTTGGAGAAGAGGGAAAGGGACTTGTCCTGGGTTGTGGAGGAAGAAGACAGGAACTGCTTATCAGCCTTCCTCAACCTTGTACCTTCCAGACATGTTTGGACCTCAAACACCCCGAATTCCCAGGCAATGGCCCTGCTGGATAGGAATTCTATCCACCAGGTCGGGAAAGGCTGGCTTTCATGGTATCTAAGCAGCATCTTAGCCCTCTCCCCTCCCCTCTATGTGCTTCCTCTAGACTGGTCATCTAGATGTGATGCAGAGTGCAAGGAACTTAGAATAGACCTACTGAAGTGAAAGGGTCTTAAATCAGTCACCGATATCAGATACAACCCTAAAACTACAATTCTAGGAAAGTTAGGACAGAAAAAGGCGTACAACTCCCGGCATGCCCCAGCCAGCAGAGTTCAGTGTTCAGGCATGCAGGGAGTTGAGGCCTTTTCCCTGTCTAAATTTGCATAGGACTGCGCCTTAAGGCATTCGCACATGAACCCCTTCGTTTCCAACTATTTAGCTATATAAAATCGAACACGTACGAGTCCTGGTCGCTTTGTGCAAACGGAACGCTTGCAGAAACGATACTGGGCAGCTGCTGAATGCTACTAACTTCCCAGGATTTGTCCCGATTCTCGGATCTTCCCTCTGGCTCCATTTGAGTTGACATGCGGCGGAGGGGTCCTTTACTGTAGATTCTGCGACTCGGCGCAAAAAAACCTTCTCACGACTTTGCAGGGAATTTGCAGAAGGTCGAGGAAGCCTCCCAGCCTCTTCCCATCTCCAATCGGCAGAGACCCAAGAGCGCCGGCGAGGAAGATGCCCCTCCGCTATATCCTCTTAGGCAGGCCGGGGGTCGAAAGACACGGCGAACCCCGTAGGGCGCCGCCGCTGCTCCTGCTTACGCGCGCTCATTAGAGCACAAGGCAAAAGTGGCATTTCGGCGGGCGTCAAGGCAACCGGTGCGCCCGCTCGCCGCTGATTGGCGGAGAGACGCCGCTCCGAATGTCGTGCCGGCCGTCGTGGAAGCGGCTCGCCCGGACGGCGCAGGCCGGACTCTCACCTCGGAAGCGCCTCTGCGACTGAGCGTCTGTTTTGCGGCTGGATTAGGCCTTCTCAAGAGCACGAATGGTTAAAAGCAGGACCGAACCTGAAATGGTAACAGGTTTATGCTTTGGCCGTCTTTCCTCGCCCATCTCCTTTTACATGGGTATCCGCAGAGATTATTTGGGAAGCGGGGAAAGGCGCACGGAAGTTTGCGGCACCGCTGGAACACACCTGTGCTCTTTCCCGTGTGCGCTCCCCATATTTGATTAGCATCGCATTCCGTGACATTGAGAGGCCTTTACAGAGTGGTAGAAGATCTTGGGAGCGGAACAGCACTGTGTATTCATTCATTACACTTGTATACTGCCCAACAGTTGAAGCTCTCTGGGCAGTTCAGAACAATTTAAAATAATGTAAAACATAAAACACGGTATAACAATTTTAAAAGATAGCAGTGTAAAAATGAAAGTGAAATCTAGTAGAGGTACAGAAATTTCAATACATTACAGAAGTTAAAACTGTCTGAAACTAAAATTCCTGGGGAAATATTAAGGACTTCACCTGGTGCTGGAAAGACTTCCATGTAGGTGCCAGATGAGCCTCTCTGGGAAGTTCATTTCATAATTTGGGTGCCACAAAAGAAAAGGCACTTAGTAGACACCCACCTGACTTCTTTTGATCTTAGGATATAGGAAAGTATATATGGAAAGAGACTGTCCTTCCGGTGACCTTGCCCCAGGCTGTTTAAGGCTTTGGATGTTAATGCCAGCACTTTGCATCTGGCTGGACATGGTCTGACAAAAAATGCAGATGATAAAGGTACCAGCCTAATAGGATCATCTTGGACAGTCCCCATCAACAGTCTTCCTGCCATGTTTTGAACCAACAGATGTTTCTGGATCATTTTCAAAGGTAACTTCATGTATAATGCAGAAGAGTGTTACATTCAAGAATTTCAACAAAATTTTATTTGGAGTAAGGGATGAAAATGCACCTAGGAAAAAAGCAGGGGAACACTTACATGCACAAAAACATAAGAATTTCTCTCTCTCAAGAATGTAATATATTTTATGGCTTTGCTGCCTTTTTCATAACATTGTCTTCAAATATCTTGTTCTAGAAAAACTTCATTTTGGAAATACTGGTGAACCTCCTTTCTCAGCCTGGTGTCCTGCAGGAATTTTGGACTACAACTCCCAGCATTCCTAACCAGTGGCCATGCAAGCTGTAGCTGATGGGAGTTCAAGTCTAAAACATCTGGTGGACACGAGGCTAGAGAAGTGTCTTTAGTAGTAGAAGTGGAAAAGTTTGATCAGGGTTTAGGGCTCACATTGCTATCAGCTACGTTTTAACATTAGCTAACAATACAGGTTTTGCCTAGCTTGAATTTTGTTGCTATTCAGAACAACCTAATGACTGAAATTGGGGAGGGGGGGCAGCTACACCTCTTGCCCCTGAGCAGATGTCCATGCCACTGCATGTGCAGCCAGATCCTCTTTATACTTATTGAGAAGTAAGTTCTGCTGAGGACAGTGTGGTCTACTCCCAAGTAACTATAAACTGTACAGTCAAGCTTGTAAAGCTGCTTCACTTACCCACTTCTGCAGATGCCAGTTGGAAAGCATGATGCTATACATGGCTACCCAGTAGTACCACTAAGTTCAGTGGACTTGCAAGCGGATGTAAAAGATTCTCCCCTTTCTGATAGGGTAGCTAGATTAATTTTACTCTGTTCCAAAGATAGTGTAAGTGTGTGACACCTTAAGGACTAGCCAATTTATTATGGCGGAAGCCAGCCTTACTCAGTTTGATGCTCCCTAACCTTGTTTGTCTGTTTGCATTTCTATGCCGCCCCATGTCCCAAAGGTTCTCTGGGCAGCTCACCAAATAGCTCCATGGCCTTTGCAACTGCATGCAATTCAGCCTTTCTGAATGTGAAGACCAAGGATTTTGGACAAGTCTTAATGTTCTTGTCTGCTCGCCATGCTGACTGTGGTCAATGGGAGTTCAAGTCCAAAATGAATGAAGATAGCCAGTGTGCTGTAGCAATTCTTAAATAACCCAACAAACCATGCCAGCTGGGTTCAGTGAACCCACATTGGTGTGAGTAATTAGGGAATTCTGGCAGATGGTGGCTTGTTTCAACTGGGCCTGTCCGATTGTGTCAACTGGGCCACCGTTAAGTTTTCTTCAACTAGCACAGTAAAAGTCTCACTTTCAGCCCCCTGTCCAGCATCTCTGTACAAATCATTCTCTTTAAAACTTGGCTGAACACCTGCCTCCTTGAATCAGTTTGCCTTCGTGAAAGCAAGAAACACACCAGGCTGCTTCACCAACCAAGTTCATATCTCCTGGGTCTGTATTGGCAAGATTACATATTAGAAACACTCGGTGTGTATCAAACTGCATCTACCACAGAAGGAGCTGATGGTTATTCCACAGTTATATTGCAATCTTACTATACTGTAAAACATGCTTCACAATTTGATATTTGCCTTGTTGAAAGCCTAAACAATTTAGAAACTGTCACTTGTGTTAAAATATTTTAGTCAAATTTATTACAGTGTTTACATATTAAGTACATAAACCAACACTGGACCCAAATACACATATAAAAATGAATGTTATAGTGACTAGGAAGGACAGCAGAAAGAGCATTTTTTTAAAAAATGAGATGTGCACCTATACTAAGCTATTCACTAAGATTCAGCTTCTCCTGGTTTTCCCAAAGCCAGTTATGATACACGTTCAGCTTATGGTCTTGTGGCTGTACCTGAAAAAGAATCAAAATTTATTGAAGCAACACAAAGTTTGGATCATGCTTAGAGTAAGCACACAACAGGAATCAGTTCTGAGGCTTAATGGAGCAATTCTGTGTATGCCTCCCTGGAACTATGTCCTCAAGGAACAGCATGAAGCTTAGTTCTGACTAAAGGGAAATAGGCTCAAGCCTAACACCTAGATATGATGGAAGATCAAAACCCAAGCTCCTGTTGTGCAGTAACTGCAAGGCTGAGGAAGGAGCGAGTGCAGTAGGGAAAATGGATTCATCCTGTAAGGCTACTGCTACATAGCAAAGATTGGGCTGCTACACCCAATATGCAGCTGCCCTTCTGCATCGTCTAGAGGCCATCCCTGGCTTTAGGTCTTGTAACACACGAATAAGGACTTGCAGGTTCCGGACTGTGGACTTTCCATTCCATTATTAAAATCAGCAGCAGGGCTCCAATATCATTCACAGGTTTAAGCACATGCCAGCTTCTGTTACCTCTTTCCACTCATTGACACAGAAGATCCTGTAAGAGTCGTTCCCGTATTTTCCAATCCCATGCAACTCAATTGGATACTTCCATTGTTTGACCAAATACTCATCTAAGGAACAAAAACCCATACCATAAACCAAAACTGATTTAATTAATGTCTTTTGCTTTTAAGCTGGGGAAACTTACTTATACAATTAAGAAGATGCCTGTATCAATTAAGAAAAAACAAGGATATTTAATTTAAAAACAATCACAATCTTCTTGATTGATTAAGAAAATATAGTAATCTTAACTTGTTGTATACACAGTATAACAGCCAGACACTACATACAGCCCCTGAAGCCCCTGGTTTCTAAGCAGTGGGAACACAAATAGTAGTGCAACAGTTGCAGCTCTCAGACACTCACTTAAATCATTCCGGCTAATGCAGCGGTCCTCAGACTTTTCCAGGCTGCCACTCCCTTTCCTCTTGGGCAACAACCTTAGCAGTCCCACACCTCTTTCTTTGCAGTAGGTCTATTGCTCTACTGCAAATTTAAAACAACCAATTACTGCCCCCCCATCTATCCACCCCCAGGGGGCAGGACTGCCCAGTTTGGGAATCGCTGGTCTAAGGCTACATTACAGAAGTCACATGTAAATGTAATGCCTGCAACTAAATTGTAGTTCTTGCCAAACCACTTTAAAACTCTTCCATGATCGATATGGATGCTTTCTAAAGAGAAAGCATAACCATTGTGCTCTGAACCTCTCCATGCTGCCTCATTTCCCCTTGAAGCTAAAAACTTACCTAAAAGTAAGTCTTAGCATAGTAGGACTTAAGATTACACTGTTAATTAATCTTTTGCAAATCTTTGTTGTGTTAATATTACAGATTTTAAGAATAGAAGGAAAGACAGTTTTAGAAAGGGAAAGTACCAATTAAATATAAGGCAGGCTCATGAAGAGAACTTGTATGTGCTTATCTCAGAATCACAGCCTACATTGAAAGCTGTGGTATTATAGTGCCTCCATGGGTGAGCCAGCAGGTCTCCAAATCTTGTCCCAGCCATGGGCAATCTTATGCATGTTTAGACAGATGATTAGACATTTTCTTGCTGACTGTGGAATGCTGGGAGTTGTGGGACTTGCTTTCTGTCTAAATAAGCAGAGAATTTCAATGGCCTTGGGCAAATGACCCAAGAATTCAACTGGTATGAATTCTTCTGCCAGTCATGGCTTTGTCCTGCAATATCAGGACAAGATTGACTTACTTTACAGGGCTCTAGTAAAGACCCCCGAGATAATGTACACAAAGCACTCTGAACCTTCAAGGAATATAGTATAAATAGTATAAATTTTGAGAACTATTACTACATGGCCAAGAGAAGCTACCTGAAAATTTTATGATGGTCCGTGCTCTGAGTTCATACAGTCCAAGAGGTTTAAGTAGCTCTGACATTTCCTTCCAGTTGGCAGTCCTTGCTATTGTAGGGGATGGGTATTTCTTCAGAAATTCCCAGAGCACAGGGATAGCCATTTTTCCTAGTTAGAAAAAGATACTGTAAAGAGTAAAGTCCGTGCAGAATTCCTTTGCAAAGCAGACTGTAGCTTCACAAACAGTGTCTTATACAGAAGTCAACTGGTATGAATTCTTCTGCCAGTCATGGTTTTCAGCCACAGTTATGTCTGGCTAGATTGACATGTGTCTGTCACCACACAGCAAGGGCATCCATGACTGAAAATGAGCCTTGTGTGATACAGTTCTACGCTGCAGAAATACATGTTGTTTTCCAATAAACAAACAATTCACCAGCTCAATTTTTCAATTGTATGTATGATCTTTATCTTACATAAGGCATTAAACAAACACACTAAACACATTGCAAGTCAGTGTGCTATAGTGGTTAGAGCACTGAACTGGGATTCAGGTTCTAGTCCCTGCTTGGCATGATGAAACTCACTGGATGACTTGTCCCTCCTAGGTGACAAAATGGAGAGGTAGAGGTGGATTCTGTACGTCTCCTTGGGCTCCTTGCAGTAAAAAAGGCAGGGTATCAATAGAATAAATAGCAAAATGTAATTTTGCAGCAAAAGCTTACTTTGCAGAGTTGAAGGTCAACATTGGCCTATCGCTTTCCTGCTCCTCACTCATACAGCTAAGCAGGAATCTCTTTTCTGGGGATTTATCCCATACTGCTAAGATGGTACATGAGAAGAACCATGTTTATAATTCTTATTTACCTGAGGTCCTGTTCAAGAATATGGTTGCGATTAGAAGCTTCCATGGATCATGAAAAAGTGTTTCCTGAACCAAATTAAAAGGAGAGCGAGGTGGAGTCCATTTCCTAAAGGCCTTCCTTCTAGGTGGGCTTGGAGCTAAATGCACACAAACAATCAAAAAGTGAAGGTCACTTATTGTTTTTTCTTTTAACCCACCTCTGTTTGCAAACAGAAAGGGCATGGTATGAATTGCCTCTTCAGGCTCTGAAGAAGCCCGTATTTTAAAAGATGACACCACTTCTAACTTGCACAGCTTTTTCAGTAGCTCGCTATATAATTAGCAGCAGGGTCACTGGTTGGTCCTGTAACAAGTCTTCCCCTTCTATTTTCCTACCAAAGCCTGAAGTTGTTCCTTGCTAAGTAAATAGTTAATAAGAAAAAAAAACCAAATCAGAAATCATGGTTCTTCCAAGCTTGTTCTCATTAACTAGAGTTTTAAACAAGCCACAGTTGCACCAAGGGGAAACTATGGTTTGTTTAAAACAGAAGTGGATTCCTCCATTCATTCTCATGGGGAAGGGGAGTATTCCAGGCAGAGTCTCACTATGGGTCATTCAATGGTTTTCCATGGCTTCTCTGCCAAGCCAATCAGTTTATACAAGACTGTATCAATTCAGTCTTTATTACAGTCAACAAACCATATGTAAGACTGAATATTGCAGCATCAAGACTGATAGTTAGCTCTTTAGAAAGGATTCTTTCCTGCTCTGATGTAATTAATTCCTCAATACTACATATACTGGACACCTGTATAATATAAGTAAATAAGCAGAGACTGCTAGATCAGATCAAGGGCCTATCTAGTTCAGCATATTGTTTGCACAGTGTTCTACAACAACTGTTCATATAAGCTAAATGCTGGTAATAGTTTGACATACGTTGAAATGAGTAATACTATCGAATTCTATGCTTTTAATTGAACAAATAATTCTATACCCGTTTATACATGAAGAGGCCTGTGGCTTAAGGCTAATCACCTAGCAATGTCTTCTTTTTATACAGAAATGGAAGGTTGGCAGCTAAATTACTGCAATTGTATTTGGAAGCAAATAACACCAAGTTTGATGACAGAGGCTTATTCCAACATAAATGAGCATTATCTTGAACATGTGGGTACAAATTCAAATTCATTTCTCCCTGGGTAAATATATTTGGGAGCAGGCTGCAAATCTGACTGATAAGTCTTGTAATCCCCCAGAAAGTATTTCCAAGAAAACGTTTTACCTTCTTTGATTAATTTACTGGAAAAATATGGACTGGTTTTCCTTCTTTTCACTTGGGTCCTTTGAATATGGTTCTCTAAATGTTGAAAAACAAATGTTAGTATGTAATTTCTTGTGAATTTGCATGATAGCTAATGATGTTTTCACTTTTGTATGTGCTTTTCTGTTATGATGTTTCAGCATAGAGAATTCTCTGCCATGAAAATGCTATGGATTAGGACCCTGCTTAATAAACAATTAGTTAAAATAATAATATCAGCTTTAAAGTCTGTAAGCTAAGCTTTTGTATAATGCAATTAGAAATGCAATGCACTACAGAGTGCCATATAGTGAAGAAAAAACAGTATCAACTGGATGCAGCAGGAAATTATGATTACAGGCAAAGTCAGGGGAATGCTACCTGACAGAAAGAACTAGTCACATCAAATCACAGGGCTGGTTCCAGATTGGTCTTTATGAGTGGAAAGTGTTGGGATCCAGCAATGACATCCAACTGCAAGAAGGGGGAAGGGAGGTGATCTCCTTGCCATTTTCCCTTTCTCCCTGCAACCTCCAGCATCATTTCTCATACTGCTCCAGTAGGTCCCCCAGCTATCCATAGCAGCTTTTCTTTAGGCCCAGGAGGAAGTAGGAATGGCAAAGATTCCATTCCCACCTCAACAGGATCCCTGTGAATCTGGGATCCAGCCCACAGAGCTGCCCTCCCCACTCGGGCTGAGAATTATGGGAGCTGCAGTCCAAAAGATCTGGAGGGCACCAGGCAGTCAGTGTACACGAACATTGAAAAATCCTTTCTACTATTAATTTGAAGTGAACCTATTAGGATTTTAGAAGAGCGTCACTTAGAAATAAATACCTTTGACTAATGTGAAACTATTCTCATTTAAGGTCTGTTGAACACTAGCATCCACACTGGAAGCAATCTTTAAATCTTGGCTCTCTGAAGGCACACAATTTCTCTGCATTTCCAGTGGTGATAGGTTTTCAGCAACAGCAACTTCAACAATGCTGGAACCTTCAGCACATTTCAAACCTTCAATGTCTGACTTGTGTTCCAAGAAAGCTTCATTTGGCTGAACCCGTCGCTCCAATTTCTGCTCAGAAAGAAGAAGTTCATCCTTTAAGCATGCTTTCCTTTTTCTTTTCTTTGAGTCTCTCTGGCCCACTTTGTGGGCACTGCTATTGTCATTATTAAAACTACATAATGTGTTCTTTTGTCTGGATTTTCTAACATTTTCAGTTAATTGATTGTTATATGATTGTCTCTTCTGTCTTTTGTTTTGGTCATCACCCAAATTCTTCATACTTGAACACTTTCTGGCTTTCTTAACTTGGTTCCTTTTTCTGGCAGTACCATTTTGTTCAGCTTTAAAACCATCATCCTTTATGTTATCCACAGTGATCCCACCTTGTAAAGGTATAGAAATATCTTGCTGATCTTCAGCATTGTTTTGGAATTCTAGAATGTTATTTTGCAGAGAAGCTATATCCTTTCCTTCACTACTTTCTAGTCCAGAATCCAGAATCTGGCTCTGAGACATACAGCTGCTTGCTTTGGACTCCACAGTGCTGCTGCCAGATTCTTCGGTTCTCGATAATGCACTCTTCCAAACAGAGGTTGCAAAATCAAAATCCTCTAGTTTAAGAACAGTCTCTTTGTTCTTTTTAAAGTAATCCAAAAGAGCACATTTGGATCTGATCTTCGTTCCTTGAGGACTAACAAGAAACACACACAAACACAGACCAAAGAGTTAGTTCAGTACTGTAAAGCACACAAATATTGGAAAACATAACTACCTGTAGATGAGACTGTGAGAAAGCAAGAGGTACATTTACAAATAAATATTAGGAGACAAATAAACAAACTCGAAAAGGCAATACTGAAACTAAGTATAAATAAGTTTACAGTTTAAGAGTGGTGCCAGAATCACAACTGAAATATGAGATACATTTTTTAAAGAAAGGGGTGGATTTATTATTATTATACTGCATTTATATCCCACCTCTTTTCCTCTTGTGAGGAGCCCAAAGTGGCTTACTTAGTTCCATTTTATCTGACTACAACACAGCCCTGTGAGGTAGCTCAGGCTGAAAGGGAGTGACTGGCCCAAACTCACCCAGTTAGCTTCTCGACGAGTGGGAGTTAGAACCTGGACCCCCCAGCACTGAGGATTTAGTATTTGCAAATAATGTATTTATAAGTACATTATGAAGCACAGAATGGATCACTTTTTGGAGCCCTGAAGCGGAATTCAGGCCTTCCTAAGAAAGCACTGAGGAACTGCAGTGGAAAAAGGCAGCAGACCCTTGTTTAATCCAGCCCTGAAGATTCATCTTTCAGTCGTACAGGACATCTCATTCCTCCATTCCCATCCAGAGCCTGTTGCACTGGGTCATCAAAAGCAAGCCCCAGCATGGGAAGGACACCAGCAGATATTTTCAGCTAAGTGAGCTTTGGATCAGGTGCATGGAACAGTGTGTGGTACTGGGCAAAACGGAAAGCATTGTTACACTAGAGGAGATCTAAACAGTTTAAAATTTGTACAGGTTAGCTTCATTTATAGGTACACTATCCCTATAAATTCGCATTACCTGATGAAATAAATGTCGTATCTTCCTGCAGTTTTTCCAGTCTGTCTTTGCTTTATTACCTTCTTCCATCCTTCCAGAACAGCTTTGTGATGAAAGGGAAGCACTAAAGGTGTAGTTGTTTTCTGTTCTATACACTGTGGGGGACTTCCTGTGATGGTTACCATTTCTTCTTTCTTGTGACCAAAATAGTCCCCTGCTGTTGTTTTTTCTTCCTTTGATTTGCTTGCAGCTCCAGCCAAGTGTGCATCACTTATGTCACTGCAGTGAATATAAGAACATCAGAACCAGCCTTCTCTTTTAACCCATTTTTTGTGTGGAAGTTATTCAAACTATTTTAGCATTTTAACCGCCCAAGCTCTACAATGCCCCTTTAATCCTCAAAGTTGTGCATTTCTATCTGGCTTAGAACCAAGCTATCGCCCTTCTTCCAAATTAATCTGTCCAGGTCTTAAGATCTTCTGAAGGAGCCATTTTGTCAAGACTGCTGCCTTCAGAGGCATGTTTTGTAACAGCCTAAGAGGGCCTTTTCCAAGGGAGGCTGGGTTTGCTCCTTCTCCACTGTTCTTCTGCCCACAGGAAAAACGGTTTTATTCAGGAAGGTAGCTGGCCTGTAAGTGGGCTTGCCAAATAGGTGCTGTTTTAATTTTTCTATAATTTTATGTTCATATAGTATATTAATAAATGTTATTGTTTTAATCACTATTAATTGTATGTGTAAGCTGTCCTGAGTGGCATCTTCTAGTAGAGAGGAGAGGTACAAATTAAATCATAATAAAATTCCATTTTTTTTTCACAGGAGAAGTTAAATAATGGCTGAAACAGGGTCTCCAATTCCTAGATACTACTGAGAGAGACAAAAGAAGATATATACCCAATTTTGTGAACTTCTCAGGGGCCATATGGCTGGTCAGGTAGGGCAGAATGTAGATATCCAGAAATTTTTAACTTCACTTCTCATCATTCCTGACATTGGCTATATTTCCAAGAGCTTCTGGGAGTTGACAACCAAACATCTGGAGTTCTACTTTCTGCCTATCCATAATTTAGGATACATTCAAGTGGATGATTCCCAGTACTACCTATCAAAAGACAATATGGGCATTGTCTTTCCCTCTTTAAGACAACTCAAAAATGATCAGGGGGCTGGAGCAATTCTCCTATGAGGAGCAGCTACAACTGGGACTGTTCTGCTGATAGAGGTGCTTAAAATAATGCACAGGGAGGCACTTTTCCTCCCTTTCCCAGCTCCTGATCCTTAAAGAAAAAGTTTTTCATGTAGGATGCGTGTTATCAGTGCAATCCTGAAGACCCAATCTGATGCCCTCCAGATGTGCTGGACTAGAATTCCCACCATTCCAAGACAACATAGCAATGCTCCAAAACATCTGCAAGGCACCAAGTTGAGGAAGACTGCCATATCCAAACAGGCTGTCCAAGTGGTTATTATTATTATTATTTGGTTTTCAGCTTTCCTTAGATGCTGGAATGGGGCAACCACGGCACAAGGATAACAGCCGTGAAAGCTGCCAGGACGTCATTCCGATCGGAAGCATTGCCATGATCTTGATCAGCCAGAGGAGCGTGATGTGGTGTCAACAGAAAATAGGCACCCATTCCACACTTTTATGACATCACCGCTCACAAGAGCCCGTGCCGGAACGCAAGTGGGAGGCATATCATGCACCTATCGCCTACTTCAAAATCCCTGCTCTCACACCTTCCTCCCACGGGAAGTCCTTACCTGTCCTGAAGGTGTTCCGTCGCGTCCTGAGCTAACATCTTGCATAGTTTCGTTCAGATTTGTATCACGCATGCGCAATCCTCCCGTCGTCTTCTCTCTCCCCCCCCCCGTCCCCCAGTGGCAAAACAAGAGATGCTCCTTTCCCGCCCGGAAACCTGATGGGAGGGGCGAAGGCGGAAGCAAGTTGTATCGCGCGAGCAGTGCGTTTACAGTCCGAGAATTTGGCGCACGCGCACTTCTCTTACAGTCCCGCTTTTTTCACCCGTGGGACTAGGCTGCACAGTTCGTTGGAAATTGTAGTTGGGAATCACGGGGGAAGACTTAAGGCATGCGCAGAGCCGTCTGTGGGAGCTGAGGCGCATTCCTTTCAGAGCGGCTTCCCTGCGCAGGGAGGGGGATGACTGCGCATGCGTGTTGCCTGGGGAGCCAGCCTGGCGTCCTGTGTAAATACTAAAAGTGGGAGTTGGGTGCCGGGCGGGGGGGTGCGCAGGAGGGGGCAACATGCGAGCTGCGCTGACCTGGCGGGACAAGGCCGACCAGTGGTAAGAGCGGGTGGGGTACGTGGGTGGGGGGAGAGCAGCAACAGGTCGCGGCGGCGTTGTCGTGGGGGTAGCAGCGGTCTTAGTCTGCCATTCCAGAGAGCATCACCTCATTTCTACTATTATTAATAATATTCAGTTATTCTTATTTGCAATAATAACTCATGTCTATCCCACTCTTCTACCAGAGGGGACACAGCATAGCAGTAAAACCATAACGTTTACGCACTTAGCCTTTAACCCGTTCTTCAGATGTTTGGGAGTTCAACTCTCATTTAGGCACAGCTAGCATGGCCGATGATGAGGAATGCTGGGAGTTGTAGTACAAAACATCTGGAGGACACCAGGTTGGGGAAGGCACTGGTAGACAGTATCATAATAAAATGCATCTTGAAAAGTTCTATAGGTGGTGTTTATTTATTTATGTAATTAAAGTAGGTTTAGATCATGTTTCTATAAAAGAAATTTCCAAGGTGGTGTCCAACAGATCGAAACAATAAGAGCAGCAATAATACAGGCATTTAAATCACCACCACAACAATCACTAAAACAAAAGATGAGTGATGTGCCCATTGAGCAAGCCTCTGTGAGTGAAAGTGTTTTGCAAAGGACCACTTTGGCACAACTTGTTAACTGGGCAGGTTAATAGTAAAAGGTGTTCCTTCAGATGGCTGGACCCTAAACTAATTAAGACTTTAAAGGTTAAAAGAAACACTTTGAATCAGACCTGAAAATCAATTGGTAACCAGTGCAGATTTTTCAAGATTGGGATGCTGAAATCTCAGTGCTGATACTACGTTGGCAGATAACTGTTGCATTTGGGTCCATCTGGAGGATTGTCAAAGGCAACCCTAAGTAGAGCATGTTGCAGTTATCTATGATGTGACCAGTGCATGGATAAGTTGCCAAATCAGACTGACTGAGGAAAGCTTGCAGCTGACACATTCTGCAAAATCGTGCAGTGGCTTCCTTTGCTACAGCTGCAACCTGGAATTACAGGGACAGCGCAGGATCGCCAAGCACTCCCAAGCTAAGACCTTGATCTTTCGGGAATACTGTAACTTCTTTTCCCAAATAGATGAAGCTCTACCCCCAGACTTGACTTTCTACTATCCAATAGTACCTCCACCTGCATTTGATGTTGGTTTGTTCATTATTAAGCCAAGGCAACATGAAATCCCTTGCAAAGAGCAGTAGAGCTACCTCTACTCAGTCATATATTGGTGGCACTTCACTCCAAAGCTCTGAATTCCTTCTCCCAGAAGATCTACATAGATATTAATTAATGCAGGGGACAAAATAGGCCAAAGGTGGTTCTTCAGCACCACCTTCTGGACCTGATTTGATGGAAAGAAACCACTGCAATATGATGCCTTCAGCGCTTAGCTGCACTAGGTGGCCTGGAAGGGTACCATGATTGAGGGTATCAAAAACCAGTTCATATCCCAGCCAAAAGCAATGAGTCCTCACAACTAATATCATCCAAATATATCATAATTGTTTGGCCACAACCTTGGCCAGAAATTGTAGTTACTTGAACTATTTTGGGGCAAAGGACTGTGTCTTTATTAAAAGTCCTGCCTTCTTCGAAAAAGAGGGAACAACCCCCTCCTACAAAGAGGCATTAATTGTCTTAGCCATAGCAACAGTCTTCTCTTGACTGATTTAATCAGGTAAACAGGTTGAGTGGCTCACATTACTGCAGGCACCCTGCCCTCATCTTTGACATCTGCAAGCTGAAAGGAATCCAATATATCTGGGGAAGTACTTGTCAAAGTCACATCCAATAATGGAATTGAAATCTAGGCAGCTATGCATGACTTTGTATGCAAGGAATGAAACAAATTACTGTGAGCCACTCATTTCTCTTGACTTCCCACTTCAAGCTCCTGGCAAAGGAGGCCCTGCATAGTAAAGCATCATTGATTTATTCTAGGCAGATGTGAAGGTAGCAGAGGAGTAAACTCTCTTCGCTGCTATGATTGCTGGGAGTAGGTCTCTAAGGAAGCAATCCTTTGGCTCCTAGACATTGTCTGAGGGGCCATAGGATGCTGGGGATTCTCCACTCCAAGGTCAGAGACAGCACTGCCTCTCAGTCGCCAGCACTGAAAGAGCTGCATTGGCTGGCCTCCAGGAATAAAGCCACCTCAGAGCATGGAAAAGGCATTTTGGTAGGCAAGGAGGGAAGGTGAGGCCAGGGTATAAGCTATCCTGAGACCTTGTCACTTCCTTTCTCTCTCTTTCTGAAATATTGTTGCTAGATAAGCAAAAAATGTGTTGCAGGAGGATGACGAGCTGAAGATTGTCTTGACCATTTTTTCTGCCTTGCACTGGATTATCAGAAGCCTCCCCATTTATCTTTAGCCTCTGCTTAGTTTGATTCATCCTGCATTTTTCTCCATTTATTCTAGTTGGCCTTCCCATTTTATTGTCCTTAGCTCCTTGTAAAACCAAGAAACTGATTTGGCTATACCAGCGAGGAAAGAGGGCTTAAGCATGGTGGTGTCAACTACCCAGGCAATTTCCATATTCCACAGATCAATGAGGAGTTTGGCAGTTGAATCAACCAAAGACACACAAAACACTCCCAGCAAATTCAGATCATTCAGATCCATAAAATGCCTAGGGCAGATCATCTTATATATTAGCATCCGCACCAGCCCCAGAAGTGATATGTGCATGACAACAGAGTTGTTATGTCACTTCTCCATCTTGAGAGCACTTACTTCATCCAAAAAGAATACTAGATTAGCAGGAGGGCCTGCAATACTAAGAAACTAAAAGATGTTATTGTGTAAATTGGCAGCATTGTATACTAAAAGATTGTCACAGTCAGAGTATCTTCAGATTTTGATGGAAATGACGCAAAGATGGAACTTGATGAATTTCAGAAAGGGGAGCACAGTGCAGTTTTACCTGTATTTATTTACAGAAGACATTTCAGGATTAATTCCCTGACAGATTGACTCATAAGGATGGAACAAAAGAAGAGGGAAAGAACAAAGATAAGAACTTCATTCATTGAAATAGTGCATGCTGTCTGTTCATTTATCTATACCTGTATGCAAAAACTCAGGCATATGTTCTAAATCCAGCCACCCTAAATTTCCAGCCTGACCTTTTCTGGGATCCGTAGATGGTGATGTTCCTTTCTCCCAACTTTTACTTGTTTCTTGACTTTTGCACTTGCCCCCATTCTAAAGAATGTACTGCTGTTCCTAAGTTTTCCTGCAAAAGATTTCCAGCAAAATCCTTTCATTAGCTAGCTAAGAAATAACTGTTGCTGGTGTTCGGCTTGAGGGTGCATATTTTATTAATATTTCTGTATTGCTTTTCAACCTTTTTTTGTAAGTAGGCTCACAGTAACAAAATGAATTTGATAGGCATATGATAGTGCTTTCTTTATGCTAATCTGATTTAAGAATATTAGTTGTGAACAGTGTTAGGAACTGTCCCCTGGAAGAAATATATGAGCATTCTGACAAATGAATTTTAATTCAAGCAGACACCCACAAACGTAATTTTGTAAAAATGATCAAAAGGGTGCAGGACCTATATTCACAGGTCCATGGAACCACCACATGGAAAATATTGCAGATAAGAGAGAATTTGTTTTTCCTTTTAACACCTTCTTTTGTTTTCACAGTATTTATGACCTTGCATTCAAGCCTGATGGAACTCAACTCATAATTGCTTCTGGAAACAGATTACTGGTATTTTTTAAATTCTGGTTTATTTATTATGCCTTAGAATAATCAAAACAATTTCACTCCTTTTGTTTAATAAAACATATTTTTAAAATTGTGTCAAACTTTTTAACTGTGATATAGTTTGCTATGTTAAAAACATTTGGTTTACGTATGTCTTTAAACAGAGACATTTATTTATTCATTCACATATTTATATGCTGCCTGTAACTGCCAAAGTCCTTCCTAGTTGGTTTACAAGTAACAACATATTAAAACCTATTAAAATAGTTAAAAGAATAAAACATCAATACAACAACGTTAAGAAATATAAAAAAATGCCACTAGCATTCATAAGGACTAAGTATTAATTTTTTAAAAGGTATGTCTTTGCCTGGCACCGAAAATAAAATAAAATGGAGCCAGGTGAGTTTCTCTAGGGAGGAAGTTCCAGAGATGAGGAGCAGAAATAGAAAAGGTCCTTCACCTATTTGCCACCCCTCTCCCCTCCCTGAGGTGTGGCTCTCACAGAAGGGCCTCCTATGCTGATCTTAGGGATATTGGTGGGTATATATGGGTGTAGACAGTTCTTCAGGTAGCCCCAAGCCATTTAGGGTTCTATATGTCAAAACAAGCACCTTGAACTGGGCGCAGGCCACAACTGGTAACCAGTTTAGTTCTTTCAAAACTGGTGCTATATGGGCCACTCTAGAAGTGCCAGTCACCAATTGAGTGGCCTGATTTTGTACCAGCTGCAATCACTGGACCACCTTCAAGGGCAGAGCACGTTACAATAATCTATTTTGGAGGTAACCAGTGCATGGGTGACTATCTTCAGGTTCCCCCTGTCTAGATAAGGGGGAACCT